CCTCGGGGTCCTGGCTGTCAGGAACTGTTTAGATGCTTCCTGGCATCTAAATGGAGCCTTGGCTCCCTGAGCTTTGCCCCATTGGAAAGAAAGAAAGAAAAGGCGAGTTTCCCACACCACCAGTGCACCAAAGTAGATCTCATTGATTGGCATGGATCTTAAGATCTTTAAGTATTCCTTTAGATCTTTAAATAGTCTGAATTTCCAATAGTGTAACAAAAGCACCAAGAAAAGGTGCTTCTGTTTACTTCTCAGTTAATGGAAGCCTTGGAGTGGATACCTGTAGTTTCTATGCAGCAAACATATTCTCGGATGAAGTCACCTGCAGTTGCTTTCATTTACTAGGCAGACATATGATTCCCTAGTTACTTTTGTAACTCCAAGCTAGCTAAAAAGAGCTTCCGCAACCAGTAGCAGTCTACCTCTGCATGTCAGGTCTTGGAGACAACCAGCAGGGAAGTGCTGTTGCCCTCATACGGGATCTTACAGGATCTTTGAGATATCAGTCAGCTATGGCTGAAAGCATAATGATGGTCCGATCCAGGAAAAAGGGGATGGGGAACCAGTGACCTGCAGTTCACCCATGGTACCCCGGGTCTTCCCATTTGAGCCATGGTCCTCCTCCTTGCCCCTTTGCTTTATTTTCTTGAAAAGGGCCTCCATCTCGTACAAAAGGAACTGCTTTCCACGCTGTTTTGCTATGGACGCATTGCAGGCGTAGGGGACGGTTTACGTCTGACTTCACTCGTGTTTGACTTTGGCCCATTCACTGCTCGTAAAAAGGCAGCAGAAAGTTATCCATGAGGCAATGCAGCCCTGAGTTTGAGAAGGGTCCTGTGCTGTGACGTGTGAAGAAGTAATCTTTAAAAGCATAGCTTGGCTTGATGTGGCTGTGCGGGGTTCCTTGGGCTGCTTTGTTATCCTTTAGAATAATATCTTGTCCTCACTGGTTTCTTCCAAATAAACTTGTTATGCCACCATCTTTCTGGGGTCTGGATGTCACTTCATCTCTTTTCTCACCATGGAAAATCCATTAACGACAGAATTAGAAGACAGAATAGCTGCAGAGGGCCTCCGCTTTGGTAGTAGTGCTAGCAACTGCCTGTTTGGAAGCTCTTGTTTTCCCTTGCAAAACATCAGCTCGATGGAGTAATGTTCCATTCTGGAAGGCAGCACTGACAGTATAAATCTAATTATATTTTATTTACACTCCTAAATCCCCAAGCCATGACACAAGAACAACAAACCCTCTTGGCAGACAGGTATTTTAAAATTAACAAAGCTGTGTTTATAGATCTCAGCGCAGGTTTAGCCTGGGGAAAGATTTCATAGCTGGGCTGTCAGCTCTAGGAAAATGAGGGCTTGATCCTCCGATTGCTTCAGAACATATGTCATAATTAGTTATACGAGATAACCGCGAAGGGGAACCTATTCACTTGAGTGAAGAGTCACGGTTGCCCCCAGTACTGAGAACATCGGACATGCTGATGAAGCATCCAGAACACTATTGCTTCTCTGGATGCTGCGCCGAATTAAAAAGCGGACAAACTCACACAGAATCTGAAGATGGTACGAATGTTCTGAAGCACGTTCAGGATTTCATATCGAGGGCATGGACTGAAAGTACATGATGCAGCCGCTTTGCTAAAGCCGAGCACATCTGGCAGGGAGATTCCTAGAAACCCTGTGTATGCCGCACTGAGCTTCCCATATGAGATTGCTGCATATCGTAATTGTGGAATGGATTTCTTCGCCAGTTGTGCCTACCTGGCCCCTTGAGTAAAGAAACGACTCAGGATCTGAGATGGATGTGAAGCAAGAGCAGTCTTGGGGGTGCCCGAGTGAGGTTTGGTAAGCACCTTCTCTGATGTTGGTACGAGGCAGCGGTGAGTTTGGTGGTAAAGACATCTCTGGTCTGGGTGTTTGGCAACCGTGATTTTGGAGACGGATGTTTGCCATGTCTTTAGGATGGTTGTAAGGCAGCAGGGAAGTACAGTATAAAGGACATGGCTAACCACTCAGTCAAGAGGTAGGAATAAGCCGTATTGGACGGAGTGTCCACTTCCTAGGGAACACAATGCTTCTCTTACTTACGGTCTTTTTAGTCGTTTTCAGGTTAATTGCCAATACGCTGGGAATCACGTCAAAAGCATTCTCTTGCACGTATTATCTTAAGGTGAGAGGATATTTCTCAATGCCGTCTGTGCTTAAAACTAGGTACAAAATAAAGTGCAAGTAGAATTAATGTAAAAGGTGAATGTGTTAACTTTAACAGATTCGCAGCATTGACTTCCTTTGCCATTTCCATTCTGTCTGTGAACACACACATGCTAAAACTCAGTTTATGAGCATGATGTCAGTGGATCTCTGTTGTTTGTTTGTTTTTAATAGAATGGGCACACTAGGAGAATTTCTCACTCCCAGCTGAGTTGGGTCTCTAAATCCTGAAACCAGGCTGAAAGAGTCTCCTTAAGGGCTAGCGGAAGGTGAGAAATGCAAGCTCCTGATAGGGCGTAAATATAATGCATAAATAGAATCCTTGCAGCTTCAGGGGGGTGAAATTGTTCAATTTCTGCCTGCCCCAAAGCTCCTAAACACGTGAGCCCAGATTGGGAAGGGAAGAGATAAGGATGCTTGCTCTAATATACCCCAGGAGTTCATGATTGACAATCAACCCAATTGATGCCAAGAGAATTCTGATCCTTCCAGCATCCAGACAGCTTTCTCCATATTTCCATTATCCCTTGGAGTTCTCCAGCAAACAGAGAAGCAGAGAGAGCAGTACAGACTGCAGTGAAGATCCTGGGATGCAATGACCTGCATGTTGCTCTTTTAAGTTACGGGTCAGCACTACTGATGGGTACTGGATGTTTAGCCAGTGGAATTGGCAGTGGGAATACAAATCAGACAAGTCATTCTAAAACAAAAGAAAACTCCTATTCTAAAGAGGCTTGGCTGGAAAGAATTTGCCTGATCAAATTACCGTGCTAAGGGAAGGCTGGAGAATTTCTTCTATAACTAGCACTATTCAGGATTAGCACATTTAGAGCAAGTCCATATCAAACTTTTTGGGGAAAAAGACATGGAAAACTCCAGCTACTGTACAGGAAGAAATGGAGAACTCGTGTCGGATTATTTCGAGACCCATGTGGAATCATTAACAGAAATAGTTCCCTTCTGCCTGTTCCAAAAACTTCAAGGTAGACTCCTGCAATAGTGTTGCAGCCATCTTGAAAGATGGATAATGATGTTGCCAGATCATCACCCAGTCAAAATATTTTGGAGCTTTTGAGACTTAGAGTGCTCCCAAGCTGCCCTCTCTAGCACTGTCTACCCAGGAGCATTGTGCATCTTTCCCATCTTTCTGTGCTTACCAGCATTTTAAAAAAAATTGGTGGTAAGACAAAAAGAAGAAACCGTGAAAAGACGCGGGTGCCCCTCAAAATGGAAGACATGTTGTAAAATTCCGTGCTTGAGACAGGGCAATTGCCCCATGAAACTCTCATCTGGAAGCATCCTTGGAGCTGAGCAGCTGAGCATCAGAACTAGGAAATGTTTCAGCAGCATCAAGATGGCTGGCAGTTTTTGTTTAAATGTTATTTTATTTAAAATGTATTTATTTAAAAGTGACTGTGGTGAAGGGAGATTGCACAATCTAATTTTGGTTATCTCTGTGTGGAGCCAGGCATCACTGGCAGTTACTATTCTGTGCTTGCTGAAGAGACCGAGATGTTCTCATCTCGCTTTCTGACTGATGTGTCTTGTAAGCCTTCCGGGTAATCCAGCCTTCCAGAAGAGGACTGGTTATCTTCAGACAGCCTTTGGCTTACAAAGAATGCTTTTCTTCTGCAGATTTAGGAAGTGTAGAGGGAGAATACCAGGGCATGTTATCTTCCTTGGCTGCTAAGGTAGCATTCTGTATTCCAACTCCTTGAGACCAGACTGTGTCTGTGAATTTGTGTGTGCGTTTGATGCTGGTTACCAAGGTCTCTCCCTCCCTTTGTAGAGCTTCCACTGATCGGTGGGGCTCATAGCAAGCTATCCTCACCCACACTGCCTGCATGATTTAATAGTCTGCCCTTCAACTTGGAGAGTGGGCAGTGGGAAGAGAGGGAAGATAAGAGCTTTCAAGTCCTCCTTTCCTATTTAGCAGATTATTTTCCAAACAGAAAGGCATGCACAGCGATTCTGGGGCTCTGCATGCCGCGCAGAACATGTTGTTCTGCTTTCCCTTCAGCGCCAGTATCTCTAGGGTACTTTTCCACACACACACGCACAGCCTACGGCTTCTCTGCCTCTCCAGGCCAGCAAAGCTAGCTTAGCCGGCGACTGGAGTGTAGTATTTCCACCCCTTCCCTGGCGGGGCTCTAGCTGTGCGACACTCAGAAATCCAGAAGCTGTAGCTTTTGCTATCACTATATCTGCATGCTGCGGTAGGTAGTTTTTCAAAATAAAGAACCTTGCCACACATCAGTATGTTCCCCCACGATTGGTAAAAGAAAAAGAAGAAAAAAGGAATTTGTTTCTGAAACCTTTGTGGCAGTTTCTTCCCACTCTATACCTCTGATTTTAACAGCATGCCAAAGGCATACAAGTTTAGCAACAAAAGTTTGTATTATATCCATGTTTTTCTTTAAAAAAAAAAAAAGTCAATACAATGTTTCTTGGCACAAGGATAAACAGATGGGAAAAGTTTAGCTTTCTTAATCTGTGTGCTCAGTTGTTGTTGAAGGCACAGAAGCTGGGCCAGTAAAGAAATAGCAACCCTGCCTTTGCAGGGAACGCTGGCCTACCTTTCAGGACTGTTTTGTGGACTGCTGAGAGCAAGTATTCTGCTGCTTAGAAATATAGCAACTGATAGGTTTGAAATATAGAAGCTGTTTAATTATGAAAGAGGGGGGTGGAGAGGGAGGGAAGGAAGGAAGACAGATGGACAGCCACACACGTACACACATTCACACAGAGTAGGGTGAAGAAAACCAATAGCGTTGGGAGGCTAGGCATGGTAGTGGAATAGGAGAATTAGCAGGCCGTTGGGTGCAGGACTGGAGCGCAAGTCTGATGTTAGCGCAAATGAATCGGTGCTAATCAGGGCTGGCTCCTCAGCCGTGTGACCTGTTGAGCTGTCCTGCTCTCCCAGGTCAGGTGTTCTGGCTCCCGCGAGTGAGATGGATTTGGCCCTAGTTATCTTGAGGGCAGTCTGGCTTGCATTAGCGACCAGTAATGAGATTGCTCTTTCCAGATAGCCTCCCTTCCCAGCAGGGCTCCAAGTGAAGAAGAGCCCAGGGCAGTAGCACAAGGGGATGCTCGTTACTGGGTTCAAACAGGCCCAGCGGCCATGCAGACGACCGGGCTACTGGGGTTGACTCGTTGTCTGAACCAGCCTGCTGCCAAGAGGGAAGAGATTTTTCTTTTCCTTTCCAACAACCAGGCAGGCACTGGCTGTTGGAACCACACACACATAGTAAAATGTGTGGCTGAAGAAGGACCGATCTGAGGATATTTCCTCAAACACACAGGGCCTGCTGAGGCTGCGTCAGCCCAGTCGCCCGCGTGCCCTGTGAGGTGGAAGTGGTGGCCCAGGGCCTTGACCAAGGGAGATGCTGGTGGGTCCAGCCAGCCTGTTGCGTCCAGTCTACTGCGCATTAGGGAAAAGAAGGTGCTGACCCCTTGGAGCCTCACTTGAGAGCAGGGAGACCCCTGTTCCCAGCTCCACGAACCCCCCATCAGACTGATGTCAGCTCTTAAGGCTGCCATCACTGTGCTGAGGCTGCTGCTGAATCAGGGCCTGCGGAGGCCAATCCTCAGCTTGAACAGCGACTGATGTTGTGACTGAGCTTCTTTGTTTATTTAGCAAAAGGCACGTATGCTGCGCTTTCCGTTCCGATGAGGAGTCATCCAGAATCACTCCACCGCTTGCTCCACCTTGGCTTGTGGGATAAGCCACGGCCCCTGAGCTGCTGAAAATAGGAAGCATCAGGCCGGACAAAGAGCCTCTCGATATACAGGATTTATCCCACTGTTTTACTGAGGTTTCTTCTTCCGTTTTCCTTGATGGAGGGAAAACGCAGACCATTTTTTCCAGGGGGTATATTCCTCTGACTTTCTAGTATCCAAGCACTACTTGATGTTGTGGTATATATAACTGCACTATAGTGGATTTGGGACTTTCCACAAAGCTTTTGTTCCAGTATTTGATGGGTTAAAATGTAATCCCAAACTTTCCTCACTCCAAAGAACCTGCTAAAAGGGCTGGAAAAAATGGGAGAGGCTCTGGAGGATGAGAATGTCATGGAAAGTAATCCCACACAAACTTCCCAGAGGGAGTGATCTGGAAGCACAAAGAGAAACCCAAAAAGCCCTCTTGTGCCCCAGGCTGTGTGAACGTGACCCAGGTAGGTTCAGCCAATGTTGCCACCCCTTCAGTGCTTGCGCATTTCATAACACGGCAGCTTAGTGATTCGTTGCTGACTAGGGATGCATGTGGGTATTTGGAATTAGCTCTTGGCTAGCTGATCATAAGGCTAATGGGGATTTTCTGAAATACCCTCCTGGCATTGGAATGGTTGGGTCAGAACCATGAGGATGGGAGTAGATTTGGTACCACACGGGGTGCCGATGAAGCGTGCCTAGGAAAGGGGGCCTCCTGGGGCATTACCATTGGGAGCGTTTGGCACGCTTAGAAAATACTTGGCTAAAAATAGCAGGAGAGAGGGGAGAAGAAGCTTGAGGATTAGAAGAATTTGCCTTCCTTGCTCAATGCTGGGTTTTGACTGCTTTGGTGAGGCTGTGTTTAACTCCTTTTGTGCCAAGCAAGGTATGGAATTTCTGGTAGAGGACTAGCGTTGATTTGGAGGGTGGCTGGCCCACCATCTCATCAGTGGGAAATACATACCTTTCCAGTGCTTATTGCAGCTGGGAAACTGATTTCGTTTTCTGAGAATTTGCAAGCCCTTCCCTTTTCCTGTTGTTGATGTTCTTATCTTGGAGTCTTCTGTTGACTTTCTGGTTCTTGTCATGGTTAACTGATTTTCCAAGAAGCCAAAGGAACAAAGAAAATATCTGGGCAGAATTTTTATATTAGTAGTCAGAGCTGTAGACACTCTACCCTTACAAAAAGAAGATTAAAAGAAGTAGAATTTCTGCCAAGAACATTCCAATTCCTTCATTTTTCATTGCAAAGACTAGGATGTTGAGTTGGGATGATCTAGTGGACATAAATCCACGTGTCAAAAGTTTGTAATTTGTGGTCACTGCCCCCACTTTGGTATCATCTGTGAATTTAGTCAGCAGACTGGTTATCCCCTCCTCCAGGTCATTGATAAAAATGTTGAACAGAATCATTCCCAGAACTGAGCACTGGGGGACTCCACTCATCGCTGGCTGCCATCCTGCTGATTCCCCACTGATCCTCACTTCAGCAAGAATGAGCATTAACACACATTGGTCTACATTTGGTGGGACGCAGGCTGTGATTGGGGTAGGATGAATTAGCTGCAGGTAACTGAGATCCCCACTGGGGAGGGAAGGGGGGAACAAAGCCCATTAGGTAGCCTTTATAGCCAGTCACAACAGTGATACACTTCCCTGGGATTTGGGAGGGAATTATATGGGAGAGACAGGAGAACAGATGTACAGACTGCAGTTTTGCCCCTTACAAGCATAGATTAAGGGGGAGATGCAGCTTTTCCCATCTATTTCTGTCCCACTCCCTAACCTGCTCCAGTAAGCAAACTTTCTAAGGAAACCAGACATGAAACAGCTGTGAAAGAACCTGCAGCAGCAGAAGTTTACTTGACAGCTTTAAATGTGCACCATGAATCTCTAGTTGCAGATCATACGTTAGAGTCAAAATAAAATGATAGATAAAGCATTTTTAAGCCTGGAAGGCCTCCGAAAGGCAAGCAACCATTTCTGATTCTTGACTGTCTGTTTCATAGCTTGCATTTTACGTTAAGGCTTGCAGTCAGGAGTTCTTCAAAGTAACACATGTTTGCTTTTCCATCACTGATGGAAATAAGGATTCAAGAGATCAGTGTGAGGCATAGGAATTAGGGATTATAGGTTGAAAAATTTAGTGCCTCTGTTTTTGCTTGGCATGCAGGCACATGCTAAGAAATAATGAAAGGCCTGATGCAGCTTGGGGTACAGTTTTATTATCCTTGAACTAAAGACATGCACCTTTTCCATTCTTCAAGAAAAGTTTCCTTTCCTGGCAGGAGTTTCTCCATGCTTAGTTAAAGATTAGAATGCATTTGATCTTTCAGGGTTCTGAAGAATAGAAATGGCAAGAGGCCGTTCTGGGCAGGGCATGCAGAGAACCAGCTACACATGTCCACTGTGTCTGTGTTCTCGAGCTTGCTGCATTTGGTGGCTGGTCACTGAATGCATTTGCTTACCTTCCTTGAAAATTACTCCTTGGGAAATGAAAGGCAGGGCCAGTCTATAATGTTTGAACTGTTGGGGGGTCATTCACACATGCAAGTGGGCATTTGTTCCGTCAAGGCTCCAAGAGATGGACGGGCATGTTTCAGCCTGCACAATGGGCAGGGTAAAATCTAGGGCTTGGGCAGAGAGGGGAAGCGTGTATAATTATATTTGTGAGTACGAGGCACTGGCTTTCTGAAATGGAGCGTCTACAATATTCTTCAGGGCTTGGGAGCAAATCCCTAATTATACATGCATTGTTTTACTCAGTGCTGATTCATTAAGAGCAGCTCCAGTCGGTCAGATGTGGCTCCAACCTGGCACTCACCTGGTCTTTTCTCCAGAGGCAGCAGTTCTCTTTCTCCCCGAGGGCAGCTGGTGAGAATGTTTCCAGAGGGCAAAGGAAACAATAGACTGCAGAAAGACAAAATTAGGAGAGTGTGTGTTGGTGTTTGATTTCACAACAACAAACTGGGGAAGATCCATTGTTACCTTTGATGTCCATGCTTCCTGTCCCGACCTCCTTTCCACCAGCAACCCCATGGCTCAGGGAGAAAATGTGCCAGTAGTAATTAAAACAAAACAACGAAAAAGCCAGACAGTAGATAATGCAAAATGTGCTTATGGAGCTGTTTCTGCTTGCAGTGAATCAAAGGCAGTGAGTCAAATGACCGAGGATGGGAGAAACAGCGAGAGTTTTGCCCTGAGAGCTTATTTATTTATTTAGAGTATTTGTATGCCGCCCCATTGCATAGCCTTGGGACGGCTTACATAAAATAAAATAAAACATAATACAAATAAAATCCAGATCCACCCTGGATTTTAAAGCTTATCCAAGTTTTACTTCAAAGCTTGTTCCCCTCGCTGCCTGCAAAGTCCCGCACACACTCACCACTGGAATGAAAAATGTGTGGCTTAACACGTGCATTTTTTAGACAAAATCCTGCTTGTGTATTTCATGATGTTTCGTAGTGAGGATCACAAATAAAATGCTCACCCAAATGCATGCTGCTGCTCCTTTGTGTTTGACTGAAACGCAAAGGTGCATTCTTGCTAAAATGCACATTTTAAAGAGTGTGCATGTTTCTAAAGTACACAATTTGCAAACAAGGGGAGCACCTGTGGCAGCATCTGGCCTGAAATGAGCAGAAGGACAAGTCCCATTTCTGGCATGCTGCATTTGGGGGGTTCCACATAAAACTGGTGAGCGCCAGTTGGAGATCTCTGAATATCCAGAAGCTGAACCACAACAGAGGTGTGGTGGACCGCTGGCCCAATGCAGCAGGGCATCTTGTGTGTTGTGCTCTTGTGTGAGAAGGGAAGAATAGGAGAGGTGTGCACGGAGGGGAGGACGGTGCCCCATGGCAAACCTTGAGCTTTTGGCTCGGCATGAGGTGAGCTGCGCGTTGTCTGCGTTTCCCGCCATGTACGTGTTGGCACACTTGCTTTAGGAGGGTTGCTGGAGCCCTTGGCTTCCCTGAAGCCAGCTGCACGAAGCGCACCGTGCCATCATCTCCTACTGCTGAACGTGGGTGGTGACTTTAAAAAACACCGTACGTGTTCTGGTGTGGGTGTCCTGCGATTTCGCCAGAGATGGCCCGGGTGTTCCTGCTAATCTGTTGGACTGCAGCAGCAGAGAAGGAGTTTAAAATCTTCCATTCTATCGTTGTTTATCAGTGTCTCTGCAGGAGTCCTTTTTCCCAGACCGCTGCTTAAAATTAGACACAGATTCCAAGGAAGGTCAGCTAGTTTGCGAGTGGTGCTGAGCACCACTCTGACCTTCAGGGAGAATTTCTCACCAGGGTGTGGGGGTACGGGGTGGCATTTTGAGCTAGCGAGCCTCTCGTGGATTGGATGGGCCAAACCACCTCAATTCAAATGTTTTCTGTAACATTTCCAAGGCTCCAAAGTTGTTTGGGTGTTTGTTGCATGCTGCAATGAACACATAACAATCGGAAAGGCTATATTAGGATGGATACATGCATACACAGACAGACAGATGTGGGGGGGAGGGGAGGGGAGGTGTGTGTGTGTGTAGTGCAACTCCAGACCTGCGCCTTCAGAGGTTCTGAAGGAGGAGGAGCTATAGCTTTGTTGTTGGGTCAAACAAAGGGCTGATGTGGTCCTGATTCCTTCAGGGACAGCTAGCTGAGAAGCTCACAAGCAGTTCATAAAGCCATCCTGCTTCTCCGGTTGTTAATCTGTTTCATATTCAGAGATATCCTGCCCCTGAGCCTGGAAATTTCCTTAAGGTAGAATGGCTAATAGCTGCTGATAAATAAACTGGGTTTAGCTTATTTAGCTATCTAATTTACATCCTGTCTTTCCTCCAAGCAGCTCTCATGGTCATGCTGGAGGGGATGATGGGAATTGCACTAAAGCATCACAGCTTGTTACTTTGGATTTTTCCATGGATTGCCGCCAAGGTGTGGCAGGCTTCTTGAACTCTGCAAGGGGCCCGAGAAGCGAACGTTGGCTTGGCAGTCTCTGGATGGGACCTGCAGGAGGGGGTGGGCAAAATGGCTCCCGCCTTTGACGTCTCTCTAGCGGCGTCTTCGTAAAAATGTCAAGAGGACTTCAGGGGGATTTTCTTCTGCCTGACTCTGTGGCTTCATTTCATCGAGTTCTGTTAATGCCTTGGGGTTTTGCTAGGATTAGCGAGATGTATTTACCTCTGATGGGGGAGGAGAGCGAGGATTAAAAAAAAGAGAGAGAAAAACCAGATTGTCTTAAGTGGTAGATTGAAAGCAAATCTGAAGGAACGAAAGGGCGAAAGGCCGCCTGCTTCAGCTTCTGTGTGCCCCGGCTCTGGTTTTGAAGCGTTAAGCCTGGATGTGTCAGGCAGTCTGGCTGCTTTGCCCCCCTTTATTGATTAACCAACGTATTAGATCACCTTTATCACTCTTTTTCCCCATGGCAGAATGCAGCAAAAGCATACACGGGAGTCCCATCCAGGTCTCTGACCATTTCCAGACTTGCTTAGCTTCAGCAGAAGGGCTGCAGACGAAGCAAGAGGATTGCTTTTCCATTCTGGTTCCCTCCAGGTGTCTGGGACTACAATTCCCAGCACTGCTGACAGTGGGCCATGCTGGGTGTGAGCGCTGAGGGTCCACGACATCCAGAAGACACTGCTTCGGCTCATTTCTTGCAGTCGGAGCTGGCGGCATATGCCGAAGCTGCGTGCAAAGAATGGTTGTCCCAGGGAGTGATGCTAGTTCAGCTTAAAGTTAGGGAATGATACTGGCTGCAAGAATAACACAAAGGGATTCAGTGCAATCATAAAGCACTTGCATAATCACTATATGAGAATCTCTCTCTGTCATGCTCCTCTGTCCTTTGTGGACAACGTATCCCTGATCTGAGGAGTTTTTGCTTAATCAGATCCTGAAAAATAACGACCAGCCCTCCCAGCTTCCCAAATAAAATTGGCCAGGGGCTTCCCATTCACGCAAGGTTTGCTACTCTTGGGATAACCTTTTTTTATTTTTGGCAGGGTTGGGGAGAAGAGAACTTTGCCAGGAGTGCTTCAAACAGTTGCTTTTGGAACAGCAATACGTTGCAAGATACGTAGGCTTTGCTAGTTTCTTAACTGGCCTCTTGCTTGTTTTTGCAGAGTACCAAATCTTGGCTGTAGACCTGATATCCACCAACATGAATCCTGTGGTACAGGAATTTCAGCGTAAGTGTGGCGCTGTGGAGGAACATGGATAGACAGCCTTAAACTTAAACTTACACTTGCATCTCGAACAGAGCTTGCCTTTCATGGGCACCACTTAAATGTTAAATGTTGTGGTTACCACTATTTGAAGTATTACTACAGCTAGTACAACTATAACTGTCATCCTCAAAAGGGAAAGGTACTTAAGGAAGCTTGCCTTATCCTCTCAGTCCCCTGTTTTGGATGTGTCAATTCTTATTTATGTATGTATTCATTTAAAGCTTTTTTATCCCTCCCTTCGCAATGTCTCAGGGCGGTGAGACATTTCTGTCTCCCACAGAGAATCTTCCTCTTGAAATCTGTGGGTTCTGTTAGAGAGCCCCCCCCCCCGCCCCAGTTCTGTCCTTTGTTGTGATAACAGGGCCCTCATTTTTGTGGAGAAGAAATGGTCTAGAGGAACCAGGCAAATGTTTTTGTCTGCAGCGTCTTCGCTTCTCTCAGTGGTTGCTGTCAGTGTTCTTACTGCTGGCACGGGACCATCATTTTCGTTCCAGCACTTTCTGGAGCAAAACAATTATTTTCTGTCTTCGGGAGGCGAAGCGAAGGCAAAGTCCTTGGCCTTTGTAGGGTGAGGCTTCCCCCAAGAAAGCTCGGATTCCTAATCTGCAATCGTGTGTCTGTGTTATGCCTTCAGGTGCCGAACTTTCCTGCATCATTTCCAACACCAAGACAGCCAACCCCAGGATCGAATGGAAGAAAATAGGGAGCAAGGAGACCACCTATGTGTATTTCAACAACAAAATGCAGGGTAGGAAATGCGCGCGACTCGCTCTCCTTGGAGCTTCATTTGAGCCTGGGATTCCCTAACAAATGAGACCAGTGCTTAAGACTCCAGAAAGCCTCCTACATTTTTCCCTTGGGCGGGATGCCTGACGTTGCTCTCTCCCACCTCTCTCCAGGAGATTGGATTAACCGTGCCCAGCTCCACAGCAGAACTTCTCTGATCATCTTCAATGTGACCCGTGCAGATAAAGGCTTGTACCGGTGTGAGGTGGCAGCGCATGAAGACCCGCGCATTGGAGCAGAGCTCAACATCAATCTGACAGTTCATGGTACATGCCTAGATCTTCTCACATCATGCTTGTCTGTCCTGCCACTTGGTCCCTGGGCAGAGAACCGTAAACGCCGTGTACCGGGTCAGACCATGGGTCCAGCTGGCCCACTACTGTCCATATTACATGGCAGACACTTTAACAAAATCTGGCAGTTGTGCAGACCAGCTTCTGAACCAAGGTTTGAAGCTGGTGTTTCTGAACCTGCTGTTCAAAAGTCTTCTGCTGGTGCTGGAAACTGTGGCTGTGTAGTGTCTAGGGGCTGAGACCTTGTCTTGGGGTTGAGACCTCGCTTCTGCCTTGTGCTCAGTCCTCGGGGCACTCTTCTAATTTTCTGGTGGTGCCCAGGACAGTTTCTCAGATTGCTAAATGCGCCCAGGACATTTAAGCACCTTTGGGAAGCTGCCCAAAATGGGAAAGGCAGCGCCCTCCAGTGCAGGCTGAAGGTTGCCTTGCTGTCTGCTTTGTGTCCTGTGGGGCCAGAGGCGGAATTAGCAGGAGGTGTCGCATTTCTGCACAGTCCCATGTGCCAGAGGGGCTCTGTTCTGTATTTCACACCTGTGAGACATTTGCCCAAAGGAATGTTGGTCAGCGGCAGCCCATCCCGTGCAGCACCAAGGGATGCTAAAACGAGTGGAGAAGGGCTGTGAATGGCAGTGGCGGCCCAGCTGGGTGACTTATGTGTTGGCTGTTTCCTTTCCCAATAGTGAAACCAGTGACCCCAAAGTGCCGAGTGCCCCAGTCAGTGCCGGTGGGTAAATCCGCCACCCTCTACTGCCAGGAAAAGGAAGGCTTCCCCGAGCCAACGTACAACTGGTACCGCAATGGTGAATCGTTGCCACTTGACTCCAAATCCAGTTCCAAATTTCAGAACTCGTCCTTCAAAGTGGACACAAAGACCGGCCTGTTGGTAAGTCTAGTCTAAAAGATAAGGGGAGGAGTGTTGAATTCCGTGCTGTAGGACACGCAACAATGAACTTAAGCTGCGGCGCACCAGGCGCAGGCTAGACACAAGAATTTCCTGACTGGGAGAGCAGGACGACAGTGGAACCAGCTGCCGGGAGAGGTGGCGGGCTCTCCCACACTGGAGGCATTCAAGAAGCAGACAGACAGTGATCTGAGTGGGAGGGTGGAACTGGCTGGGCCCGATGGGCTTCTTGGCCGCTTCTGACCCAACTGTTCTGTGAATTACCCTCTCTCTGGGCAGTGTTTGGATCAGACAGTTTCCTGGTCTTTCTACCTGCTTCTTTACTGCTTGGGAGTTGAAATTCTCTGGGTTGTTCACAGACACCAACCACAGTTCTATCAGTCCGTCCACATGTTCACCAAACTGGGAATTCTCCATGAACAGCAAGGAACTGAAGAGGCAGATGGACTTCCATCTGTGTGGATGGTGAAAAACGATATAATAAGTGAGGTGGCCGATACCAATGTATGTGCACATCTGAAATCCATTTGTTAAAGCTTTAGAGGCTGCACAAATAGATGCAATAATAAACACGTTTCTCTGAAGGAAAGGACAGATGGTTTCTGCAGAGTAGCTTTTTCCTTTCTGGAAATACTTTTCTTTTTATTGCATATTTGAATAGATATTTTAATGCTGTAATATTGGGCCCAGTTATATTTATACTCAATTAACAAGAATTAAATTATATTCAATAAACAAAAATTTAAAAAGAGATTAGAAATGTATTTCCAAAAATCTGCTGTGTGGGCATGAATGGACAGAATTCAAAACCTACTATTTGGGAAGTGGGGCAGGGGGCGAAGCCCTAGATCCGAGGCACAGCATGCATGCAATTGGATTTTTAAAAAATGAGCACACAACTTAGTTTTGCGTGCCAGAAATGAATGGTGCTTCAGGTTCTTCAGCACTCTAGACTCCTGCAAGCTTTCTGAAGGAGTATAATTTAGGCAGTTTAAAGAGTATAATTTAGGGCAGGAGGGGGTGGGTGAAAGAGGATGTCATTTTGTTTGCTGTTACAGTTATACTTGTGTTTATTCTGAGGTTCTAAAGGTAAAAGTCTATTTCCAAATGAGCCAAACCCCAAGAGGAGACGAGGCAGACAAAACATCTCTCCCGAATCCCAAAGAATATGCAGTCAGCAGCAGAAGGAGACAATGAAGGCTGGAAGCTACCTTAAGGGCGGCAAGATCCCCTTAGCAAAAAGAGCCTCCCGGGGCATCAGCCTTGCTCCATTTCAGAGGGGGACCCCTTCTGGATTGGAGAGAATGGAATCATCCGCCTCTTGGGATGTGGAGAAACTGATGTGCCCTGGGAAGGGGCAGGAATGAGAGAGACCAGAAAGAAACGCTTATTCTGGGGTTTTGTTCTGCATGCCAATGAAGGCCAGCTCGAATCAAGGCAAACTTTTTGCTCATCTGCAAAAACAGGGTTTCTCTTTAGGGACACATGGACAGTTCTCTTGCAAAGGAGCCATGGGTCTCCAAAAAGGAGAGGGCTATGAGTGGAAGCAAGGAAAGAGCTAGGCTTTGTTGCTCAGGGGAGACAGGAAATGCAAGCGTAGAGCCGCGGAGCAGCAATTTTGTCTGCCTCAGTGGAAAAACTTGAGGAAATTTGCTCTGCAGGATGGCACAGGCATTGCTGGAGGTGCCCCAGGCATCCGCAGCCCCCTTCCCCTCTCGTGGAATCGGAAAGGCATGGTGCCAGGCCATTGTAGTCAGTGGGAAGACAGAGGAAGTGGCTGTCTCTGCCCCGGCTTTGGGGAAATAGAGCCATAATAATTTTGATGACTGCTTCCCACCACCCAGGCCCAAGTGCGGGTAGGATTGCTGTGCTTGATGCTGTGCCACTTGGACGCTTGTCTCTTGACAGAGATGCCTGTCCCTTTAAGAAGGAAGCCAGTGGGCATCAAGGTGGCCAAATGGTTAGCCATCGAGGCTTATCATTGCTGCACTTTGCTCATTTATTGCATTTATAGTCTGACTTTTTTCTTGCAAGGAGCTCAAGGCAACTTAAACAACCTTCTTCCCGCTACGGTTTATCTTCATGACAAACATGTGCTGTGTCCAGGCTGAAAGGAGGTGGCTGGCTCAGAGGCCTCCCGGAAACTTTATGGCGAGCGAAGGATTAGCACCTGGATCCCCTGTGTCTCAGGTCAACATTCGAAGCACCGCTTCACTTGGCTCTGGAGACGAGTGCAAGGGAAAGGTGGAAAATGGTGCCTGGCTCGAGCAGACCGAAAATGCTTCCAGCCTGGTATCCTGGCTCCAACCATGTCCAGAGCAGATGCTTTAATGCAAGCCTAGAAAGAAGACGTAAAGACGACACCCTCCGTCCTCCATGAAATCTGCCTGTCCTTTTACCTGTATAAAAAGGCTATTTGCCAGCATGGGCACCTGCACCTTCTGTGGCAGGAAATTCCACCATGCATCAAATAGAGAAAATAAATTCTTCCTTCCTCTTGTCCCAAGCTTCTGCCCAGCACCTTTACCGATCCCATGAACCCAGATGTCCGTAGCAGTACCAAGAAATGTGCATGTGGGGAGAGTAAGGAGGCAGCTCCCACCCCCCACCCCACCAGTCCAGTGAGGAGCGAAGATGGAAGAGTGCTGTGTGCTTCATGACTGGGTGCACCTTGGGTGGAATAATGCTTCTGCATGTAGAAAACCAGCATGCCAAGGAGAAAGCTAGCTTGAGCCTAGCTCCTTTTGCATGCTGTCTTTTCCACATGCAGGGCTTGCTTGTTTTTGTGACAAAAAAAGAGGGGGGGACTTCCAGCCCATGGCAGCCCTTGCCCCCAACCTGCATTTTGAAATGGTGCAATTGTTGGAGAACTGGGAAGGATGTGACAGGCCATGGATGCTTGGGAAGCGCTTGAGCCCACGCCGAGCACCACTGTGGTTACGACGATGATTCTTGCAGGTCTTCACCGAAGTGCAGAAAGGCGATTCGGGCAGTTACTCCTGCAGGGCAATGAACGCCGTCGGTGATGCCTGGTGCGAGGAGATGGAGATGGAAGTCTGTGAGTAGCAGGGCTAGCTGGGAGCACTGATGATCGGCTGGGTAGGGGTGGACGCCAGGGACTCTGAAAAAGAACCTGCCGCTGCTCAGCAACCACTAACTCTGGTGCGAATGCTTTCATTCCCGTAAAACAGGTTTGTTTTGGCCGTACCAGTCCAGGGTGAAAGTGGAGCAGTTGCTCAGCCTCGTGCACTTCGCTGTAGCTACCTTGATGTTCGGGAGTGCAGTTCTGGCGTGGCCCTTTCTGTCTGGCATGGCAGTTTGTTACATGTACTGAGCTATTGCGTTTCTGAAGGAGTGCTCCATTTGATGAGCCCTCTCACCCTTCTCTAGTTCCAGTCTGAAGTGGTACAGACCAGAAGTACTTCCCGCTTGTTGGAGGTCCAAATAAGGGCACCTGATTTTTAGGGCCAAGAGGAGAAATTACTCGGACGGGATGTGGAAGGGGGAGTGAATTATCATTTTAAATGTTAAGCCCCATCCTGTGCAAATCCAGATGGGAAAAAGATCTACCGCTCTTAGCACACCTGTGCCTTAATGTACTGCTGTTTGGCACCGTCAGTGCATGTGGCCCTGTGCAAAGTGCAAGAGGAGAAATCCTGGTCTCAAGAGCATCAGCACATGGAAGGCTCCAGGAGGAGGAGAAGGAAGGCTTAACTGGTAAACCCGGAAAAAACAAGCCCCGTTTCCCGTAAAGGTACTTAGGCTTGTGTGCTCTGAACGGGCACAGGGGCTGCTTTGCTTGCACAAGAGAGCCAGGATGCCGGGCACCTGCGCTTTTCACTGCCATTGCTGTGTGGTCGTGTATGCCGTGGGACCCAGCAGCCAAGACGATGTGGGCACAGAGGTCCATGCCAAGCAGGAGTGGTGACCAGGATGATGGTGTTTGGCGTGAGTCTCCAGCAGCCTCCACACAGCAGCAGTGTGGCAGGGCACGGATTCTGCCCCGCTCCCTTCTCTGGATCTCCCCTCCCCATTTGCCTCTCAAAGCACAGTGACCTGCTGAATCTGAATGCTTCTTTGAGGTCACAGGCAGCCCAGCCATACAAGGAATCCTGGAGTGGTGGCTTGTGGATGGGTGTGTGATAGCCACACCGACTGTTTGCTCTCTTTCCTCCTCCAGATGACCTGAACATTGCTGCGATTGTTGGCGGGATCCTGGTGGTCACGGGGGTCCTGTCGCTGATCACAGTGGGAATCTGCTGTGCCTACAGGAAGGGTCTATTCGTGAACAACAAGCAGAATGGAAACAGGTATGCCGAAGTGGGCATTCCCATCCCCAGCTGTGTTTCCTGGAGGGTTTTCTGTAAGCAGAAGGAGCAAGTAGTCTGGATTTCTATAAGAAGGGCAAGAGATTGAGAGAGGGAGATTGAGAGAGAGAGAATGCTATTAAATCAATCTACGCATACAGGGCCAGATTAAATGCTAGGCTAACCCCATCACAGAGCTGTGTCCTGACCTGTCTTCATGAACGGGGAGTTCTCCTTGTGAAGCACACGGTCAATTAAAAGAAGAAATCAGTGTTCGGTGGTGACCCCAAACTGAAAGGTAAGAGCCTTGTTCTGCAGCAGGCCTGTCAGCAAGAGTCGACAGGAGCGGGAGGCCGCCGAGAGCCAGCCCTGCCCAGAGCTGGCGCTTCCAGTGCTTTCCCACTTCACTGCTGGTGGCATGGCTGCTGCAGTGCTTGCTCCTGCAGCTCCTCTTCTCCCGCACTGGTTGGCCCCTGCTGGCCGGAGGTTGTGTGGTGCCGGCCGGCCAGCCCAGCCCGTAGGGTCAGCATCACCCCATGTCGAAACAGCCCCTTTTAAAGCCAGACATTTTGAGCAGCAGCATGACCTGGTCCAGTGCTGCCTTGGCATGCCAAGGAGGGGTCGGGGGGCCAGTGAGGGCACATGAGCGGCAAAGGGGGAAGAAGCAGCGGGCAAACTCGGAGAACCTGCAGGTGCAAGAGGTCACCATCTGGGCCACCCATAAACTTCTGCGGACGGGGCAGGGTGAAGGTGCTGGGAAGGAGGCCTCGCCAGGGAGCACTCTAAGCAGCTTGCGGGTGGCAGCAGCAAGAGGTGAACTGTGAGCAAACCGTGGCTGCAGGAGTCCTGCAGGGGAGGACATGGAATGACATGAGCAAAGGAGGCAGGATGCACCTGGCCTGCTCCCGTGCCCACCTTTGCAGAGGAAGGCTCATTGCGAGACGACTTGGGTCGGAGACATTGACCTCCTGTACCCGTCAGTTGACAGGTTTGCACCCTCATTTCCAAGTGAAGGATTTTGACTTCACGGCAGGGAGCAGGAGTCTGGGGGCAAAACGCCCTGCCTCAGAGGCACACGGCATTTTTTCTGGGTGCTCAGCTTTTCCGCCACGTTGCTTCCCCTGGACGAGGGGAAAAGCAGTTGCCTTTTGCCGGCCGGCTGGATTGATGGCTTAAAATTAGCCACAGCAGGAAATGACTCCCCAGGAAAAGGAAGGTCGCTGGGCAGAGAGAGATAATGCATCCTTCCCCTTGCTGAGCTGACGCAGGCTTCCGAGTTCAGAGATCAGCCTTGCTCGTGCAGAGGCCAGGATAAGGAGCTCCAGCGTGCTGCTATGAATCCGGTTCTGGGTTATGCCAGAGCACGTCCCCTGCGGCAAAAGGGGCCACCCTTCAGTGTTCCTTCGAGGAGGCATCTGTAGGATTCACACGTGCCTCGATGCAGCACGGTGGCTCTGAAGCAGAGCTTGGTAGAGCTTTTTCTCTGAGCTGTTGGGGAAATTGTTGGAACTTTCTGGAGTGCGGGCATAAATCACAGCTGCAGCACGCGGTGTTTCTTCTCAGCCTTCCAATCAATGTGTGTGGCTTCCGTATCCAAACCTGGAGGTGGGAATGGTGGTGGAGACAGCAAGATGGCAGGGCAGACCACAGAAAGAAGTCCCGTCAATGAAAAGGCGGATTCCCAGGGCAGAGAAGGCGAGAGGGCTGAAAATATGGTGGGATGCATTGCCTGCTCCAGGGCAGGGAGGCGTGGTCTGAGCAACGGTGGGGCTCCCGTGTTTGAAAACAAAGCATCCTCTAAGTGGGAGGACGGTGGTCCATGGGGCAGCCTGGGCAGCCCTCAGTAGTGGTGCTTTCCCTCTCCCAGGGCTGTGCCATTTCTCTTCCCCAGAGGGTTTTTTGGATGTGAGGTTCCTCCACCCCAAGCATGGGGGACTTAGTGAAAATGGCATTTTCCTGTGCCGTGTACGAGTACAGTCCATTCTCCAGCCTTCTAGGACTTGCCCTCCCTGCCTCGGGGTCAAAGCCGTGTCTCTCCAGGAAGGGGGTTATTTCTGGAATGGCTGCTTCAGTGGCCGTGGGGCCTCGGGGAACAGCCAGCTGGGCAGCTGAGTACCTCCCCAGCCCCACGCCCAGTAAATCTTGCCTTCTCTTGTTGCAGCTACAAGACTCCATCAAAGCCCGACGGTGTGAACTACATCCACACGGATGAAGAGGTGAGGGGGACTGGTTGAGCCCAAAGTTAGGAGAATCCTTGGGAAAGGGGTGGTGGGATTAGGTTCTGGGCATCATCTTCCTTCTGCGGCTTCTGATGGCCAGAGGAGGCGGCCCAGAGAGGTCCATGGGGGCAGGAGGAGGTGAGATGGGAAAGCAGCCTTCTAAATAAGCCAACGCAAGTGGCTAGCTTGCCAGCCGCAATGCTAGTAGGCTGTGCTTCCATACTGGTTGCAGAAGAAAAGCTCTCTTCTTCAAGGCCCGTGTGGAGTATTTTCCATGGGGAAAATTATTGCCTTCCTCTGCGGTTAGCATGGAAACAAACCATCTGTGCTCGCCTGCACGGCCTTGTGAAGTACGAGGCTGCATTCAATTTGGATTTTGTTTTCTAATGGGCACCACTTCTCATGTGCCCATCTGAGAGCGAGTTCTGGGCAACGCATCCTCCAGCTGAAGACATTTCACATTCTCGGTCTGCACTGGAAGATGCTGGATTCTGCAGCTTTTCTAAGCACAGCGATTGGATTGGCATAATTTTCTCTTAATTGTGCATGGCGGCTGTGTTAGCCTTTAACCCTATTTAGCACGATTCATTCCGACTTTGAGGATCATGCGGGGAGGAGGCCTTAAGCTGATCTTCCTCGTGCCTGGCAGATAGCTATTTCCTGAGCTGACTCAGGAGGCATCCCTATGCATGCTTAGACAGAAAAAGGGCCCACAAGTTCCGGCATTCCTTAGCCAGGCATGTTGGGAGTTGCAGGGCTTCTGTCTGCCTAAAGATGCTCACGATGGCCAGTTGAAGTTGCAGAACATATTCTGGTCCCAGGGACACAAGTGATGGCAGGCTCATGAGTGGCCAGGACAATCTCTGGAGCTTCGTGGCTGCTTCTTGCAGCAATGCATACAGAAGCAGCAGGAGGGAAGACAGGTGTGTTCTGAAAGAGAAGAAAAATATTTTCTGGTGCTTGAAAAAACATTTTATATGGCCAAGTGTGTTTCAGAAAAATATTTCTATTCTTTGGAGCTACTTTTCTGTCTCCCTATATGTCCCGGCAAATCTTTCCAATGCTCCCCCCATTTTAGAATGCTAATTTGCTGCAGCAAATTTGGAGAAAGATAAGCAGCCCCTGAGGAAGAAAAGCCCTTTCTGAAAGGTGCTGGGCAAAATGTTTTTTCAAGCTTCTGAGGATAGTTTCTCATCCGTTTTGGGGGCAGCATTATTATAGGGCAGATGTGGGTTGGCAGGGATGAGTGCAAACCTTTCCCCTGCTGCAGCTGCTTGGTGAAAAGCTGGGTGACAGTTCAGGTGCCTCTTAGTCCCTTCACCTCTGTTTCTGAGTCCTTGGGAAGGAGGATCTGGGAGAAACAAACGGGCTTGCTTTAAGCTACTCTGCGGACTGGAGTTGCTCTGGGGTGTTACATGAGCCTTTGGACAAAGGCTTGGCTTGGCTTTCAATTCACCAGTTTCGGTTTAGCTTGGGGCAGGTGGATTGCGGAGAACACATCTTTAAAAATGCCCTGACGCACTTTTCTGTGTTTCCATCCTAGGGTGATTTTAGGCATAAGTCCTCGTTTGTGATATGAAACAGCAAAGGAATTTGGATTTTTGCCTGCCTGCAAGGAGGGACTGCTGGAGACAAAAATCCTTCTGGAACTCTATTCAAGAGCAGATAACAAATGATGTGTGCAGAAGCCTTTAGAGGAAAGATGAAAAAAAGCAAGCCAGCCAGCCAGCCAGCGCACATGTGCACACACGTGCGCAGACTGATTTTGATTTCTGCTCCCTTCTGTTTTGGCCAAAGTCAAGCAACGATTTTTAACAACCGAACTGTTGCCTGCTCCCCTAGAAGCGACCCTGTGGATCACAACCATCCTTCCCGGCAGCAAGCAGAGCATTTCGTTCATTCTTGGCAGGGGAAAATAATATCACCATAGTATGGACCGCTGCCTCCATGCCGCTGGAGGTTGTGACGCTGTGCCAGCTTGGGGTTTACAAACTGCCAGGATACCTAAACTGAATAGGGGAAAACAAGCTTGGAAATGGTTTTGCTTTGCTCTCCCCCCACCCCCCCTCCCTCTCTCTCCCTGTCCCTCTCAGCAGAAGTGTTACAACAGAAGTAGAATGAAGTCCTGGCTGTGGAGGGTAGACAACCCCTTCCTGCCTGCAACATCTCTCTCAGCCCAGTCCTGTGAATTAATGAAGGTGGCCGCCACTTTGCCAGTGTGACTAGTTGGGATCAGGGGATTTTCCCCAGCAGCAATGTTAAAAGTGCAAAGACACTTTTGCTCTTAAAAGTGCAAAAAATGTTTTTTTTTAAACACAAAGCCACAAGGTGTTTCCCTGGGGACCCTGACAGCTGCATTACCTGCAAGCTTTAGTGGCGCCAGGGGCAGCAGGGCTGTTGCCCCCGAATCCGCTCTCCATGCGCCCACAGTGCACAGAGAGGCAGCTGGGAGGCTATGGCAGCACCAGGGGTGGTCCAGGGCTAGTGGAGTCAACCATGCAGACCCTGTCATGGTATTTGCCTTCCTGGGTGAATCATGTTCTTCTACCAAAGTCCGCAAGGCATGGGGACCGGCATCCCTCAGCAGACATGCGCACTCAGGCAGAAAAAGAGCAAAGAACATGGCGGGTTCTTCCCGGTTCGTGGCTCTGTGATCTTCATTTCTTGTGAGGCGACTCTGTTCTTGATGTGGCGTTGTGCGTTTCTTCTGAGCTAGGCGTAACTTCTACCCTTCATGGAACCTAGTGGCAGGACACGCACAGACACACGTACGTGTGTGTGTGTTGGCATCTTAATCTCTCCATTCCGTATCCGTTTTGTTGCAACAGGACGCTTCCTTTGGTGAAATGTGGCAAGGGTGAGAGAGGTAAGGCTTAGCTCAGGATTGGGGAGATCAGATTTGGATTCTTCGGACGTTCGGCTCTCTCTGCAGGCTCCCTTCTGCGGAGTGATGCTGCCATAGCATTTTCCTTGCTGTAAAGCTTACAGCAGTGAGACAGCGCCACACATAATTTCACTTTTAGTTCGGACCATGCTGGGTCTGGATTGTGCTATTGCACATGGCAATGGCACTTCCTGCCCAACTAAACTTTTGGACATAATTTTCAAACTTCCTTCAGGAAGAAGACTAGGCGGAAACCTTTCTGTGGGGAGATTTGGTGTTTATTTGGAAGAGTGTTTGTCAGGTGACCCCCTCCCCCGACATTAGGAAGAAAGACCCTACAATCAGCTACCTCTCTGAGAACTAGGACTTGGGAACTACATGGTTAGACAGCTCGGCTTTCCTTTTTCTTGTTACTTACCTGGGAAGGTATGTGTTTGTGCACAAGAGGGAGGAGGAGAAATTCTGCTGTTTTTAATGGGAGAATTGTGTCATTCCATCTTTTAATTAGCTGTTAGGTTATCTGGACACAGGATTTCGCATCAGCTCAGCCTTGTCTCTGGCTGGTGCCACAGAATGGCTGCAGTTTGCCTGTTTGGGTGTTGAGATCTCTAACCAGGGTTTTGATGGTTCACGGTACAACATTTAAATACTGTCCCCGAAGCGGCACAGGGAGACATAGCAAGCCCCTTTTGAGTCGCCCATCAAATCGGAATGTTTTGGCCTTTCTCAAACCAAGAGAACTTGGTTCCTTGCTTTACGCAAAACTATCCCAGTGCTGCCATTGCATCTAATCCATAGAATCTGCATTATGCCAACTTGCTTTTTTATTTTTAGTTTGAGCCCCTTTCCGTGCCAAGCTCTTCAACTCAACATCACCATGGCTGAGCAAATATTCCAGCTGAACATTCTTATCCACAGGTTTAGGATTCTACTGTGGCACCAGGATGAAGGCAAAAACTTTTCTACTATTTCCATTCCTTCTTTTGTAGAATTCTGCATTCTAAATTTTTTGCAAAGATATATTTTGATTACTGCAAAAACAAACAGTGGTTAATGTTTCTATTTAAAATGTAAATAGGTTGGTAGGCCAAACAGAGTTAAATAGCAGTGTTTTAAAGGCTTTTGTTTAATGACAAACAGGAGTTCCAGTGCTGATTCAAACCATATCAGTATTGCTAACAAAGTGCATAGAACAAGCACAGCTGCACAAGTCAAGTGAGAGAGAATCTTTTTTTTTTCTTTTTTCTTTTGCTTCCTGTTTTCCTTTTTGGAGCAAGTGGTTGTGAAGGTAGGAACAGGAGAATCACTTGAAAGGATGTAATTTTCAGAAACACGTTTACTCACCCTCTTAATATTTCTGCTTTTCCTGCAGAAAGATAATGACCAGGATCGAAAGAATTATAAATCTGGTCACAGGAAGGTAAAAAGGAGATGCATTTTCTCTGGCAACCTCTGCTGTGTCATGACAAGCTACATTTGGGAGTTTCAAAGCTTATAATAATGAAAATGTGATGTTGGAAGTAAAACCCCAAATCCTTTTAAGTGTGTACAAGCCCTTTGGCACACCTAAGGGAGCTACATAAGTCTTTGGATGAGTCCTTTGAATCCTGGTCACAGCTTAATTATTATTGTGTTTAAAGTTGTTAAATGAAGCCATAAGTTTTAGCAGGGCTTTCTCTCCATCAGCTTTCTTTTAGCTTGTCTGATTTCAGCTCGCAAAAACTCTTTTTGCAAACTAGAAAGAAAGGAAGAGGGGATGCAGGAATGCTTTATACACACATAAATATGCACAGCTTGCTTTTTGAATACTGACAGGGCTGCTGTCTCATGCGGTTGTAAGCTGTAATTCCAAGTTTCTTGCTACGCATCGTTTACAGCCGGGAAAGGTGCTACAGTGCCATTCAGTGCAAGTTACTTAAATGCGTTGCAAGAGCAGTTCTTTGCTGTGATGGAAAAAGTGTGGGTCTTCTTTAAAAAGGATAGTAAACTTTTTTTTTTTTAGTGATGGTGTTTTTCAGCTACAAATTTAATGGTCTTAACTTTGGGTGCAGATCGTATTTTTACTGCATTTTGGATTTTTGGATTGTTTGTATTAAGTTTCTTCACGTTCTGTATTAATCTGCCTTGGAATATCCAGCACACCAAGTGTGGTTTTTTGATTTTTTTTTAAAGGACAATGGGAACAGATGTCATTGGCACATTTTTTTCTGTGCAGGAGCCTCCATCCTTCCCCTCTCCTTTCGAACGAAGGTGGAGACAAGAAGGGGAGCATTACACTGCCGCCATCTTGTTTTGCTGCAGCCGTGGCTACCTCTAGGAGGCGTTTGACCAAAGGACAAGTTTTCTACCCACTGCCAAAGTATGTTCCTTCCTTAATTATGCTAGAATAGGAATGCCTTCAGAATCAAAATGACTCTCTCTTCCACTGTAAGTTTTTCCACTGCCCCTTTTCTGGGCTGCCTGTATGACCTCAGACATAGAAAAGGTTTGCAGTTATTATAATAATTTATTAGAATGAAGGACCGGCACTTCTTTGAAGTAGTTCTGTACTACACCTGTAATCTGGGTTAACATGGATAATTTGCCACATGGAGATTGTGGAGCAGCAGGGAGATCATTATCCAACAAGGCTTAGCTGGAGCTGTGATCTAATGAGAACACAGAATCGGTGGGCGAGTTTTCTAGAGCCACTGGAAGGATGCTTGAGCCTGTTCCTTTCAGCTCTGTAACGCGGTGGTGGAATCACCAGCCCAGGCTTGTTCACCCATGTAACCTTGAATGATTCGGAGTCCCATCAGCCATAGTCAACAGTGCCAGCACTCAGGCATGTCAGGTATCATCCAAAACGTCCGGACAGTGCTGGGCTGAGGAAGGCTGCTCTGAGTTGTGACAGAATGATTCCAGGATCTGGCTTTTCTCTCTGTAGTCATATTTGAATTGGTCTGCTGTGATGCATGCATTGGCTTGAATGCTGGTTTCTCAAAGGGATGGAGCTGCATGGAGGACTGGCTGGGGACCTTCGGCAGGAGGTGGAGGCGGCAGCAGCACTCACGGCCTGCTTATGGGGTTCCCACGGGCAGCTGACTGGCTGCTGTGAAGAGGGAGGCTGGACTAGACAAAGCCCTTGTCTGACACAGCAGGGCTCATGCATTGGCACAGCATGATGCACACCTCTCCCGCTCCCTCAGGCCTCCAGAATTCCTGGGACTGAAGTCATACCTGTTCATCCAGATTAAATCTGTAGCATAGAGGGATGCATAATGCCTTCCACTCAAAAGGCCGCGGTCCCCTTCTTCCAGGACACTCCACCCCCAAAGAAAATGCACCAGTGGCATCTCTGTAACAAGAGGGGTCTCCGCCTCTGAGACAGCTTCACAGAACTCATTGTAAATATTTGACCCGTTTGTACTAATGTATTACATTTAACTTTGCCAAGAATGTTTTACATAAAGATCGAAAAGGCGTGTGTGAGCGGTCTTTGTTGTCGCGGGGGGCAGGCTGTGTGCAAAGGCAGCATGGTGGATACGGCAAGTTGGTTCCCTTGGCTTTGGGTGTCCAAAGTGTGAACAGTGTGTGGTGCTTGCTCAGCACCAGGTCTGCCAGCCCCGGGGTGGAATGGAGGGGTTGCCCAGTACCTGCCTGGCATTGATGTGAGGTAAGGGCTGGGTGTCTCGCAGGCTTTCGTAAAAGACAAGCTGGCACAATTAGGCTCACGGTTGGTCTTGCCACCGGCAGCCACTCAGCAAGTTCAGGGTGGAAGCAAGCGTTGAACTGCACTAACCCACCCCCACCCCATATGAATCCCAAACCTCAGGGGGAGCATTGCCCCAGTGCAGTGGCACAGGATTCTGGAAAGAAATTTCTTGACCCCAGTACAGCATCCAAATTTTTAAAAGCATGCTGTTGTTAGACCTAAAAGCATGCAGTTAACAACAGCCATGTTTTTAATAGCTTTACAGCCTTTGGCTAAAAAGCTTTGTGTAAATTAGGGTCTCACTATTTTACTGACACTCTTAGGTGACCAAGTTCACTTTTGGTCTTTTGCTATTTGCTTAGGGGGAAAAGACCCAAAGGTGGGGGGAGGGGGGGTGAAAGAAACGAAACTTAAGAAGTGCAAAGGCCAAGTGTGCACGGAATGTGAAAAACTGTGTGTATACAAATTAAAACAATGGGAGTTAACATGGTCCACAAGCAGGAAATAATCAATGAGGGCTATATATACACCAGAGTCTCTTCAAACACTGTGATTATTTGACTAAAGCACTGCATCAAGGCAAATTCTCTCTCTAGAAATTAATTTTGGCATGATTCTTCAAAGTCCTATAATGTGGAAATTGGCACAGAAAATGTGCTGGGTTTTCTAAGGACAAATACAGGCCCAGAGCCAATGAGGAACACATAAACACACATGTTCTTCCATGTGAATGTGCCTTTCCACCTTCCACTTACAGCCTCCTGGCTTTTAAACTGATCCAAGGATCAACTTTTCTAAAGAGCTGTTTTTTCCCCAAGGGCAGCAGAAGCTGCAGGGAAAGAAGGCCCCCGAAACCCTCCAGAAGAACACACACTTATCCATGTGGCAATACCACCTCAGGCTCTTACGGGAATCTCATTTCTGGGGATGATTAACTGCAGTGTCACCTTTTAATTGTACTGATTTTCCATGGAGACAATTTCAAAGGCTTCTTGCCGCATTGTGTGGCCTGATTCACACTGAATGCCTCCATCCAGGGAAGTCTCCCTGAAGACCGAACAATCAGGTCATGTAGTAGGCATGTACCAAGGACACACATTGACCGAAATGTTGTGCTTTTAGCTATGCGATAGAAAATCCAGAGTGCAGTCATATGCTACTGTCCAACCACCGGAGCTCCTCATGGGCCTGCAGCTCCTTTGAACTGGATATGACTGCTTCAAAGGGTGTTTAATTCCACCCCAAGACGCCCCTGTGTTGAAAATAAGCTAAGACGGGCAGGCATCACCTCAATCAAAGCAGCAGTGGGTTATTTAAGCTAAATAGATATTGACTATAGTTACAAAGTTAAGCTTGACGTACTAAGAATACAAAACTATTTACACAGATGTCAGCAGCGGTCTTCAAAGGTACAACAATGTGGAGAAAGAGTTAAATACATGATTATACTTCTGTACAAAGATATGGCTCAGGTGGGAGTAAAGCGTCATTTGCTAGGGTTCCGGGGTGTTCGGCGGTTGGACTGCCGTGGGCCTACGCGTCGGGGACCATTTCCTCTTGCTGGCGAGTTTATTTTCCACTGCCGAGGCCGCAAAGCTCTACGAGATGATACAGAAAACTTTCAGACCAAGAAATCAAGGGAACCAGTGTTTAGAGCTGTTAGATTTAAGTCAATGACAGGAGTTTACTGCGTGGCCAAAAGCTGCACAAAACTGACAACACTTTTTTGTTTAACAAGTTAAGGGAGTTTCTGTCGAAGGCTTTGTTCCTGCCCAGAACCCTGCAATCGTTCTAGTGTGTGAACGGAGCTAACATCTGCCCAGTTAATTTTAATGGAAACTGAATGTAGAATGCCTATGTTTAGCTGCTGCCTATAAAATCGGCAGAATACACCTTAGAGACCACAGAGTCTGCTCCTCTAACATGAAAGGAAAAGCTTGCAATCAGCAGACTCATGGAACGCACCTAGAGTATATGACCTTAAGTCCTTCTGCAGAAGGAAGCCTGGCATGGAATAGAAATGCCTAGCCTAGCCTACCTCCTTAGCAGCTAGTTTTCTGTGCCCAGAGAGGCAGGGAAGTCTCGGGTTGTAATCATGGGGGCGACGGGAATTCAGCCATATGCTCCGCCATCTACGAGTAGTTTACAGTGATACAATACATGGACAGATTCTCATCATGCGAGGCTGCGGATCATGCGCTTCCGCTCTGAGACTCCAGGTTACCTGGATGGCTTTTCAAAGACTAATGAAAGCGTTTCTTCATTCCATCAAGAGTTGCCATCTCTGCCGATGACTTGCAGCACTGATGCTTGCATACTATTATTAACTGCTACTGCGAGGAAATGGTGTTTATATCCTACCTTTTTTTCTCTTGTGAGAAAATCAGGCTGGTTTGCATAATTCTATTTTATCCTTACAACTACACCCCTGTGAAGAAGGTTAGGCTGAAAGTGAGTGGAAAGCAGGGCTCAATGGAAAGCGGGGCTCACAGCTCAGCGGAAAGCAGGGCTCAAGCTCCCAGTCCAACACTGTGGTAGCTTAATAGGCTTACTCGGATGTTCTGCACCCCACTGACAGCGTGGTCAGTGCCTTGATCCAGAACTGGGACCCAGTTCATTCTGCACGCGGCCACAAAGCTCACCAAGTCACCATGGGCCACCGTGCAGGCTGGCTTGCCACCCAGGATGGCGGAAAGAGCAAAAGAGCGCAGGAGGATGTTCACCACTCGGCGCTCCTCAAAAGAAAGGCGGGACGAAAATAGGACGGATCGTTTGGATGATGCTGGTGGCGAAAGTGATGGGAGCTGCCCCGTGGCTGCATAATCCCCTAACTGAGACCACAGCTGTACTCACGGTCTGTCAGGTGATACCAAGCAAACAATCTGTTCCTCTGAATCCTGAGCCCCTTGCTTTCCTGCAGGAGGAATGGAAGCAACCTTGACATGCCTGCGTCTTTCCCATTTAAGATGCATGCATATATCTTAAATGGAAATACGCACGCACATGCGCCTGTGTCCTCTGGACAAGGACCAGCGGCAACTTACCTGGAGAGGATGCTGGTGTGGGCATCAAGGCGATACAGCTGACCCCAGCGCCAAAGGTCACATTGCTGATCGACTCTGCGGGGGAGAAAGCATCACAAGGTTTACCACCAGCTGCCCAGATACGTACAAGTTAATTGCAAAATGTATCTCTCCTTTTCAGGTTGCAGTTAATCAACAAAGGTGCATGAAAGAAGGTAGGACAACATTCTGGGATTTAGTCGCATGGCTGTGAAGAATATAACTTTTTCCCGATGACCAGACAAGTGTCGCAGTGACATGAGAGAGTTGGGAATGGTGATGTGCAAAGCAGCTCCCTATGGAAGACAGGTCTGGTGCACTGGTGCATTTCCCGGGCGCTGCCATCCCCTTTCTTCTGCCGCTCGAGCATGCTTGCGTTAAACCATCAGGACAAACGGGAAGGGCAGGGCAAGATGCGCTTGCTATTTTAACAGTGGTGCTTGTTGGCAGGGAGGTGTGCTCACTGCCATTTCAATGGAAATAAAACAGGAAGGAAAGGAAATTCCCTTCGCTTTTGTTTTTGCACTGGGGAAACTCGGAGGCAGCATGGCAGTGACAGCAAAATCCTGGCCAGCTCAGGCAGCAATGATGTGATGCGCGGCTTACGTCACTCCTGGGAAGCATGACTGGACTCCTAAGCCTCAGCCCACAGTGGGACTAACAGCTCCCTCCCTCCCCAGCAAGTCCCTCAAGCACTGACGCAAGTCCCCAGGGGAGAGGGCACGATTCTCACAGCCAGGACACACACACCCCCACAGTCCCGAAATAGTCATGTTTCTAGCCCTTATGGACAAAGAGCTAGGCTCTTGAGTGCTTGGATAACGCTTGCTGAAATCCATAAAGCTAGGTGGGCTGTGGGGTTGTCGGTGGCCACAGGCAACGTTTACGAGCCCTGCACATGCCCAGAAAAACAGAAAGGAAATGATGCAGAAAGTGGTGCCGTATTATCTCGATTTGTGCAAGCACTTCTTGCCACAAAACTCCTGAATCCAGAGGGTAGGTCCCTCAGTGCCTGATGCTTCCAAGGTGATTTGGCAAGAAGGGGCTCAGGAAGAACTGCTGTTAGTGGTCAAACACAGGCCTGTGCATAGCAATGGGGGACATTCATGTCGGGATCCTCCCCAGCGAGATACCATTCTCTGTTCCTTTTTTCCCTATCAGGGTCCGGGTTTTGCAAGCGGCGTGTTTTATACATGCAATCACAGGTGGAGCTGCACTTTCTGCTTGCCAGCGCAGGTGGGTGTTTTATTCTTGTGGTTACTGGTTGCAGTTCCACACCACCGCTTTCGTTATGGCAGCAAATAAAGGTAATTAATAGTAATGATAAAAGTAATAACAGCAGCAATGAAAAATGGACTGCAGAGCAAGATTCTCTGCACACTCGGCTGCAGAACAGGGAGCTGGGCTGGAGTGAGGCGGAGTGGCGAAGGGGAGATTCCATGAAGATGGATTAGAATTTCGCAGTGGGTCCTGGAAGTTTGAGAAGGATGCTGCCCCTGGAGGACATAACAATGGGGCTTGGTACCAGCACTGGCCTTGGGAGGCAGCATTCAGAAGACCGTGGCCAGGGAGGAGATCAGACAGCCATCCCTAGCTATGGCAGCATCCCTTAATTTGGTGTGCTCCAGGATGTGGATGATGGGAGTTGCAACACAGTGCATCTGAGAGGTTACTGGGGCTGGGAAGGCTCAACCGGGGAGCCCACCCACACCAAAAGGGCACCGTGTGGAAACTTACTCTCAGGGGTGCTGATCGCTCGGCCTTCCAGGGGAACGGTGGCTCCGGAAGATGGTTGGTTTAGGCTTCCACAGGAGGCTAGAAAAACAGGAGGTCAGTGTTAGATGCTGGGGACACTTGCAGCAAGACGGCTCCGAGCCCACTGGGCCCGAGCGTGTTCTGTCACAGAAGAGCTATTTACTGGTGAATGGCTCCTTGCTCCCTGGAGATGCAGGTCTTCTGCCCAGGCTCCTGCTGCGCTGCTTGGAAGCGGCTTCCACGGCCATTTTAGCAGAGTTGAGGATGGCAAGAGTATTCAGAGACACGTTTCTGTGAGGAGGAGGAGGAGGAGGAGAGCAGAAACATCACTGGCGTTTCAGTCGCTGCAGAGAAGGCCAGCTTTGCACTTCCACTGAGCATCAAGTGGGGTTGGCTGCATTCGTACTACTGGAGAAAGGGCCACCTTGAAATGCAACTCAGTGCATTTGTGTGCCTGATTTTTCAGTTGCCATATCGAGACAAGCCCAGAGCCAGCAACAACCTTCACTGAAATGAAGTGGAAGCTCATTACACCATAGAACAATAAGGCTGAAATAATGCACACGCTCCCCATGAAAACTCACAGAAGGAAGTCTGGGTTTTGGCAAATCCAGAGAAAGAGCTCTAAAGCACTTCTCCAAGTGCTTCCCATTTTCCAGAGCTTGGATGGCTAAGCTGAACAAGGTATTCTCAGCAGACTAAAGCAGTTGAGAAGAGATGAAGGGCAGAAAGCAGTCTTGCTAAAGCTGCCTTCCCTAATCTGAGGTCCTACCAGAATTTTCGCCATTAAAGCCATCCGAATTGGTTGCCGTCGCTACCATTTTTGGGAGCCAGTTCTGTAGCTTCACTATGCTCTCTCTGAAGTACTTGTGCTTATCTGTCCTGAATCTCTCACCCCCTGGCTTCATAGGATGATCCTGCTGGGTTCTAGCATGAGAAAGCATGAAAAATGTCTCCTTATACACTTTCTTCACACCATACCTAGTTTTGTAGATTCCTTCCTTAACTCCCTTTTAGCTTAGAAGTCTCAGGTATTGAAATCTTTCCTCGGAGAAGAACTGCTCCCATGGTAATTTTAAAGGCCCTTTTCTGCACTTTTCCCAACTGTGCAATATCCTTGCTTTTAAGTGTTGTGACCAACCATGTGCAAAGTATTCTAAGTTAGATTGTGCCATATCTCCAAGGAGAACGCAGATCAGCAGAGACCACTGAGTAGCATACCTGGGCCTTGGAGTCAAGACGCCTGGCCTGGCCACAGTAAACCCAGCAGGGGCTGGAGGAGATTTCAAAAGCGAGGAGTCTCTTCGGGCGGTGGGAGACGCCTCCTGAACCTGATCAGCAGAGCGGGGGGACTGCTGTTGAAAGGGGACATGAACAGACGCTCACATGCCATGACAGGGCCCACGGGTGTTCGGCGCTCTGACCATCATTGGTCCCATGGTGGCTCTGCTGCACAAGTCATCATTAGTCCCATTTTAGAAACCACCAGGCAGAGGCCGAATGCAAAGCTCTCCGAGGCCACTCTGCTTAGGGCAAGGCTGAGAGCTTTTATCCTGCAAAACCGGGAATGTATAGTGCTAGGCTGAGACACGCTGCAACAGCCAGTGAATCCTGGACTTGACTCTCCTCCGCATAGCCAAGAGAGAGGGATGATTTTGAGCAGTCATCTTTTCTCCTCCGAAAACTAAGGTGGGGTTGGCTTTTGGGAAGAGGTGGCTGAAAAGTCTGGAGAAAGCACTGAGAAGTCGCTGCTAGGAGCACATTTCCGTGGAGTCTTTCAGAGAAGGATGGGGAAAGCCTTGAAGGGATGTGAAACTAAGACAGAATGAAGAGTCGGCGATAGAGGAAAGCTGACCTGCAGCTGTTCTTTCTTATCAACAGCCGCTTGTTCTCCTAGCCCAGCCTGCACCGGCTTTCAGCTGCTTCAGCTGACAATGAGATGGTCATCTTGCACCTGTCGCCATTAACACACACCTGCCTCCCCTCCCTCCCACCCCCCCCCCAAAACGAATGAAAATCTCATGTGTGTGCGGTGGGAACAACTGTGAACACTCAAAGAAGCCTGGATTGGCCAGTAAGCTATTTTGAAGAGCCGTGGGCCTTGGCCCCTCGGCAAAAATGGGCCAGCACAAGGCCGTTGCTGTTTGCCCCCGAACGTGGGTGTTGCTACCTGCACAGCCACCGCAGGCTCAAGGACGTCCGTCTCTCTGGAGGGCTCTTGGCCTTGCTCTGATTCCTGCTCCAGCTGCTCTTCGTACTTCTTCATGTCGTATTCCAGTTCTGCTGCCAGCTGCTTGTCCAGGGCAAAGAACTCCTTGATCTCGTTCCGATAATCTTTCATCACCTCCTGGAAGATGCAAGGGTGCTGCAGGGCTTAGTCAGTTAGGCCTTCTACCCACACGCAAGCCAATAGCCCTGGGGTTAAAAAGCAGCACGACTGACCTCTGGCCTATGGAATATCAGTGGCCATACGCAACCGGGGCCGCAAAGATGGCAAAGGACACAGGAAAAGGCCTCCTGCTGGCCCCCCCATCCCAAGCCTGCACACACCCCAAGAGGGCTCAAGACAGGCACCAGAGCAGTGGCCGGTGAGGCAGTCAGAGGTCAGCCCGGAGAGCCCCCAGCCCTCGCCAATGGGTGCTGAATCTCCTTCTGCGGAAGCGCTGGGTTACGTTACAACTAAGCTCTCAGGGATTGCATTTGAGGGGGTGAGGCCTACTTTAGCTTAGAGGGCACAACAGGTGGGAGGTTGAGGATTGGGGGCCAGGGTTCGGCCTATCATAAAATCACAGAAGAGGAGAGTTGGAAGGGGCCATGAAGGCCATCAGGTCCAAGCCCTGCTGTTTATTTATTTGTTTAGACAGCATATATGCCACCCCCTTCGCATAAGCCTCGGGGCGGCTTACAATCATTAAGGACACCTGTTGCAGGGAACCAAGTTACACCATCCCACCCAGGTGGCTGTCCAGTTCCCCTTGAATGTCCCCAGTGTGGGAGAGCCCACCCCCTCTCTGGGCAGCTGGTTCCACTGTCGTATTGCTCTGGCAGTGAGGAAGCTTTTCCTGATATCTAGCCTGAACCTGGGTTGTTGCAACTTAACTTGACTATTCCGTGTCCTACACTCTGGTGTCCTACACTCTTGACCTTCCTCTTTGTGACAGCCGTCGAGATACTTAGAGTGGTACCGTGTCCCCACTCAGTCATCTCTTCTCACGGCTGAACATGCCCAGTGCTCTCATCAGTCTCTCCTCACAGGGCGGTGTTTCCAAACCCTGGATAATTTTTGTTGCTCTCCTCTGGACCCTAGGGCTTTCTGTACCCCTGCCTGATACACGGGTAGCTAAGCTTGCAGGTTGGCCACCCCTAATGCGAGGCCAGTGGCCAAAGCATCCCTTTGAGGCAGCTCTGGCCATACGCCCAACCTGAGGGCAAGCCAGCTGTCTTCCTCAAGAGATAACCTGCAGGCTATGGCGGGTTTGCTGCTTCTGAGCAGCTGCTCACATCTCGGCTCGGGACTGCAAGAGAGCGGCCAGGCTGGGCGCCACACCACTGAGGAGCAAGCACATCCCCGACTCACAGTTCACTGCATGACCCTGGCCTGGACCATTACCCGGAGATAATTCATGAGATCCCTCAGCGCCGGAAGCCGGTTTTCCTGCAGCAAAGCCTTCAGTGAAATGACGACTGGAATGACATTTTCTACAAAATTCTTCTTCTGGACCTGTGGATCGGATTAGCAGAGATGTGGCTTCAGGCGGATGGGACTAGCTCCATGCAGAACGATGGAGAGGTCAGCGTGCTGCAAGGGGAGCCCCACAGTGAGGTCTGATGGGCAGGAGCAGCCCTCGAAACTGCTTTGGCGCAAATTCTAATCTCTGATCACGTGTGGCTCTACCCAAAGCCGGACCGAGACACCAAAATGAACAGAGAGACAAAACGATACAGTAGCCCAGGCTCGGATCATTCAATACTGGAAGTTGCTCCCGGGCTGGGATGGCCTGGCCTTGCCGGAGCAAGGGTCATCTTTACAGCCAGTCCGGGTTCTGCTCTCCATGGGGCAAGAGCTCCTCCTGCTGGGGTCGGATCAGCACGACGACTGGTGTGTGCAGCAGGCGCTCCAGAACAGCCTGGTGGCTTCACAGCAGGCAGGGCTGTGAGCGGCGAGGCTCCTTCACAAAAGGGCCAACGCGTGAAAGCAGCTGCACAGCCCTGCCTTCGAAACGGGGGTGGGGGGGAAGGAACCCAGTCCGAAAGAACCGCCACCGCAGAGGAGAATTTGGAGTGTGTGCCCGGGTCCGGGTCCGGGCCGCTCATTCCCGGACTGTGGGGCTGCAACACTCACTTGCGAGATGAGTTTCTTCTGGGCCACCTGCATGACTGCATTGGCCATGGCCAGTTCATCCTCCTCTGGCTGGAGGTCGTCCTCCGGCTTGGACCTCATGGCCGACAGCTTGATCTCTCTGCAGCTCAGGATCTCGAAGGTGTCTGAGAGCAGCTCACTGGCTTCCAGGTCGAGAGGAAGGGCTCCATCTGCAAAGCAGGCTGAAAGCAATGCCGGGGAAGGTGCAGGACAGTTACTTCCAAAGGTGACTGCAGGGAGTCGTATCAAGGGGCGGTTCGCTCAGTCGGGATGCTTTACTGGGAGCCGCACGATGACAGTGTGTTTGCCTTTAAACCCCCCATTCCTCAAGAGGGCCCAGATCCCAAACCACAGAAGAACTGTGGCTACTTAGTCTTCGTCTGAACCAATCCGGCAGAGAGATATCATGAGAAAGGCACTGGCTATCAATGGAAGAGTTTCACCTGGTCAAATTTGGAAGGAAGAGGAAGTGCAAAAGATGACTAGATTTTCCTCCTGTTGGCATGTGGTCCCTGCCAAAAGTTGTCACAGAAGCCCAGGTCAAGAATGAACTGAAGCAGGCAATGATCCTCACAGAATGACTCCAGGCAAAACTATTAATATGCCAAATCACAATTCTGTGAATGGGAGGGGCGCTGAACATGGTACCCAAGGCCACCTAGAGACACTAATGCATCTCAGGAGCTAGGAATCACACCTTGACCTTGACAACAGGTAGGCTAAGTTAGCATAAACAGACAAACCTTTGGCTCTGTTTGGGCTGCAGGCAGTCCAGTAACAGCTAATAATACTTAGGAGTTTCAGAATATTTTTGAATGCTCAACACACTTCATGCACAACAACCCTTACAACAGCTCCGTCAGAATCCCCAGTTCACATTGTCAGGGTATCCAAAGCTATAGTCATACCCAGGATGTTCAAGCTGATTTTCGAAGTGATGTTGAATCTCTGCTCATCAGTAAAATGTTCCAACAGATACTTGTAAATCAGCACCCGCTTGTCTTTGTTAGCTTTGCCCTTCAGGGAGAAGAGGGACTTCTCACTGCAGCAAGGGAACACAACTCATTAGTGGGAATGACACACATGCACGGGTAACTCCCGGCATGCAAAGCACCCTGTGGATGCAGAAGGGGCTGCAGTGGCTAACTCAGGCTTCCCCCACCCCGCAAAGAGGCAGAAACAGAAGCTGCTCATAGAGGCAATGAGGCAGACTGGCAACTGAGGCTCATGACTACCAGCAACGTCTCATTCCGGATACAGGTGCCACCAACAGTGAACAAACCAGTCACCTCACAGATGACTCGGCCCCAAACTACTGTTGGTTGCATAGTAACAGAGTCCGGGACTTGTCATTGGATGAGTATCAGTCAGTCCTAATCATAAAAAGTTCTCTTTGGTCTATTAGATCTCTGTCTACTTTCTAAGGTCTTCTCTTCTTCTGCCTTAGCACTTCCTCTTCACAATTTCTGTCTATCCGACTGTCAGCAAACACATTTATCTCCCCTTTCTTTAGTTCAGCTTTCTATGGCACTCCCTTTGGTAATGATAGGGAAGCTGGCTTTCAGCTAGCAGAGAAAGGGAGGAGGTGTCTGGACTGGAAGACGCAATAATACACTTGCACATAAAAGAAAGATGCGTTTCCCTCCCCTGAACCAATCAGTCTGCGAGGACCAGTCGCCCAGTGTCAGGGTAAAGGGAAATTTCCCTCTAACTCTATTGCTGTCCGCAAGAAGAGAGTTTTACCTTCCCCCGTAGGCACAGATGCACACTGGGATGGGGGCACTAGGAAGGGAGAGGGGTACCTCTACACCTGGGGACTTTGGCCACTGAAAAGCCACCTGGATCCAACCCGCATAGCCTCAGCTTGGGAATAACAGTGTAATAACAAGGCATTGAAAGCGTGTGTTTGCCTAATAAAAGGTGAACTAAATATTAACTCTCAGCTATTCTCACTGGAGAATTCAGCAGGGATGGGGCGGGGGGGGGGGAGCACACACAATGCTCTCAGCCCCAAGAGAACCCTGCTCACCACCACACGCAAGGACCATTAACATTAAGGGAAAGAGTCACCATGCACGGACCACTCATTCTGGGGGAACTTATTGTATTTCTCGTGCTTCTCGTAGCAATTGAAGTAGAAGATGCATTCGATGAAGTGCTGGGAGAACATCACTGGGTTCCTCTTCAGCAGGAGATGCACCAAGCAGAATTTGGCCAAGCTGTGCAGGGGGCAGAAGAGAGAGACGCGGTTCAGAAACCTGCTCGGCAAGCTCCAGGCAGCCGCCCTTTTCGGCAGCCATGACATCTTTTGACTGGAGGGCAGGTTGGTGGGGCCAGTAGAAGGCCGCAGTTCAGTCCCTGGGGCCTTGAATAAGGGCTGGACAAGCTCCCCGCTGAAACTGGGGGCCGTGTGTGTGAGAGACAGAGAGGAAAAAGAACCCGTTATCTGTCCCTGACTTTGGAGAACGCCATGCGAGCTGATTAATTAAAGGGAGCAGAGGGAGGGAGGCTTGTGATCAGCACTTCTACCAGGGCCAGGTTGAACCCTTTAGCCACCAATAGCCTATTTAGGTCTACTGGGCAACGAGCTTAAAACAAGAACGACTTCTTAATTGTCAGATCAGTCCAGCAATGGAATCGGCTACTGAGGGGGACTATGATCTCCCAAAGCTCAGATAGACGATACATGCATACGCATACTAAAAGTGCAGCCGGGGTAGAATTTCCTACTTTATGCTGATGAGGTAAATACGGGGGCCAGTGAGCTGTGAAGAATCAGAAAAGGGCTCTGTGAACTCCCACATGGTAGTCCTGCTATGCTATGCAAACAGAAGGCGAAAAGTTTCGCATCTTGAGAATTGCAGCTTTCAGCTTTCTTTTTATCTTGCACCCTAAGATATCAAAGCTGAAAAACAGAGACGTCTAGTAGTTAAGAGTGTTGGACAGGGCTCAGGAGATCAGGGTGCTAGTCCTCAACTGGCCACGAAACTCACTTGGATGACTTCGGCCTGTGAGGTAGGCCTATCCTACCTCACAGGGTAGCTAGAGGGTAAAACAGAGGTGGGGGACCACCATGTAAGCTGCTTCGGGTTCCTTGCAGAAGGAAGAGACAGGGTATCAATGTAATAACAAAATAATGCAAAGTTGGGCTCCAAAAATGTGAAGGAAATTGAGGAAGACAATTCAGATGCTCGGGGAGGGGGGTGGGCCTGAAGCCAAGATAGATTTTTAGGGATAAAATATCTGTCTTCAGACCTTCAAGCCACGCTCCCCCCAAGCTAGCTTTGTCATGCAAATGTATACAAAATTGCGTCATTTGATTTCTTTCATGGTCCACGCAACTGTGATTAACAGGCACTGAATACTGTTCTTGAAATACTGTGACCAAGTTGCTGACCATGAAGCTCGATGGCTTCGTGCACTCGGAGCATTTTGGAAGGAGTGGCACAGAAGTGCCAAAACTAACAACAAGTGAAATTGCATCGCCTCTCAAATTAGAATCTTTCTTAAATGCCAAAATGTTTAAGAAACACAGGGTCTATTTTTATGCTGTTCCCTTACCCAGGACTCCTCTGTAAAGCTTTCAGGCCCATCCTGCAATTTTGCTTCTAATTATAATTCAACATAATTAAAGAGAAATAACTCAATTGAACAGTAAACACCGACAGTAATTACAGTGTTTGTGATAATTAAGTAGCAGCCACTCGTGCTAGCAAGATGGTATTAAGGAGATCTGCCCTGCCCAAGTCTCAGCTTGGAACTCACAATGAATAGGAGTGTCTTCAATAAAATGACTCCCCTCCGTGTGAATATTTATTGAGAATAGCCCATGAATAGCTGGGCAGCTTACACTTGCAATGATAGTGAATTCCACAGGAAAATAAGGCCACTGCTACAGTCTCTGCCTAAATTTAAAACCAGATACTATGAAAGAGGAAACAAGCTGCCAACTGAAGGATGACTGAGATACGGAGGAATAAAACTGAGCTCACTCAGTGCCCAAAACTGATATGTAATTAAACTTACAGACCATCCGGGCACACGATATGACAAAGGCCATTAACTAAGGTGGCTTTTAGAAAGGGTAAGACAAATTGCAATAGCAGTTCACCATGGCCAACTGAATGCAGCTTTTATATTCAAAAGCAGAATATCGAAGTACTGCATGGTGAAAAGCGTGAGAACAGAACTCCAACAGGCCAGCATCTAATCCAGGAAGGCACTCCCTGTATGCACACACCTCAAATGCATTTCATATGTGCCTAGCTCCAGGTAAGTCTGCGTATTTTAAAGACACCTTTACAAGTGATGCTAAGGGTGTGCTGAAAGATGATACTTACCTTACACCGCGATGGAGCTTAAATATGGAAGACTGGTAAAGGAAGAGACATTATCCAACATACACCATCACGTTCATGCCTATGTCTTTTACCATGGTTATCCAGGCTTTGAAGGTCAATATACTAGGTCCTTTACTTTACAGAACCAACAGCGCCCCCCTCCACAAAAAAGCAGGATATCTTGTAATTAAACTCCCACAAAGTGGCCCTTAAATCATAGACCACTACTTGAATCAAGACAATCCATTCAGCAATCTGGCCTCGCAGTCCTAGTTGGGCAGCCTAAGGGTACAACTCCTGTGCTGATGTGATATCTGGCCACAGCAACAAAGGAGATTCTAGGCTGGCAGGGCCAAACAGAGCAAGCACACAGCCGCCTCCATGTACAGAGAACATCCCTTTTTGAACAGTAGAAAGGAAGGAGGAGAGAGAAATCCCTTGAGGCTGCTGTTAAACCCATTTCATCAAACTAATCCTGCAGATGTTATCCTCATTTAAGCAGGGGATATCCAAATGAAGAAAATCTGCAAGAAACTGTTAAGGATCTGATTGATGGCAGGGATTTCAAGCAAGAGAGAGAAGGCAGTGTAGATCAGCCACAGCTCGCAAAGCTGTGCCATGAATTGCAGCTTATGCTGAGATTAATGCGGGCTAGGATGTTTACAAAACCTGCGGTGAGCCCGAGACCTTCACAATTGCCTAGGAAACTTTGGTGCTGCTCCGACAGTGACTGCCGTGGCCCGCAAGAGGATCCTCTTCGGAGGAAGAGCTAAAGCTCCTTGAGGAAAACCCCACTCGGCAGCGGCCCAGGAGACTGGCAGGTGGTCGGGAGTCTGGGCCCTTGGGAGAGATGCTGCAGGCAAGGTTAGAGCAGCTCTGCCTTCAAGACAGACGCTTCATGATCAGCCAGCCCCCAGCACTGACCGGCTCTCAGAAGGGATGCCAGAACAAGCACTGAACGAACCAGTGCCAGGGTACAGGGCTCCTCCTGTGAATAGAGGGCTCCTTCCATGCGGGACTTCTAGATGCCTCCGAGGTGCAGCAGTTTCTGCACGCTTCAGTTTTCATTCAAACCATATGCATGCACACACACACCTACAACATTTGTCAGTTCCAGCTGCATGTATTTTTATCATGTTTACTTGGCTAAATTAAACCTGTGAATACCTTTCTCACTAACTAATAGTTGTGAGAAAGGTAGTCAAGTTGAGCAGGCAACAGATTTTTAAAAAACTATAGTACAAGCACTCATGAAAACCACCAGAGACAAAGGCCCCTTTAGAAGAGGCATTCTCTCTTCTGGTCTTCTATGTGGATGATCAGCTGCAACATGTCCACACAAGATCAAGAAGCGGAGTCTCTCTCTTTTTGCTTCAGAACTTGTTTTCACCCCTATGCAAATATACTTCTCCGAACATCATACACTTAGGGTATAATTCAGAGGCATGCAGGCTTTCTGTGCATGGCAGGAGAAGTGTGAAGGTGAATGCCACTCCGTGTTCCTCTACTATGCAGAATGCTTAGATGGCGATTTCAACCACCCAAGGTCTTGGCCTGGGAGCACAAGGCCGAATCTTGATACGTCACATGCCAAAGGCCTTCCTTGCCCTTCAAAGCCCCTTTGCAAGTTTGCTTTCTGAGTGAATTTCCGGGGTTTCAGCAGGGACAGTGAATTATGCTGTGGACATAGAATTGTGCTGCAAATAATTATTTTTACTTTAATTAGGAGACAGAAGTAGCGTTAAGTGCCATGCATTGCATGCACACATTTTTTTCTGCCTAGAAACCACTTGTTAGTAGGACGACGCAATACTTCCACCTGCTGGAGAAACCTGAGAAAACATCTCAATTTAAGGCCCTGAAAAGAAGGCAAAAGGGATGTTGCATCCTTTGAAACCCAGTAATTGCAGGCCTACTTTTGTGAGCTGTTTCCAACCTCACGTCTTCCTCCAAGGGAGAGTCTTTGGGACTGATCTCAAAGAAACACATATAGGGCATAACCGTGAGATGCCGAGGGATGGAAATTGTCTCCATGGACTTTCTAGGGGTATCGCTGTCCCAGCAACTGCTGTGTTTTTCACAAGAGCCTTCAAAAAGCACTTAGGACAAAGGACATAGCAAGAAGCTCTTTAGAGACGTGCTCTGCATCCCAAAAGCACAGAAGAAGATGCTGGTCCATCAGCAAAGCTTTATCAGCACCTACTAAAAGGCAGTGATGTTTTGCACTTTCATTGTACTACTGACATGAAGGAAGGTGGGGAAATAGACACATTGTTCTGCTTAAGAACTGTGAGCTCATTCAGTTCAGGCTTGCTCTCTCTGTTCATTCTAACTGTACATCTTCTGTGTTAGGTACGAGTTGATAGAATTCAGTGAAAAGCAAAGAAGATTACACAAGTGTGATGCCTGCCTGCCTATGACCTTAAAAACTAAATGCACTTGGTAGGTAGGTAGGTAGGAAGGAGCTAAAATTCAATTTGTCGGATTTCACCAGCCATTTTCAAGTCTATCTTCACAAGCTTTAAGGGCCTTATTAAGAAAAACTGATATGCCCTGGTTGATGAACCTGCCATTCAGTGCAATTATCTGTGCATGAGAGGAAAGACTGGATGCTGGAGAATGAAAGGAGTATTTCGCACTTTCGAAGCTGCTCCTAAGAATACCTGAGTGTTAACAGGCCAAGTTAGAATCTCCAATTTTATTCAGTTTTCAGCAGAAGACAGAAGCAGAGCTGAGCCCTAAGCATTACTTGCATCGGGGGTGGTTTTGTACCTGGCAATCTCCTCACATGGGTCCACCAGAACACTGACAAACCTGAAGAAGAGAGATCCTTTCCATTTCACAAATTCTTCCTATAAAAAAGAGAGAATACGGACACGTTTCAGTTACAAACTTCAAATGAAAGAGCACTAACAATCACAGCAGATCGGCGAACTCGACCACTTCCTCTATACATTTTGGAGGCTGCAAGTTCTGTGCTATTTTCAGGAGATGCACAAACCATGCTCTGTGAATGAGGTCATGGCAAATCCATAAGCTGGTCCAGGGAAATCAGAAATCAATGAGCCATGTTCTTTCTCTAGCATCTTAGTTTATTCCGCAACTTTCTTTCTCTGGGTTTAGCTTCCCATTAGGAGGAGCTGCTACGTAGGGCACTGGAAATCATGTCTGGACAAACCTTTAGCTTCTGTGACTTCAGGAGTGATTGCCCATACATTTCCCAAGCATCTTCTTCCATTTCCAGAAGGCATTCCCCAGAACACCTCGTTGCAAGGTGGCAGAGGGGGGTTGGTCTCTGCAGAGCCCTGCACTCAGAATTGCTCTTAATTGACACCGTGAGGGTTACATAGTTCTTCCATGTTGCACAGCAAGGTGAAAGCATGGGTCCCCAGGAAACTGAGCTAAATGTTTCCTTGTGTACTAATGGAATTGCAGCATCCTGCAATGATACACATGAAACTGTGCAGCCCTTCAAAATTCTGGGCGACAGAGAAGGGCCCAAGTGTTTGTGTTGCTCACCTGTAAGAGGTTGGTAAGGAGGATAAGCGTCTGCTTCCGAATGAAAGGCTCGGGGTCCTTCAAGCACACGGAGACATCTGGGATATACTGGTCCGCCATAGAGGTGTAGCGAACGCAGAGGTCACCGATCACAAGGATGACGTTGTTGCGGACAGCCACATCTTTGGACACCTGTAGCTCCCGGGCCAGAGCAGGGATGCACTTCTTCGCCACGTCCTCATGCTGCAGGCAAAGCTTCCCTGTCAGAGAGCGGGGAGGCAGAACGGGGGTTGAGAGGCCAGGCTGACCCCTGCATCAATACTGCAGGCACAGCCAAGGCTGTGTAGAAAGGCACACATCCGAGAGAGAAATAAGAATCCAGAAAATAATGCTCCCTTGGATTAAGAACACAGTGCATAAAAGATGCCATCCATTTGGATCACTCGCAACATTTTTGAAAGAGGAGTTAGAATTTCCAGTATCCAAACCCAGCTCCAAGTATTCTCTCTCTCTCTCTCTCTCTGGGGAAAAGGGGAATGGCCATGTCGTTGCAGTTTAGACATCCAGCTTCCACAGAGTGAAATCACACAGCTAATCACCACATATTTTCCTAGGTGATCGCTCTGGACTGGGATGAGCAACCTTTTTTCCGCCACATTCGCTTATGAGAAAGAAGGGCGTGCTGAGGGCGGGCAGGGCCAAAGCAAGAAGCACGTGGCTTGCTCTTTCGGTGACTCCCTCTTTGGTCACTACGGGGAAGCAGAACGCTGGGAAAGAGGCACTGCTGCCGCTCGGAACCAGCAGGGCAGTTCCGACATTCTTCATTTTCGTGCATCTGGCTGCACGGCTTCTACGGTGGGAATGTTTAAGTACACATCACTTGGTAGGTGGCTGTGCAGTTCATTCTCATGAATCCCCATGCCCTCCCCGCCGCCCAAGCTCATTTTAAAGAAACATGAAAGCGAAGACACTGGTTCCACTCGTAATCATGCCTGCAAAGGGAGGCAGGTCACCGCACATTCAGCCTGCTGCAGTCTCTTGCCAGAAAACTGGACATATTTGTTTATAAATGTTTATCCTACTTGATAGTCAGATTCTCAAAACAGTTTACAAATAATCTTAGCAAAACAGGAATACCTTCAGACACAGATACAATTGTAGCTTACATTGTATGCAATTGTATAAGTACCCAAGATACTTATCTGGATAAATCGAAAAAATTTATCTCTGGAAATCAGCTTCCGTAACGAAGAGCAACTACTAAGGTGGTGGTGCGTTATGTGGCCGCCAACCCCACCCTGTCTATTCTGCATGCCTGCCTTGCGGCAGCCACTCACTGGGCTACGTGGGGAGCGGGGTTCAGACATGGTGCTTAAATCACGGAACTCCTTTTGGAGGCAGACCTGCCTGAAGTCACAATGGTAGCGTTAGGTTAACCCATAACGTGCTCCTTTTGTGCTGCATAATTTGCTGGCTTTTATTCGCTGGGCATGTGTGGGTTTCAACTGTATTGCTCTGACCTTGTCCATAAACTACCTTGTGAATCCTGATGGATGAGGAAGGCAGGGAGACACTTATTTAAACTAAATCCAGACGTAGTATTAAATGGATGCCAGGGCAGGAGAGAAGATGACAGACGGCCAGGAGCCCTGTCAGGAACAACTCTTACCTAGGGTAATGAAAGCGTGAGCTCGGACCGCAGAAGGCATCACGGAGCCTTGGAACTGAGATAATGGTTGAGACGGCAGAAGCTCTTCATTATCCCCGTGGCTGGACTCTAGAAAACAGCACACCAGAGGCCGGCGTGAAGCTTCAAACAGGCAGAGGATGCCCGCCGTGGAAAACAGCAAGCCAACGAGGAGGAAGGCCTTACCCTGCCCCATGCTGTCAGGACTAGCCAGGATGGACTGTATCAGCAAGAAGGTACGTTTCCCCACTTTCCCTGGGCACATCTGAACAGCCTCACCCAAGGTGAAGAGATGTTTCACCTGCCAAAAATAAGCAATGCTCTAATCAAAAGGGAGACACAGGATCCTAGAATAGTAGAGATGGAAAGGGGTGGAGGGCCATCAGGTCCAACCCCCTGCTCAGTGCAAGACACCCAAGTTAGACCATCATCAAGAGGATTTTGATGAATGCAGTACAAGTCTCCAGCTCTGTACCACCCCTTGTTCAGGCTGTGTTTAAACCAAGAACAAAAGCACAAAATTCCAGAACACGGATGCTTTGTCTTGCCCACTCACCAAGACATCCTCTTGCAGCTGTTCTGCTCCATGCTCTTGGAGGACAATGCTTGAGATATAGCACTCACATGCCAATAAAATATCTTCAAATACCTCGCTCTGCAGCGCCTGTTACATGAGCAGGAGAATTTTTAATATTTACAAAGGAAAGACGATAGTGCCTCCCTCTCCACTGATCCTTTTCACTGTCCAACATGAAAGAGAAAACCGCTCCCAGAGCACCGTGCTGAGAAAATGGCCTGACCACACTCTCAAAGTTGGCACTTTTTCTTAGCTGGGAAGACCCTTCCAGGAAAAAATGGTGCGAGTTTATCACATGCAGGTGTTGCGGTATTTTGCTGTAACAGCATTTTCTACGGGGATCAAGGGGATCATCATTAACTCCAAAGCAACCGTTTTTAAAAGCGCCTGGCTTCCAGGACATCTTTGTGCATTAGCTTGTCTGCCAAGACCTCCCCGCCCAGATGGCTATTGCAGGATGGAATCTCAGCACTCTTGCAGAGTGCTTGGTCACGTCCCACCTCTCCTCCCTGCGAAGTAAGAGCACTGTCAAACACTGCGGGTGCCATGTAGCTGCCTTTGTATCAGGTCAGGCGATTTCTTCAACTAAGTTCAGACACTCTCTCAGCTTAATTAGCGACAAATGAACCTTTTGCCTGAGCATAAGTTCATGGCGAGAGCCGTCAAACCAAGAAGCTTCTGAGAACCAGTTAGTTCTCTGGCTAAACCAAAGCAGAAACAAGCCAGCTTGTTAAGGCAAGGTCAAACTGTGGCTTGACATCCCAGTGTGATCTAAATCTGGCAGTGGCCATTCTACCCATATTAGACTGTTCCCCTTATTTGCGAACTGGCAATAGCTGCTCTTTATCTTGTGATTACTGATTGCAGCTGAATTTCTTAATTAGTCAGCCAGTTGGCCTAAATTTGGGCATTTTGAATGCTCACCGAGGTAGCTCGAAGGGCTTGAAAAGGTCGGCATCTGAACTTTTTCCAGAAATCAATCATGACACAGCCATTGCATTGTTGTGCATTGTGGATGATGAGTAAATGTTCCACAGAAAGGCCATGTGGAAACAACTGACCAGGAAGACACACAGATCCTGGTGGTGCATGAAGCCACGAGGCCCAACACAATCCGAAACAGCTTCCAAGGTGCAGTCTGCTATTGTGCACATGTAAAGACTCATATACACAGTACAAGATCTCTAACTGAAGGGGAACTCTTGCCCAGGAACCCCCAGATGAATCGGTTACTCTAAGCAAATAACATGCATCTCAGTTAAATTTGTCGATCACCATTCATGATGAGAAGTGCCAGTACAAAGCTAAGAGGAATCTTGCACAGAAAGCCCCAAATGGGTGGGGTTGTTCCCTTCCATCACATCATAGCATTTTCAAGAATAGGCATTGAAAGAGTCCATTTGGTTGGGCTCTGCAGCATATACAGCACAATAGGTAAAGCGGCCCTATCCCGGGGACAGAAAATAGGAGCAGAGAAGGGCTGTTTCGGGCAATTGCTGTTTCATAAACAAAAGCTACCTGGAAACAAGTATGAAAACCCCAGGTTGGACAGAGGCCTTCCAAACTCACCAGTATCTCCTTTGGGGATTCTGCTGAGGCAATGCACAGTTTCTGTGTGGTCTCAACAGCTGGGCTGATCGCCAACAGAGGAAACTGGAATTCCAACAGGCGACGCTTGATATCATCTGGAAAAGAAGGACAGTATAAGCAGATCTGGAGCCAAGTGTCACTCCGGAAATGAGAGAGGCGGTTCAGATGAGAAGCAACGTTTGGCTCTGGGCGTCTTCAATGGCTTTGCAAGAGGGACTTACCGATCACCCTGTTCCGGATGCTGCTAGGCAGGTGCTTTGCGGTGCTCCCAATCACAGAGAGAATGTGCACCATCGTCTCTAACTGGCCTTCATCCTGCCTGGAAAACACAGAGGAAGATGTTTAACTGAAATTCCGCTGATGAGGAAAACCCTTCTCCCTTGAAAGAGACACTCCGATGCTGGTCTCGCTTGCCTTCTGATACTGTTCCAGGCGTCAATTATCTTTGAATAGTCCAGCTTGGGGGACGACCCAGCCACCTTTGCCAGCAGCATCCAAGCCGGTGCGGCACGCTCTGTTTCTGTGTGGGAGAGGATGCTGTTAACAAACGACGAGGAGAATTTGCCCTTCTTGGCGCATATGTGGAAAGCTCTGTTCAAGTAGCGGCTGAAAGAGAAGACAGAACAAACCGCCATGGTTGCCAGCAGACGGGACGCCGGTCTCCTGTTAAGGGTCAGCACAGCATGTGGCAAGAATTGGAGGCTTTGCTCTAAACAGGGGGCTTTTCTTTGGACCACAATGGCAGGACTATCACTAGAAGCAGCAAGGACAGGACTGTGAAAAGCTTGGGCAGGATTGTTTTCACTGGTCATACTGAATTGCTCACTAGCCAGGCTCCACAGTCCATGATGAAATGGCTCTCCCGGTTTGGACAGGATGACAATCCTTTGCGGATTGAACCACCCCTAGGAACAAGACATGGGTTGGCAGGTGGCTTGTTGCCAAAAAACAAGCCACTCCGAGGAAAACGGTGTTGGCTTGGATGACGCAAATACACATGGTGAATAAATAGGCACAATGTGCTGTTGTGTCATCCAGGGTCAGATTGGATTGGCTCAAGATAATCCAATGAGCCTTACTGGGGAGAATTTAAACTTGGTTCTCTCTAGCCCATCATTCTCTTCATTATACTACAATGACTATACTATACAAAAGACAAAACAGACCCCCAGAGTTAAGACAAGCACTTTATTCTCCCTGAATGCCAGGAAGTTGTTTCTCTCATTTATATGATTCTAATTAGTATTCTATGATCTTTGTCCTTTAAAAAGCAACAAAACCATGCAAAGCCAAAGCACTGAGAAGCTTCTCTCGCTCGCTCGCTCGCTCGCTCGCTCTCTCTCTCTCTCTCTCTCACACACACACACACACACACACACACACAGCTTTACAATCCTAAGGGCTAGAAACTTTTCTTCTTAAAAAGCAAAAGCAAAGCTTCACAGGAAGCTATATTTAATATTCTGTATTTTCCTTTTAAATCAAATGAAATGATGGCAATAAAATAGGCAAGTTTTTAAATCTCTAAACATTATAAACTAGATGTATGATTGGATGGTCATTTTACAGTCTTTTTTCTTTTATGCAAATTTCTAAAAAAGGGAGATGTATAAATATAGCAATTTCTGCATCCAAAGAAGATGTAGTCATTACTACTTCTACATTTCTACCTCCTCCATTATAGACACAGCCCTGCTCAGAAAGCGTATGCCTTACCTCAGGTCCTGACACTCTTCTGCAAACAACGTGAGGAGAGCCCAGGCAAGAACTTGAGGTTGGTCCTGGTGGCTGAATTTGTTACAGTGTTTAATGGGCTGCAGCAAGAGCTGCTCGATGCAGTCCAGAGCTTTCTCCTGCACAGAGTTCTCAGAGTCCATGACGACGGGGATCACTCCGGTCAGCCAGGCCTTCTGTATCAGGACATTCTCTGGCTGAGACTAAAACAAAGCAAGACATCATTAGAATTCAGCTAAAGACAACAACGGCCAATGCCGATTCCAAGATGCTGCAAGTGAGCATGCAGATGAAAATTCCACAATGCAAAGACGGGCTGAGAAGGTGCACAGTTTTACCTAAAACTTCATGGCTACATGAATATGTATATATGCATGCCACTGAACCTGAGACCCTGGCATTTGGGTTCCTTTAGAAACTATGAGCATAAATTAGTATCTATGAATCCTGGTTTGTAAAGGGAATAAGAGATCAGACAACACTCCGGGAATCCATTGGAGGCTCATGTAACTGCAACTCAGGAATACGGCAGCTGCTCTGTATGCAGAAGCTCCAATGTTTAGTTCCTGCTGTCTAGTTAGGACAAGGAGAGAATCCTGTCTGAAACTCCGGAAAGTCACCATTGATCAGTGCCAACAATATCAGACCAAAAGGGCTTGTTTATCTGCTCTGGCATAAGGAAGAATCCTATGTTTCTAGCACAGTGTTGCCCTAATGCAGGAGTCAAGGGAACAGGCTGAATGTAAGCAAGGATTCTCTGTAATCTAGCCTTGTCATTCCATGTGAACATCGGCCTGTTTTTTGTCAGTCTTCCAAAGATGAGCAAGATATGGATCTTAATATGTAATGACACATATAGTTAACAAGTGGGCAGCAGAAACAACTCCTCCACCCCGATCGGCTGTACAGATCACCCACAGATCTATCAGTAGATTGTGCTCCTCCATCTGTTCACGTGAAATGAATCTGGTCAAAGTGCAAGCCCCGATTCCTGGCATCTTTCAGACGTTGGGGGCTAGACGGAACTTCACAGCCATCCACACTGGACTAGGGTGGCTTGCCTCCTACCAACCTACCAGGATCACTGATCTCTGCTGCAGTTCATTCAAAGTTTGCCAGCTGTGCCCAAGCTGATTTGTGGGCAAACACCATGTCACCAGGTGTTTCGTATGAAATACAGGCAGCCCTTCTTCATCCAAGTTATGAAACCAAAATACATGTATCCCAACCGTGGTGGGAAGCCGCATCACAAAGGCTTGAATGCAGCATTGCAAGAGCAGAATTCCACTTGGGCACTTCCATTCCCATGGCGAGACTTTCCTGTCTGTTCCTCTCCCCTGTTCTTAGGGTCACCCTGCAGCACCCCGAGTCTTCTTTGGAAGGTTCCCTAGTGTTCTGGAGCAGATTTGGAGAGTATGGGAAAACTGTTCTAACAGTGTGTCCCATTCCACTGCATAATGACACCACTGGATCCAAGCCCAATGTTCAACATAAATACCATTTAATGCATTAGATAGGTTTGTAGAAAAAGGGAAGCTTGCTCTGTAAACAGCATGTCAGAGCTCTCCACTGGTGATCTCAACTTCTGTTAAAACATTTCTAGCCTTGACTGTGCAAAGAAATGCTGGGAGTGTGCAGGTTATACCTGCCAAAATTTCAGGAGCAAGAGAGACAGCAGAATCATGTTTTCCATAGCCGGAGAAGAAAGCACAGTTTCCTGAAAGACTTCTTGCCCCTTGCCATGAGAAGCAGAACAAGGACAACTTTGACAAGAGGCTAAAGATTGGATTAGAGACAGTGACGCAAATTTGCCCAGCCTGCATAACTCATCTTTTATTGGTATACAATATCAATTTTGCTCAGAAGCTGACTTCTGCAGGTGTTCTGAGTATGTGGCAGGGTTGCATCTAGGAGCAAAGGCAGCAAACTCTCCCTCACCGTTAGGAGCTCCGTAATAGACTGGAGGGCTTGCTTCTTCACAGAGACGGCAGAATCGCGACATCGTTCTGAAAGGGGAGCCAGGTCTTCTGGGGTGCATGGAACCATGTGGTGCTTCAAGATACTCATCAATACCTGGGTATCAGGCAAGGCATGTGTCAAAGAACATACAAGATTCTCGTTGCTTTAATGTTTTTATTGGACCGTTGCATGGTCTCAGAACGGTTTACAATGATGTGGTGGTTAGAATTGGGACTGGGGACCTGGGAGATGTGGGTTTTAGTCCTCACTCAGCCATGAAGCCCCCTGGGTGACTCTGGGCCAGTCACAGACTCTGCGCCCAGATCTCCTGAGTCCCAGTCCTGCACTCTTTGCTATGCTACACTGGCTCTCACATTTAAATATTTATATTGTTAGAGTCTTTCTTCTTTAATATAAAGAAGAAATGACTCACCTCTTATTGGGCTGACACAAGTAGGAAGTTGAACCCCAAATGTCACAGCCAACACGCCAGTGATCTTTCATTGCCCCAGTGATGGTCATCGTAAGTGGAGCGGGGAGGGACACACACAAATTTATTATTCTGACAGTATAAAGTGACCATGTTCAGCCGAACCAGCGTTTGCCGAAGTTACGCATTCAAATGTGTGCTAATTCATTACCCTGCCACACAAATCTATTACGCCACTATAAATATTCTAAACATGAGGGTTTAAATGTTAAAAAGTGATTTATTCAGCCTTACATATTTCATTATGCAGTAATAAATCTCTCAGCAGGAGATCAAGTATTTGCCCCAGTTAAGGTCACATCTCATAGTCGTTTATCATTTGACGCTGCTTCCAAGGACAGGAACTCTCAGCCATTATCAACACGGATCTCAAACCACTGGGCTGGCTCAGGCGTACGGCACACCCAAACCCAAGAGCTCTGGCACATGTCAGTTTCAAACTAAAGGGAGGAAGAAGAGGGGGCCTATGGAGGGACAGCTCAGTGCTAGAGAAAGGTGAGAGATGGACACAGGATCAATCCCAAGCAGTGGCTGGTGTGACAAGTGACAGGCTTCAGCAACTGCACTGGCCATGGTGACCCTGACGAGTGACTTTTTCTTCCAACTCTGAAGGGGCAGAGCCGGGTGGGAATGGTCCTGGTAAGTGAACCCACCCCCTTCCCAGGTCCTAGGCTGGGAAGATGCTCATGAGCAGGCAAGAGCGGCAGGCCAGGAGATGCTTGCCGGCACTGCTTGGTGCTGGGGCCCAGAGCCCAAGCAATGCCCCAAACGAAGAGGGGCTTTTGGTTGCCACGCAGTGCTGGAGCGCAGAGCTTCAGCACTGCTTCCTGCCTGTCTTTCCTCAGAAAGTGCTACTGGGTGATGGCAACTTTTGGTTCAGCTAGCCAGCGGACCTAGCCAAAAATCGTAGACCCCTGGATCTTGCTGGCAGTCGCCACATAACACTGGTCATAGATATTGCCATTAGAGGGCATGATTAAATGAATCGTGTAGCATCTGGGAAATTCTCTGTACCCCTTCATAGTTTCTTTAAAAGCCAGCATTTGTGCAAGAACACCTGTCAGTCCTGGCTAGGAACATACCTGAAGGGCAGATTTCCGAACATTTGTCTTCTGATCTCTAGTTCTCAGCCTCAACATGTTCATGATCATCTTTCCTATTGAAAAGAGGGAGCAACAAGAAAGCAAGGAGAGAGGTGGTTGAGAGAGAGAGGAGGAGGAGGTAAGAAGGAGGTTTTCTTACTTCGAAAAGGAAGCAATGAATACATGTTAGGAAAATCAGGATTGGAGAAACTGGCAAACAAAACAAAAATGCAATTATAAGTCCAGAATACCATCAAACTGTGTGGTGTCTTGTTTGTCCGTTATTTCAATGGTTTTGAATGTTGGGAAGGTCTTCATTCGGCTGGAGGCCCCTTAAAAAAACGATTAGAGCAATATATCAGCGCTGCCACAGAAGATGCCAAAATCCATCACCCACAGCCACCACAAAAATGTTTGCTCAGGGATCAACCAGTGAGGCAAGAATCCCAAAGGGGCAATGCTGCTGCCAGACATGTTATACCATCAGAAAGATGGCTGCTGGCCATCACCTAGAGGCAGGGGTTAAATATGCTGTCATTCAGATGCTTTAATATCTGCTCAGCGAGCATTTGGGCTGATGTACCCGACAGTACGTTCAAAAATAAATAAAATCAAAATCAGAACCACTTGTGTAGTATAATCTTCATCATCATCCTGTATTTGTGTAATACGTAATATACTTAATAATTATTATACTTTTATACCACTCCATAGCCCATTGAGCTCTCCAGGCTGTTTATAGATTTTAAAATAAACATAGAAGCAACAAAAGAATCATTTTAAAATAACAACAGCAACATAAATCAACAACCTGTGGCCAAGAGCCTCAGCACCTAAGGGGGCTCCAATGCTGCCAAATGGGTACCAAATAACTATTTGCCTGCATGTGGAAAATGAACAGTGGGGGAGAGAAGGGCAGCATGTTCCATAAAAGGGAACTCCAGCGTGCCTCAGACACAGAGGCAGGGAGCAGGGAGAGCACCCCAAGACCTTTTGGCATTGCTCTCTCTCCATTTCTAACTGATTTAAGCACGGTCAGTTCCACTGGGAAGCTTAAGGCCAGGCAGACACAGCAACCTTAGACGCAGCACAGCCCTTAGGCTGCTTTACTTACCCTCTGTATGAGTTCGGGGTGTCCCAGATGGGCTTGAGTCCATGACTGTAGAAACAGCAACTGTGGGGGTATCAAGGCAGAGATTAAATGCCATTTGCCACCCTGAGAAAGCCTCCTGCAAGGGACTGGGGGCAGCTCTGATCTAGATTGTGCCCAGCTGTGGACGTGAGACAGCATCAGCTCCCATGAGCACTTTTCAAAGCTCAATGTGCCACTTCTCCCCGCGACTGCTGCTGTCATGGCGCATGCGACGTAGCCCTTCAAGGAGCGCAGCGCTGCTTAGACGGAGTGAGCCACATCCTCCTCCACAGCCAGAACAGCCCCGCGAGGGGGCACGGAGATCCTGATCAGTCCCAGGACACTGCAGCGATTCACCACGAGGCAGGGAGATGGATCCAGACCCCAGCGATCCACCCACACTAAGAGGAAAGTTCCGGCTGTCAGCAATGCTACCTTCTCCCCACTGCACATACCGCCTTGCAGCAGCTCCTGGAAGGTGTCTGTGCTCAAAGTGGCTTTCATTTCTAGACACTGAGCAAAGCTCGAGAGCGCCTTGCTGCGGACAGTGGGCGCTACGTCCGAGCACCGACGGAAGACCATGACCTGCACCAGGAATTTGTGCTTCAGGAACATCTGCTGTTCCTCGGACAAGGCAGCCGTGTCTTCATCCCGTTCAGGAAGGTCCAGCAGGGCCAAGGCCACATCAAGGGCAAACACCCTGTAGGATATCTGTTCAAGAAGCACGGAAGAGGTCAGGAAGCCGAGCCAGAGCAGCAAGTGGCGTGGCAGAGGTGAGGAGAAGCGGGATCCCCAGCTGGCTTCCCCTCAAGGAGCATGCATGCTTGCTGGCACCCCAAAGGGCCGCAGAGTTGAAGCTGCCCATCCTCACCTGGTCACTGTGTGAGTACCGATACAGCCACGCGATGAAGTCAGCATGTTCTGCACATGGAAATTTGTACAGTAGCTGCACCAAAGACTGTGCTGCGTGCGTTCGATATTCAGACTTGTCAGGCACCTGGAATGACACGAGTAAAGGGAATGGCCGAAGCTAATGGAAGTTGGATGGGGCACCACGATGGCTTCGAGCTCTACAGGGAACAACTGCGTAGAAGCCAAGAAGCCACCGAACGATCCAAGTTGGGGAAAGGGCATGACCCCCTGGGGAGCCCAGTGTGAGTGATTTCAGCCCCAGGTCTGAGGCTTTGCCCTCTTGGCCCAAGCCAAGTCCTGGAGGAACAACTGACGCAAGCGAATGATGCCCTGGACTGTAAAACTGGGGGGCAGGGGACAAGGAATCAGTGGTTCAGTGTGATGTGGGGAGTCCTGCTCCTTCACAAAAGCATCCTGGAACGATGCTTCAGCAGGCCAATGATGGCATGTAATTGTTGCGTGCCCGTAACAGGGGACTCGAAATATCTGGATTTTCTCATTTAAAAAAAGCAAACCTCCAATATGTAAGAGAACAAGTTCCAAAAAGCCATATGTTCATCCATGGGTTGCTAACCAGCCCCCACCTTCACTATGACTCATGCTAAATACAGGGTCAAGAACTGGTAATCCTGGGCCCAAACTCAGCCTGAGTCGAGTTCCATCTCATCGGCCAGCTCAAAATAGCTGCCCAGGGCACAGCATTCTTGCCAGATAGCTTACCCTACTGTGCCTTCAGAGCCAGTTTTGAGAAACCGGGGTCTCCTTTTTGCCCCGAAAGGAAATGGGATTTAACACGGTAACAAGAGTGTGAAGTTCACAAAATACCTTGGCACAAATATGCTGGAGTAAGATCCGCAGTACAGGGAAGACGGCAGCTTTCAGTTCATCGGCGAGAGAGCTGAAGACAAGAGATGCACAAGTGATTTGGGGAAAGGCCCGAGTAGGACAGATGTGGCAAGAGACCTGGTAGATGTTGCCTTAATATGTGAAGTTGCTTGTACGGAGTCAGACCACTGAGCCATCTCGATCAGTATCTACCTGCCTTGCAGGAACTCTTCAAGATTTCAGCCGGGGCTCTTTCATAGCCCTCACTATTCAGGTTTTCCCCACCCTGTCTTTCATGGAGGCCCTGGCTAGGACCTTCCACATAATCTAAAGTATGTGAACTTCCATAAACTATGACCCTTCACAGGTCTTACCAGCAGGAATCTCTGTGCCAAGTGTTTTTGCATACACAAGCTGCACTTTCATTCTACTTTTTCTCTAGGATCAAGGCAGAAAATAGGGGGCTATCTTACAAAGGAGATTAGACAGGGAACACAGCCAAAGATAGATCTGAGCCTATGCAGCTCACATCCAGGTCCAATACTAGGCTAGGCTATTAAAGAGCCATTGGCCCCGTCATCTGTGGTAAGGAGCAACTTCCTCTAGATCAAGTCAGTGAAGAAGTTACTATGCATCTCTGTTAACTTGGAGAAGTTGCATTCCATGTTGCAATCTCACTGGAGGCCATCATCCATGGGTATGAAAATCCAACCTTGCTATCATTTATTTTAATATTCTTATATTCTGCTGAAGCAAACTTCCACAAGACATGGGGCTCCCGGTGGTTTCCCTGCTAGATGGCCCATCAATGCCACACAAATTTTATTTTATGTTGTGAGCCGCTCCGAGGCTTCGGCAAATGGGGCGGCATAGAAATGTTTTAATAAATAAATAAAATGCTTCGCTTCAGCACTGCTGCACCTTCTTCCCAAGTCTGTATTAATAAAATGCGTACATGGAAAATGACGCTTTATTTTAAAGCTTCCAGTTTGCACAATTCTGGCAAACCAACACCCAACGATTGCACAATGTGGAGAAGATGTTGCAGCTTACCTACTCAGCAGGGAATACACAAGCTTTCAGACCACTGGTATAAAGGATGCAATATCAAAGCAATCCAAAAGAAACTGTCAAGTTATAGTTTTAATGCAGCTGTGCACAGATAACAGCCACTTTGAGCTTCACCTGATGAATTTGATGGCCTGGTCCCTAGCACCAATGAGCTGAGACGGAATAGTGGCTGATGCACTGCTAGATCCTTCTCTCCCTGGCAACATGAGGATGATGCTGAGAAATCGATGGAACACCTGGCGTAGAACCTAGAAGTGGAGTGGGGAGACACTGTCAGGTTCACGAGTATCACAAGTTCCCCGTGATCCCAGCTTTTCTTAACAAGAGCAGTACATTCAGCATATGCTTCTTGTATTCAAACAATGAGGTCCAGAAACCTTGGTAGGTCATCTCTCATTTGTTCTGGGGTTTTGCAGGAATTCTTCCCCCACATACCCCAAAACACTGCCCACTGTTCTTCCTCCCCACAGGAGGAGGAAAGGAGCTACTGGACTGTCAGTTTCCCTAGATCCTGTTGTGCACACAGCAGTGTAACACCTTCATATGCTTCCATTAAAAATCAAAATGGGGAGATTGCTACTAATTTCCATGGAGAATTCTGTACAGAGAAGCGAGACACCAGTATGAACATGTAGTATTTTACCTTATCTTCTAGGCTGTGAAATGGCGAACACAGAAGTCGTAAGCCAAAATAGGCAAGTTCTGGGACATACTTGGCTTGGTCGATCACCCTGTACCAAGAGATGAGTTCAAGGATCTCGAATAAATCTCTATTATTCACAAGGGCCAGTCAGAAAAGACCAGGTCCGAGCATCCATATAGCTAAAACTATCTAGATGTTGTTCACACACAGGAATGGCGATATGCAATTACAGCTAGAGTATAAGAAGCTTGACCTCACATGAACATTTCTAGGATTCCCCCATCTCACTCTGGAATTTTACATTCCTCACGGACAATAAGAAGATTCAAAAGCGAGAACTCACATCTTCTCTGAAGGCTCAAACTCATGTATACAGGGCTCAAACCCTGTCAAATTAACGAAGACCTACAAGAAAAGCCAAATTGAACAGTAAGTTGAACGGTAAGCAAAAGGATCTCATCGAAGCTTCTTTATGGCACCAGGTAAGCCAACGATGGCTGTAGTGGAGGAGAGAGGCCGGAAGAGCACACACCGTGCTAGCATCACATATGCAGAGATTCCCCCCAAGCCTAGCAAGGGTTTCATAGGAAACGTATGCAAAGGCCGAACCCTCTAGAGGGAGGGAAGACGGAGCCACGGAATGCCCAGGGAATATGGCAGCCTTCCTATGCTTCTACAGGATTTATAGCCCCCCAACAAAGAAAGCCATCTGTAACTGGACCCAGAGGATACTAAGTGACCACAGATCCTTCTAGCGGAGATTCCCAGAAGGCCAGCCTGTTCCACAGGAGCACCGAGTTACTCACATTAACTATTAGAGATAAAGTACCCTGCTGGATGTCACCAGGCACAGTATCCCGTTCCCAGAAGTGGCCTGCCAGATGCATCTGGGAAACTCATAAAGCAGGGATGACGCTCTTGTGCCTTTTTCATCCATGTATGGTCTCAGATGTCTGCGTCCAAAGATATCCAGCTACTGGACTTGGAGGTTTCCTTTAGCTATCATGGTGCAGACAGATCTGTTCTTCATGAACCTGATTAATCCTTCCTGCACAAGCGAGCTGAGCCCTAGTGACCATCAGCCCAAGGTGGATCTGTGCCCCTACTGCTCTGCTCCTGATATCTCTGGTTACCTGAATGCAAGTCTGCATGCACTGCGGTCTCTCTTTCAAGGAGAACTTAGAAAGAAGCCGCAGGAGGTTCTTCAAGAGAAAGAAGAGGGCTGTCCGAATTTGAAGCAGCTCCTGTGCAGAGAAGTGAATTCCTTCTTCCTGGCCTTCCTCCTCCTCCTCAAAGTTCTCATCCATCTGAAATGGCAAGAAGCATACTAAGGATGGCTGACTGCCGGCCAGTAGCTCACTCTATAGGAAATGTATATAGGGGGGGGGGGCGCGGGGAGAGGGGGAGTTGTCAGAGGCCCTAACAAAGATCAGAACACAGCAAAAAGGCAGATCACAAAGCAAAACAGAAGTACAGTAACAACAACAATTATTGCAGGTGCAGTAGGCAATTGCTTTTACGTGACTTGAATCAATCTCATTGTAGGAGTGTGTAGGTTAGCAGCACTTCTAGAAGTCAGTTCTCTAAAAAAGAGAGATTGACCCAATAAAGGGCTGTGTCTGTAAAACATGTTGGAATTTAAACAGTTGGCAACAATACATTGATACTTTGACCAGTATCCTGCTCTAAAAATTGGACTCTAGCCAATATGAAATAAGAAACCTGCTCACAGTTTCAGAAAAGAAAAAAGGAACTAAAAGGATTTCTAGAAGTTGTAAGAGTAGGCTATTCTATACTTAAGCAATTCACTGAAGGATGGAAAGGTCCAACTTTGCAACAGAAGTTGACTGTCAGAAGGGGTGCATATCTGTGTGGCAGGACAGACTTCCAAATCCCAGATTCCCGCTTAGCACTGGGGGGGGGGGGGTCTCTGCTCCACATATTGACTGCTGTGTCAAAAGGGTCACCACCTCTTCAGAAAAGGTAAAGCAGTCTTAAGATTCTATAGCACTTCTGCCAGCAAATGCAGGATTTTTTTCTTACTGATGTGTTTTTATTTCTCACTGCCCTTCCTTTCTTTCTACCATGCATCGAATTTTTACTGTTGTCTTTTTTCCTTTTTCTGGGCAAGTTGGATTCCTGGGGCCAGCATTTAGACAGCATCTGAAGACATTTTTCAAACATCACAGGATGGAACACCTGATTGGCAATGCTGCCTGTCAAGAAAGAAACATGGATCAGATCCTGCACAATGCCGTCAAAGCAGTTTTATAACGGAGCACCAACGGCCAGTGTAAGAAGCTGCGAATGGTACAGTTAAAAGGGGTGGTACTGAGCAGCCCTAAAGCAGCCTGCCAGCCTCCACCGCAGGAGACTGCCCAACAAACAGCACTGGCCGTTTCTGCACACAGCATAGCATTCTTCCACGGGCCTCTTTCGCCCACATACAGCCGTGTCATGCACACAATATGGTGAGGTCTATTAGGTTGCTAATGGGACTGCAGGTGGCGCAGTGGTTTAAACCGCTGTGCTGCTGGGCTGGCTGATCGAAAGGTTGCCGGTTTGAATCTGCACAACGGGGCGAGTTCTCGTTGCTCCGTCCCAGCTCCTGCCGACCTTGCAGTTCGAAAGCATGCAAATGCAAGAAGAGAAATAGGTACCACTTTGGTGGGCAGGTAACAGCGTTCCGTGCACCTCGGTGTTTAGTCACGCCGGCCACATGACCACGGAGACTGTTTGGGGACAAACGCTGGCTCCCTCGGCTAGGAAACAGAGATGAGCACTGACCCCTAGAGTCAGGCATGACTGGACTTAATGTCAAGGGGAAACCTTTACCTTTATTAGCTTGCTTGAGTAAGCACAGATTTGAACCCAGGATCGTCTCACCCCAGAACTACTCAAGCTTGCATCATTGCTCCCCTGAAGGTCACCCCAAGGCTGCGGGCATTACAGCACCCCCAAACAATTAAATAGGCTTCCCTTCACTGCAGCATTCTAATGATTTCTGAAAACGTAAGGCTGCCTTGCAAATAAGCTCGCAGAAAAGTTAGTCAGGGCATTTCCTCCCCGCTAGTGGCCCCACACGTGCCTTAAGCCAGTCATTTATGGTCCATGGAGTAGGGAAGACGAAGCCGCTTCTTGTAAAGCTGCTTAGGCCTCTCATTTGAAATTGATGGTTTGCCACAGACAACCCAGCTAGACTTAGAAGAAGGGTCCACTGATATTAAAAGAGCTTTTATTTTGCTGTGTGTACTTGGGTGCCTTTACAGAGCACACAGGGGAAAGCTTTTTATTTACCTGGAATTTCGACCAATAGAAAGTACAGTCCCGCAGCATGCAGCGCATACAGCCGCTGATGAACGCCGGCATTTTTGCTTTGGGCCTCCTGGACAAAGTGATACAGCACGGCCACAATGGTGCTGTGGGAGATATTGTTCTCTGCAAGGAGAGGCCAGATGCTCTGAAACAAAAGGGGGAAATCTGAGAAGAGGAGGAAACACGACACCTTCCCGATCATCAAATACCCGAGCGAGAGCCAGGCGGATGCCCAGCCTTGAAAAGAAAAGCATCATTGTGGCTGGTGAGGGTGTCCATTGAAAGCGGTGCTTTCTGACCTTCAAGCAGTTCTTTCCGAATCAGCCAGGCTGCTGTGGCGCCCCGGGGTGCAGCAGAATTCTAGGGCATGTTCTACAGTGCGGGCACAAGGTCACTGGCGAGACCTGCTGGGGCTCTTCGTGGGGCCTGAGAACCCTCGTAACTGCCTTACGTCAGAGGGACAGTGGGCAGGAGCAGGCTGCCGTCCCCCCCCTCCCCCCAGGGAAGACCACCATTAAAGGTCTTCTCACTGAGGAATCCTGGAAACTCTCCACACGGGAAGAGCTGTGGCTCGGTGCGAGGGTGAACATCGCGCATACAAGGCTTGATCGTCAGCATATCCAGGTAGGGCTGGCGAAGTGCCTGGCTGAAGCCCTGGGGACTTGCGGGCAGGCCGTGCTGGCAACAGCGGGCTAGACAGATAATTCTCAAGGTACTGTGCATGCTATGGCCATTTGAACATTTCAGAGCTTCATCTTATTATTGTCTCATATGACAGTAAGCTGGGGTTGGACAGCAGAAGGGAAGCGGACTCTGGCCTGAGGGCAGCTGAGGGCGACTTGGGAGGCTGCATCCCCTGCTTCCCAGGAATAAGCTTGTGAAGCTTGCTCATCCATTTTCCAGAGGAGAAGCATTTGAAGGGGACTCTGCTAAAATGACACTTGGTTCCATAGCCATCAATCTCTATTCAAGCAACAGCAGCAGCATGGGAAGAGGCCTGGTTTGAAGTGCACTCAAATGCTTGCTAGCAATTTGTCACCTTGTTTTGACATTGAAAAGTGGCTCTCCCTCTCCTTTCCTCCACTCCTCTCACTCACCCTTCCATTGTGTCTTTCTAGTTTGAAAGCCTGACATGGGGCTCATCTCTTTGAGCTGCTTTGTTAAACAACACTTTGCTGAAATACAGCAAAATGTGAGTGTGGTATTTCCCATGTTTGCCTAGGGAAGACCATTCTAGTATGCAAATGCCGCCACTGCTGTTAACACAATTTTCATCGCCATCTTTGGCTGGTATTTTGATAATGTTTTGGTATCTTGTTCCCTGTTTGTTAGGCTCATGAACTGCCAGGCCCTGCATTGGTTGACTTGGCTACTTTCTTTATTGAAGCTATCAAAAGGGACAGCTTGCAGAGTGGAAAATCTTTGGAGATATTTCCTACAGTTCTGACTGCTCTGGCTACATCTGAAGAAACTCTGGTTTATGGTACCAGTAAGTCCTTTTGTCCTCCCGCCTGTCTTCCTCTTCCTGTGACTTGCAGCATCTGGATTAACAAATAAATAAATGTATTGTGTGTGTTCTCTTTCTTCTCTTTTATTTGCCCCCATTTCAGGTGAGCTAAGTGGTGAAGAGTTTAAGAAACAGCTGATCAATCGACTTTGCTCAAGCAAGTAGGCATGTCTTTGTCAGGTCATGTTTAGTTCTGTGCTTTGCTTGAGATTGGTTCACAGTGCAAGAGCTGGGGGGGGGGGTTACTTCCCTTAGCCTTGCTTGAGAGGAAGGGTGCAGAACTTCAGGCCAGTACAGCCTTCCTTATCTCTGCAGATAATCATAGGGCCCTTCGCCAGACAGATCAATGGCCTGGCTCAGTCTAAGGCCGCCGCCTCAGTTCCCACATTTAATCCCAGAAGGCAGTTCAAAACCCCCAGCTTGAAGCCGTGAGCTCCTTTTACAACAGGCATGCAAATCAAGCACATTCTGAACAGGGAGGTTCAGGGAAAAGCAGAAAACATAGCACAGCTCACAATGTCTCTTGGCTTTCCTGAAAGGTACCATGTAGATGGGCAACAGTACAACTTATATAGCTCCAAAGTTGTGAACAATATTTTATAGGATAACACAAACCAATGGTGAAAGCCCCTTTCCCACAAGGAGTCTGCAATCTAAATTGTGGGAAGCAGGGAAGAGGCAGGGAAAAGGGCAAAAAATTGGAAAGAAAGGGTGAACAGAAGAAAGTCCCTGTTCCAATGACTGATACTTCTGCCTTTGTCCTGAATAATTTTCAAGGCAGATAACAGCACACTAGCAGAGAGGTTAATACCCAGTCCTAGGCAGCATTAAGTACACTAAGTTTATTTAAAATTATTTAGAAATTTTATATACTGTTTATAGCAAAACCTCTGCAAAAATTAATGCTCAAGGAGGCCTAACTCGGCAAGGGACTGGGGTATATAGAGCCCTAAGATTCTAGCTCCCTTGAGGATTTGATTCTAAAAATCAGTATCAGTAAATCAGAATAAAGCAGGTCAATCCCTGCTACTGGAGCCAGCATGCCTCTTACCTTGGTGGTCCCATGGTCATCTACAGCAAAGGGACAGAGGGCCTCATAAAGCTGGGAGAAGGCATCCAAACCCTCATCTGTTATCAAGCTGTGTAGTCTAGAATCCAAAGGCTCTGTTTCAGTGAAGTCTAATTCCCACACTGTGTCCACCCAAGCTAAAATGAGATAATATAATTTATTACAAACATACAAAAGCACTTTTCAGACAAGGAGGTGGGTCTATAGGTAGAACACTCATAAAATAAACAACTCTTTTTAGCCTAATACAACATTCAAGGTCATTCTGCAGCTTCCCCCAATAAAAGACTGTCATGGTTGTCTTCGCTTATGTTCTTTGACTAACCTGTTTATCTCTTTTAAGAAGAGAGACAGATCTAGGTAAAATGCAGACTTTACATTTTCAAAAACACGGCTCTGCAATTACTGTGCCAATATCTGAGGCACCTAGCAAAGGCTAATTAATTCATTCCGCAATCTCTGTCTTGAAACTGGGTTCAAACATAGACTTCATGACTACGACATTTTTCCTAGTTTCCAAATGCTTTTGTATTTCCCTTTAACAGAGCCCCTGGCCTTTTGTGCTACCCATTCTGAAGAGTATTAGAAAATACAAAGCTAGCATAGCATGTTGTGACAGATTGTTAGCCCTGATCAAGACATTGCCCAGCATGGATTTTATAAAGCTATAGTCTAGAAGCAGCAACATAATAAAATGAATAGCATTACACAAAACTGACAGCAACAATGACAAATCTGACCTTGGGATAATATACTTTTTTAAAAGCTGGGATGAGTTATGCACCTAAACAAATCTCCAATTTCTGTACATTCCTACAAAGATTTCTGGCCTTTTCCTTTCGCTATGGCATCACAATTCTCTACTAGAAATCTCCAGCAGATCACTTTCCTTGTCTTCGCCAGACTGTGACGCTCTGGAAGTTTTGGGAAGATCATGACAGTTGAATAAGTATCAAGTTTATCCATAATTTTAAGGGCAGATAGGTCAGCGAGTGTCCAGACTCATAAGCAGAGGTGAACGCAAGCTGTACTGTTGCTTTAGGAAGGTTCTCACATCTCAAAAGCCACCAAGCATAAGAAGAATGTGGACGTTTTAGATGCCAAAAGATAGATTACCCCTCTTTACATTTTCACTACTTTGAAAAAGAGTTGTTCTTCTCTTAGAAAAACTCAATGAGTGACTCATTGGATAAGAATCAGGCGCCTCTGTATCATTTTCTTTATAAATGCCTACGGAAGTGAGGGGGAAAGACGACCTGAAGCATAAATTAGAAGCTCTGATTAAACTTAATTATGGTACATCAACTTCTTGCACTTCCAGGGCAAACACTGAAATGTTTCTAATTATAAATTGTAAGCACGGAGGAACAATAACCTTCACACTTTCAAGCATCCATTCATTTGATCAACATTGGTATTACAAGGATGGGAGCCGATAACCAATTTTAGCTCAGTCTCCCTCAACATTTTAGACCAAGTATGAGTCATTTGGATTTAAAACAGGGCTGTGTGGAAAGTATTTGACTTGCCAGGCTTGTGATCTTTCTAACCGAAACGCTACAACGGTTAGTCACTGCAGAATGCAACTCAACTCATGGTGTACCCATTGATGGCTTCAAAGGAATGATAATTGCTTCTTTGAGGGATGTTTATACCATGTTAGTACCCTTCTCTCTATCATATCTGGCACCCTCACTACTCTTTTTTCACTGCCAAGTAAAGCCTTTTTTATTTAGCATTTGCTTTTAGAATCATGGTTTTAGTTGCTTTTTGCTGCTGGTTTTGCTTTTATAGTTGTTTATATTATCCTCTTGCTTTGCACCTTATATTAGCTGGATTTTATGTGATTTTAGATGCTATTGTTTTATTTTACTACAGCTATGTAATGTTGTCGTTTCTGTTTCTTGTGAGTCTCCCGGAGATCCCCCAGGCTACTGGGCAGCGTAAAAATACACTAAATAAATAAATACTGCAGTCTTAGTTTGATTATTATTTCAGAAAGTGAGTTGTGAGCTTTGCTGCTTTGCTATTGCTATATACTTTCAAGTCCTCTCTGACTTATGCAACCCTATAAATGATTGCCTTGCGTAACTTTTGTAAACTTAAGACTGTGACTTCCTTTATGAAATTGATACACGCATAGTTGCTCTTCCTTTGCTTTCAGTTTCCCTAGCATACCAAAACAAACAGCCCGACAAGATCAGAGGTTCTGGATTCCTGTAAACAGAAGTGTAACCCTTATGCTGTCAAGAGTTTCAGAAAAACACAATGACACTTTAAAAACTGCTACATTTGAAGAGGGTGTGTACACACAATAAAGACGCTCCCATCAAAGAGGCAGGGTTACAGGCATTATGACACCTGTACAGCAGCGATGTAGAGCATATGGCCCTCTGAATGTTGCTGGATCGCAACTCCCATCAGCCCGAGAGAGCATAACAAATGAAGAAGCCTTATGGCAGTTAAGAGTGCAGTGGGCCAGCACATTCTACTTCTTCACTCTAGAGAAATGTCATTGAATGAATGAAAGCTTCTTCCTTTAAGGTTAACAACTATTATAGATTTTTTTTTAAAAAAAGAAAAATTAGATTAATGAGCACCTGCCAACTTCCCATTATAATTGGGATTTTCATTTGATGCTTCATAATACCAAGCTTCATTTGCAATCAGTTTTGCTATACTATTTTCTGCACAATATTATGATTATTCCAGCTGATGGTCAATGTTACCAAGCCAGACCACTTACTGGATTATTATATCCTTGTTTGCATCTTGACCATGTGCCATGGAGGACTGCAGCACATACCTGCCTCCACAATGTTGCTTTTCCATCAGCAAATATTACACAACAATTCCTAAATCTTTATAAGAAAGTGTCTGAAAACCACTGTCATCTGCCATTCCTGTCCCAGTCCTCCTCCTCCCCACCACTTGTAAAAAATGACGCAGGACTCCTGCTGCTTTTGCTTCCGCCATAAAAAGGGAGAGACAACCTCCCTCCGAACCCTAGCTGATCAAATCCCAGTGCTAAATGCAGGAACCAGGAGTCCTGATCCCCACTAATCCAAGCAACACACATGCAGGAAATGGGTATCAATGCAGGAGTCCAGAGAGTCCTCAATCTCTCTATCCCAATACACACAGAGTAGGGTCCCAGAAGCCCTGGCTCTCTCCTGGGCCCCCGCTCCAGGCCCTCGCCTGGGCCCCCGCACCTCCGGCAGCCCCGCTTGCAAGATCAAGGTTCCACCCACCCGCACGAAGCAGGCGTGACTGCAGGACCGCCCGATCGCAGCGGAGCAGGCCGGCCCCGCTCCCCCCCAGCGAGGGCCGCGAGCCCGGGCCGCCGGCTGCTTGCTTCCCCACCGGCCGCCCCGGAGCCCGAAGACCGCGAGCCGCCCGCCGTGCTCACCTTGGCCAGCCTCGCGCAGCGCCCACCGCGCCACGGCGGCGAGAAGCGCCCCCTCCGCCATTGCCTCGGTCGCCCCGCCGCTGCGTTTGAACCAGCCAATCACCGCACGCCCTCCCGCCAGCCACTCGCCGCCGCCTGCGTACGCACGCGAGAGGCGGGCTCCTCGGCGCCGCGCGTGCGCATAGCGGGCGGCCGCTCTCGCCCTCGCCAGGCTCCTCGCTCGGCGAGCGCTGATGAATGGAGGTGGAGGTGGGGGGCGAAGAAAGGAGGATGACAGGCACGCATGCGCCGTCCGCGCCCTTACGCGCTCGTTCGCGACGGCATCGGCTCCTCTCCTCTCCCCTCCCGGCCGGGTGGGCGCGCATGCGCAATGCGAGGCTCAAGGTCCGGGACGCGGCGAGCCCCGCAGCCACCCGCGAGCGCAGCCGAGGCGAAGTGCGGGGACGGCGCGCATCAGACCTGCTCCTTCCGCGGAGGCTGCCGCCATCGTTTAGCGCAGGCCGGGCCGTGCGAGGCAGGTCCGGCGCTGCGCGTCGTTGCATTGCATTGAGCTCGGGAACCTCGGGCCTTCCTGCACCAGCCGCCGGCGCCGGCGCCGTCTCCTCTCCCCTCCTTTTTTTTTTTTAAATTTCATGCTTCCAAGGTGCAACGCCCCCGTCGGCCTTCCGAACCTGCCATTGCATCTCTTTCCCTGTCGCATCTTTTATTTTTATCCCTTCTTTTAAAGTCTAGGAAAGTGGGCCCGTGCATTGCACATACCTTCCCGTACGCCCTCCTCCATCTCCCCTACCCCCCTCCTCTACCCCACCCGGGCAGCAGGTTCCTTGCATGCCTCTTTCCACCGTCGGACGCTGCTCAGGCTGTGTGGCATCCTCGCAGCCCTTTTCATTTCCCTTCTCAGCTGTATTTCCTACCCCTGTGGCTTGCAGCGTTGCACTCCAGCTGTACGTGCCCCCCCCTTTGCACGCCCACCTTTCCTGCATTGCTGGTTGGAGGTAAGAGCAGCCGCCCCAACTCCGGAGCTTCCTGGAGCCACGACATTACAGGGTCCAGCATTTCCACATTTGGTTACTGACCATAATTCATTATCATCAATTCCAAGTCACATTCCTTTGCATGCTTTTTCCATCTCCCTATTTTCTTAAGCATCCTCTCATTCTTTTTTCCTTTTTGTGTTGATCCCCTTCTAATAGAAGCTTAGTCACTTGCAGCCTCAATATTAGCAGCTGCATCTCTCCAGATTTCCTTATGACTGAGAAGCCACCTCTGGGGCTTCCTCCCATTGCTTCGGCCACTACTTGCTAGCCACGCAAGAGAAGACAGCATCTCTGGCACTGCAAACTTGATCCCTCTTTCCTAGTATTGGAGACTTCGAACCAGCTGTCTGAGGTACTGGCCCGCCCTTCTTGTTCAGCCTTTGCTGTTTTGGGTGCCACCCCGTTCCTGACACCAAGATGAGCTTCTTTGGGTTTGGACAGAGTGCGGAGCTGGAACTGGTGCTGAGTGATGCGGAGAGCAGGCGGCGGGCGGAGCACAAGACTGAGGAGGGCAAGAAAGAGAAATACTTCCTCTTTTATGATGGCGAGACCGTTTCTGGGAGGGTCATCCTCACTCTCAAGCACCCAAACAAGCGGCTGGAACACCAGGGCATCAAGGTGGAATTCATCGGACAGATTGGTAAGATGAATCGGTAGATCAGCAGCGGCTACCCATGGTTGCTTAGTTGAACCATGTGCTGCAATGGTACGTCCCTTGGTGAGGAATGCAGAGGGGGCCTGTAAAGGGAGCTACCCCCCACCATATGTCCAAAAGCAGCATATCCCTGTATACCAGCACTACTGAACTTCAGAAGGCCCTGCCTCCTTGCCCCAAATCACAGGCCGTTGAGTAGTTTCTTGGCTTTTGTGCATTTTCCCGCACTCTAAAAAGTGGGCATGCCTCTCCTAAGGCTTAGTTTCTGGCACTAGGAACTTTAGATCAAAATCTGTGATGCTCACCTCCCTGTATGGTGATGCTCTGGCTGCGAGTTCCATTCTCGGTTTTTCAGACCTGCCACTCTTGCCTTGGCTTCCCCTCGCCACTAAAATGCAGCCCCCGAGAGCATCTTTGAAGTTGGATTCAGCCCTCTGGCTAAGAGAGGCTTTGTGTACCTCTCACCGGGGAGCAGGAGGGCCAGCTCCCACAATTTTATTTTCCCCGTCCTCTGCATCTCTCCTCCTACCTGGGCAACAACTGCAGTACCTCCCCGCACCCCGTCTTCAGCATTGGTCTGTTCCAAGTGCACCCTTTTTGCAAGGATGTCTTTCAGTGGCTGTGTGGCTTGACATTCTCCCAGTGGCCTGGGGCACATTAAGATGCTTCAGGGAGGTTAGCAAGCCACACAGGTGGGCAGGCTTCAGCCAGCTGAGTTCCCGAGCCCGGCGCTTGGGTTCTTACAAACAAGACAAGGTGGGGATGGGACATGCCTTGGCTGTTGGCTTGTAGTCATTCCTAAGCTTCTGATGGGGACATAGGAAACTGCCTTTGGCATGTCTAGACCAGCGATGCAGGGCCCACGAGCTACATCTCTTCCCCTGGTCCCACCCCTTTTGCTCAGTCACCTGCAGTCAGCTTTGTGGCTTCCCAGGTTTTGTGCATCTGAAATGCCTCTCCTCACTGCTGGCAGAAAAAGCTCGGCATGTTGGCCTTGGCCTATTTGCCTTGAGCCTTCTCTGCCCCCGGAGCTTCTCTGAAAGCGAATTGTCCCTTGGTGCTTGTGTCTTCCGTTCTCCATGTACGGCATGTCCTTGCCTGCTGGAGATCCCTGTGATGTGAGTACTGGATGAGCATCCCAAGTGCCTATTAATTACACTGAAAAATGACCCCAGCGATCCAGTGTTTATTTCAGATTCCCCGTTGAATGGGGTCAGCTCTGACCTCTCTCTGAGCCTCGGGGTGTGATGGGGAAGAGATGGTCTTTCCAGCCATTCTTCTCTAGCCCCTGCTTTCTCTGCCATTGTTTACCAGAAAGCATGCTGGATGTTCTCCACTTAATTCTGATCCATGCTTCCAGGTGCTGAATCCAGACATCTTACAGGGGTGGAGGCTACAGGTCCGAGTGGCCAGGCAGTTGTTTGGAGAAGTAACACACCTGAGTGCAATTGGAAGGTTCCAGGTTCCATCCCTGGCACCTCCGGCCAAACAAAGAGGAAAATCTGATAGGAGGTGATGGTCAGATCCCTGTCTGGGATGCTGGAGAGATGCTGCCAGTCAAAGGAAGGTGATACGGGCTAGAGAAGCTCATTGATTTAAGGCAGTTTCCTATCCACATATTATAGTTCCTACAAGGCCTTATTGGTTAACACAGGGGTGGTGAAGGTGTGCTTTGCAGATGTTGTACTTTCCCTGCCATCCTTCCACACCAAGGACAGTTGGCAGAAGTCACAGTCCAGCGGCATCCCAAGGGCCAGAGGCTCACCAGTCCTGCATTTGGCATGTTGCTAGTTGCGTCTCTCCAAACAAGAGGTGATAAATCTAGTTGCCGGACCAGTGACCCCCTTGCCTTGTACCTGAGTAGTCTATGGATTACGGAGAACTTGCACCGAGTCTGAGAAACGCAACCCATTGGGAGGTCCTCTGAGAACCTGAGGCAGGAGAGTAGCCATGTTCTTACGAGGGCTGTTCTGAGGCCAGGCGGCTACTTGTCCTGGCCCCCCAAGAAGGGGGTGAGGCAGGTGAGGATGCCACCCACAGCAGCAGCATGTTTTGCCAGCATGAGCAAGGGGACATCACGCACATTGCTCCAGCTCTGTTGCAGAAGCATTGCACTCAGGACTGGTTGAGGCAGGTTTTCTGGAAAAATTTGAATTGAATTATATGCTGTATTAATATTTGAAAGAAGTCTTCCCAGTAGCCAAAAGTCCTTGAATGGAAATATCTAATTGGAAGAAGAGAGAATCAATGAAATGTGCTTAGCGAGTTTTAAGCAACGTACACAAGCAAATGCGAAGCTTAGCGTGGATGTTTTCTTTTGTGTTTTCTTTTGTGTAAATATTTTAAGGCACGACACCTCAATAACACATACTTTGCTTATAATGTTCAGACTCTAAGGGAGAAAAAGGTTTTCTGGGAAGCTCTTCTTTTGCAAAACTGCCCATCCCATATCTCTGCTTGATGGCTAATGTTACAGCTATTTGAACATTGGTGCCGACCGATAGAGCAATTGTTTTACGGAGGGTCTTTTGCTTCTAGAGCTATATTATGACCGAGGGAACCACCACGAATTTGTGTCTTTGGTGAAGGATTTGGCCCGCCCTGGGGAATTTACTCAGTCCCAGACTTTTGACTTTGAATTCACGCATGTGGAGAAGCCCTATGAGTCGTACACTGGGCAGAACGTGAAGTTAAGGTGAGTTCTCAGCTCCTCGGAGTAGTTTTTTCCCAGCTGTGAACCACAGTTCAAGGACCACTAGTATAGCTCTCAAGAATATGGCCCTGCTAGGAAGCCGACATGCTGGACCTGGTATGGACTGTCGCCTTCAGCCGGAGCGCAGAACCTTTGGAGGTTCCTCCAGGTGGGAGGGAGGGAGGGAGGGATGTCTTTCAAAGCCCCCTTCTCCTGCAGGGATCCCCCCAGAAGGCGTCCCCACTATTATCTCTGGTCTGACTTTGGAGATAACGGGGGGGGGGGGTGTCCCTGTGCCTTTTGTACCAGCAGATAAATCTGAAGGTTATCTCAGATTGGAAGCCACTGTGGGGCAACAGCATTCGGCCTGTGCTGGGGACAGCAGCCACAGTCTCCAGAGCAGGCTGTGTCCTGCCACCCCACACCCCTGCTGTCATTTCCAGACTGAGGTTAGCACTAAGGCTGGGAGCGTCTCTGATCTATTAGCAGGGGTTCAGTATTTTAGAATCGGGGGGGGGGGGAATAACAGTCTGGGAGACCCAGTGGTTAGGGGAACGGTGTATGGCCATTTGGGGGACTTCCAAGGTGTCTAATTTAGCTCCTGGCCTAGGGTTTGGCACCCTTGAGGGAAGGCCAGCAAAGGTATTAGCCTGAATTCTTTTTAGTAGCAGCTACACAGCCAAACAACAACAAAAGCCTTCTAATGTTACTGGGCTGGCAAAAGAAGACCAGAAGAGCATCTGAATAGAGAGCTGTTTTGTGTCTTATTTGTTTGATGATAATCTTGACAAAACTTGTAACAAAATTACTGGGGTTTTTAAAAAATCTGCTTTTGGAGTAAGCAGGGATACCATATAGGCAATCACTGTTTTTTTTCCTAAGATTTATTGATCGAACTGACAGATAGGTTAAACAGTTCAACTATAAAATGGCATTTCTACAGCCTCACTTCCTGTCCAAGTCCATTTACACTAAGTGCAATTATTCTGCTCAGATGCAGTGATCGAAACCCAAGCTGAAATCCAAAATGGACAAGGAGCCACCTCTAAGGAATATCTGATAATTAATGGGCGAGAATTCCAAAGCTGTGGAAGAGTCACCAGCTTTCTCCCCTCTCCGCAGGTATTTCCTCCGCGCCACTGTGAGCCGCAGACTGAACGATGTGGTCAAGGAGATGGACATTGTTGTACACACACTTAGCACCTACCCGGAGCTCAACTCCTCCATCAAGATGGAGGTGGGGATTGAGGATTGCCTGCACATTGAATTCGAATACAATAAATCCAAGTAAGCATTCTGTGGCAGATGCTCCAGGCTTGTGTGAAGGGATGCAGTCAAGGGCTTAGCCCTTACAGAAGCCTGCTCCAGGCTAAGGCCCTCCCGATGTGCTGGACTATACCTCCCATTGTTCCTAGCCAACAGAAGTATGGGAAATACAATGTCTGAAGGAAGAGGAAGGCTGCTGTGCAGAGACCAGCACCATCCCTTATATTTCCCCTTATGCTTTTGATTCATTGGCACTCAGTCCTGTAAAAAGGTGCATGGCCTTTCAACCTAAAGACCAGATTCCATTTCATAAGCAGCCCTATGTTGCTGGGTGGGCCCAAAACAGCTGCATATTTTACCTTAATGCTGTACCTCCAGTAACGCAGCCTTAGGGGAAGCTTTTAAGCCAGTTAGAATGCAGAAATAGCTTTGCAAATACAAGCCAAAGCAGCACCAAACAATCGGTGGCTAAGCAGAAGTGAATGCGGCCAGGGAAAGGGCCATAGCTTTTGGATTGGGATGCAAGGCGGAGGTTTCATTTGGAGCCTGGGCTGAGAATTTGTGCCTCTACCTTCAGGCAGCACTCTCCGTGTTGCTAGACTACAACCCTCTTCATCCCTAGGTTTAGTGAAGTTGGCTTGGACGTAGAGGAATTGGATTCTGACAAAATCTGGAGAGCCAACCTGCTTCCCACGCCAGCAGCAACATTTGGAGAGCGAGAGATGCTGTTGTTTTGTTCAGCACCTAATAAAATAGAGAATAACTTATATGGTGCTGAATCCAGTAAATATGGAGGATTCTGTACCCCAATGACTGAATTCTCCATTGATCTCTCATCCCTACCAGATACCATTTAAAAGATGTGATTGTTGGGAAGATCTACTTCCTCCTCGTGCGGATCAAGATCAAACACATGGAGATTGACATCATCAAGAGGGAGACCACGGGGACTGGACCCAATGTTTACCACGAAAATGACACAATAGCAAAATATGAGATCATGGATGGCGCACCGGTGAGAGGTGAGGAGGAATTCTTGTGAAAACACCTGAAAAGAGGGGAGAGGATTCTTTGTCAATCTGGAGGCTGCTTTCCCTCATGGGTGACTTTGAAGGTGGGGAATACATGGAAGAGGCTGGTGCGCCCTTTTAGAAACTATGCCATTCCTCCTTTCTCATTTATGCTCTGCCTCTGCCTCTCTTTGTTGAGTATGTCTCAAACAAAAAAAAGGATTTTAACTGTCAAAAGAATCATTGCAGTTCAGGAAAGGGGAAATGTCCTGAAAGAATGTTTGAACAAGTTTTCCTGTCTCTACCGTGTAGCCTATGTTTCTGGTGGTAGGGGGCACAGTGTTTTAAAGAATTTATTTATTTATGTATACTTTCATGTATATGCTGCCTACTCCCATAATCTCAAGGCGGCTTCAAGGCTTAAATTTCAGGAAGCCTCGTCGTGTGTCTCGGTCTCGTGCCGTGCTTGGCTGAGAACCAGGTTGTTCCGCTTCGGCCTCTTTGCAGGGGAATCCATTCCTATCAGGCTCTTTCTGGCTGGGTACGAGTTGACGCCCACCATGAGGGACATCAATAAGAAATTCTCCGTGCGCTATTACCTCAACCTGGTGCTGATTGATGAAGAAGAGCGGCGCTACTTTAAACAGCAGGTGAGGTGGAGAACAGGCCGCCCCTGGGACTTCTGCATGTGGCCCCAAATATGAGAGCCCACAAGCATCAAGGACGCTTTGGCCCTCATTGCAAAACTTAAAGTAGCTTCCCGCAACCTGGTGTCTCCAGATGTGGGCAGCACAACTTCCATCATCCCCAGCCAGTGAGTTCTGACGCAGCAAAGAGATGACAGGCAAGCAGCGATCCAGATCTTGGCAGAGAGAAGCCACTTTGCCTTCGTGGCCAGTAATGGCAGGTTGGGAGCTACGGGGCCAGCATTAGCTGAAGGATCACTTCTCCTGCCCCCTGTGGTAGGGGAAGAGCTCCATCTCTGTGCTTGCAATTCAAAAGGGGCTGTGGGGAGACCTAGCAGTGGGGAGGGGTCCTGTCAGAGGACGTATGGAAGTGAACTAACTTTTTCCAGCAGCCTGGGTTGGCAGGCTAAGAATGTGAATTGGGCAGAGAGTCCCTGAAGGTCTTGCCCTGAGCTTTTCCAGGTGCATGGAACGCGTAACAAGAAAGCTGCTTTGCAGCCCGAGAGAGGGAGATTTGTGACCAACAGGGAGTTTTTGCACAGAGGGGGCTCCTGCTTGTGCTAGCGGGCTTCCTAGTGAGGATCTCATGGGCCACAGCAGGAAGCCGGATGGTGGACTACCGTCCTTCAGTCTCACCCAGCCAGGCTCTTGCGTTCTGCTGTGCGGCCGCTCTCCGTCTGACCTGTGCGTGCCAACAGACTCACGACGTCTTGCCTCTCCTTTTTGGGCAGGAGGTGGTGTTATGGCGCAAGGGAGACATCGTGAGGAAGAGCATGTCGCATCAGGCCGCCATCGCCTCTCAGCGGTTCGAGGGCACGTCATCCCAGACGGAGAGCAGGACACCCGGCCAGCCGCCAGAGAATAACGGGAGGCAGTGAGCCGCTCGCGCGGCGAGAGGTTCCGCAGGACGGCTGGGCTCACAGCTCGGAGCTTTGGGCAAGGCACGAGGAATCAGACAGTCCTTTCCTCAGAGACTCGTGAATGCAAATTATCTGTTGGGTTGTGTGTGTGGTTCCCCCGCCCCCGTTTTCTTTGCTCCCTCTCTCCTGGGCGCTGGCACCTGGCAGGGTGGTGAAGGGGTGGAAGCACCCGGCACCGGGAAATGCTCCCCTTCCTTCCCTGGCACTCGCTATCCCTTAGGGTGTGGCAGGGCCGTGCCAGCTGCTTTTTGAGCACAAAGCCAACCACGGAAAGAGTGCCAGTGCTCCCAGGCAGGATGCTCAAAGCGGTGTTGTCGCATTTCAGGTGTGGCAGCCCTGTTGGCTTGATGGTGCATTGGAGGGTGGTGGTTCAAAGCTTCCTCGATGGCATCACTCACCCGTGTGCATAAATAGCACCGGAGGCTCCAAGCTGCAGAGGGGCCGGGTGTGGAAATGCCTTTTCTTCCGCACTCGCCAAATTCCTGGTTGTTGAGGGTCGGCTCTTAAAAACATGAAAGTGGGGCCTTGCAACTTATTTGTGGCTCCCCGAAAGAGTTGACTTCTGAAGCGCTGAGAGAAGAACACCCCAAGTCTTTGCATGAGCTTCTGTTCTGAGGGCATCTCCTGAATGGGAAGAAAACGAGCTGAGCACCACTGCCTGTTTGCACGTGGGAGGCAGCCTTCCCTGAGGATGTGCTAGCTGGGGTCTGCATGGGCTGTGATTTGAAGGATCCGTGGAAGGAGAACAGCCATTCCAACGGAGGTGCAACGGGAAACTTCCTCTATCCCTGGGCAGGTTTCTGTTGGGCTCACAGAAACCCTTAGTTATTTAATGTCTTCTTTCCGGCACACAGTCTGGGAACTGCTTTCAGGACTGGTAGTAGAAACAGGATAAACTGATTTTGCATCGTATCACTCCGGTTATTGAGCTGCCCCACTGAGGGAACTTTGGAAAGCGGAGTGAGGGAGAAATCCAAGTTTAACACCTGGGATGCACTGGAGACTGTGTGTTTCCCTGAAACCCGCTTTTCATTTAGGCCCCTGTTGTCTTCGCCCCACCCCCCCGCAACTTTCCCCAGGTACTTTGCTGCTTCTGCAAAAATGGAATGAGCCAGCACAGCCTGTGTGTTCCCAGACCATGTGCTGTGAGGGGGAAAAGCAACGAATCAAACCCCACAGATCCCACAGGTTGCTGTAAGCACCTGGCGCCTCCCCAGAAGAAGCCCCCTGTGCTATACCTGCATGATAGGCTGCCCCGAAGTTGCTTCCTTTCAGGACAATTCCGTTGCATCACCCAGACGCTGCCGCTTGCAAAGCAGAAGGCCTGCCCTAGGAGGAGGCATGGCCAACGCAGTGGCTTGCATAGGACACAACCTGGTCCTGGAGACGGGCCACTGCCCACCTCAGCCAGTGTCACTGGCTCTGGCTGGCAGCCGCTCCCAGAGGTCCCTTCTGTACCTTTCTTGGCCCCATTCCTTAGCCTGCGAAGTCTGGGATAGCGTGTAGAACTAACTGCCAAGAGAGTCCTCTCCCACTGAGCGACGCTCCCCTTGGAAATGTAAGCGGTGACCTTGCCGGAAGTGTTGTTTTGTGATTCTCTCACATTCTCCGTGCAAACCTTTCTGGACGTGCAAGTGTGAACTGTGCCTCGAAGTGTATCTTGGTATTAAATGTGGGAAGCACTGATCCCATTCCGCTGCTTTCTTCTCAATGCCGGACGGGCTGCCCTCCTCCTGGCCTCCGGAGAACTTGTCCTGGAAAACCTAGATCTGGTTCCCCAACTGGAGCTCGGCATAAGCCGTGATGTTTCTCTGAACACTTACAATGTATAGATGTGTGTCGTCCCGTAAGCATGGGCTAATCTTTTCTAGAGCTTAGCTTTCATCTTTGAAATCAGCTAAGGTTAACTACAGATGTCCCCCAACCCCTCCAGCCTTCTTTTGCAATAAATACGCACTTTCTTCCAAGCAGGTGGGCCAAACTACTGAACTCAGAAATTTGCAATTCAAGCATCTCTTCCTCCTTCCAGAAGAGCCCTTGACACATAATTTAATAGCGTTGGTAAAATACTTCTTTGTGTTTTCTGACTTCAGCACTTTTAGATATGTTTTAAACATCACTGCTCCTGTGAATGATAAGAACTTGAAATTTGAGTACACACCTCCCCTCTCCAAAAGAAAAATAAAAAATTGGCCACAGTTTTAAGGGAATTCTGAGACCAAGCAAAAGCTCTTTGATGTATCTGCATCTTCATTTTACTATATCCCATGAGGCTCCCAACTGTATGCCAAGGGCCAATCAATCTTCTCTTTAAACATTTTAATGCAACTGTTAATCTTGGTGACCTAGTTAGGATTATATCTGTACTGGGATTCCACAGGGCCTTTGTAAAATTACAGAAGGCTAAAACAATCCCCAGCATTCATTTTTAGAAAAGGGTCAAGTTTCTAGCCCTCATGGGATGACCAGAATTGTGTGGACCACGTCTGCTGAAACTTCGGAAGCAGTGGGTTGGCTAAGATTTCCGCTGACCTGCATAGCACCCAACCCCATGATTTGCGAAGCCAAAATAAATTGTGTAAAAATTTCAACTTGTAACCTGCATTGTACCAAGTGGCGTAGTTCAGATTATTGATGCCATAATTCAGCTTTTTTGGGTGCACAATGCAGATGTCCTGGATGCTGCAGTTGCATACCAAGCTTTCACACCCCTCACTCTCTAGCGGACTTGAAAATATTTGACCTGTTGAGACTGCCCTTTCCCAAGAGTTCTGCTATTGGGAAACTTTCCCTCTTTTTTTGCTTTTATGTTCTACTGTGGGAGAGTTTGGCAGCTGTGTCTGTTGAAGACGTTGGGGAAGAAAGCAGATGATGAAAGGAAGAAGAGGAGGATGTGATCCAGGTTGCACTGAGGCATCTCTTGAGCTGGGCTATGTTGTGAAGAACATACCTGGTATTCTTTAAATATGTACTCTGCACAATCCATTAGAATCAGAGCAAGTCATGTTACTAGCCTTTATTCTGACAGCCTTCAGATTTTGGGATCTTTCTTAGGGCCACCATGTCTACCTGCGCTTCTGAGGTAGCATCACTGTGACTCCCATTTTGATAAACCACAAACGGAAGCTACAAGGCAATTCAGTGGGTTCGCCTGGTGAAGGAAGGGTTCCTACACTCAGCCACACGCCGTTTGGCACAGGAGACAACATGCTGGCCGCTGTAGCGAGCAGCGGAAAGCTGATGTAATAGTTCTTTCTTGTTGCACTAGATTTCTGGGTGTTACTGCTGGCTGCTTTTTGGTTTGCCAAAACAAATTTAGCTTCACTCTCTGCTGGTAGGTGAGGGCACAGAGTCGCTCTGATGTTTTGCTAGGGGGACCCTTGATGCTCCATGGCGTCGCCAGTTGCCAGCTTCCATCCCACGAATGTTCCCCAGCACCATTTGCAGAAAGTGCACTGCCGACTTCTCACATGGGAAGGCCAAGGAAGAGGAGAGAGATGACTCCTGCCATCTCCTTCCAAAGACAAGCCAAAGGCTTTGTGCCGTTGAGGAAGGGACGTGACATTGCTTAAATCCCTGGAAGGCAGGCTGGGTGATTCTCCTGCGCCTGTGTTCTGTGACGAGATTGTCCTTCTGCCATGATGTCCTTGTCCATCACCTCTTGTGTATATTCGTGATTCTTTTCAGTTCAATAGACGCGGCTCACTCCCTGACTGTCTAATATCCAAGTGCTGCCCATTTACGAGCTCCTTAGCTGATGGTCCAGCCATTTCTCGCAGAGGAAAGTCATGAAATTTCTTCAGAGAAATGGGATTGCTTCAAAGATGTGAAGTGAGGTGTGTGTACATGTTGGTTAGTCTAAAGCAAATGTTTTCCAGTTGTGTGCAATGCTTGGTGGCCACCCTGAAGTAGAAGGCAAACTTGGTGAATAATTTGTGATGGATCCTTCCAATGTATATTCCCATTCATTCCATGTGCTTGTATATGAGCCAGTGGTTCTGAAACTCTGCTGTGTTACAGACATCATTTGGACCTGCCTGCTCTCTGTTGGACCCCTACATTTTCTTACCTTACCCAGCTAACTGGGGGGCGGGGGGGGAGAAAAGGGACAAAAGCTTTCCAAGTCAAAGCTCTGGGTTTGTCTTCCGTGTCAGTGAGCCAGGGAAGTGCTTTGCTGAGATGTTTGTGTGTCAAAAGGCTGCAGAAGGAAGTAAAGTCCAGGGTGTGGTGCTGAGTACAGAACCAAGTTTCTTAAGATTCTTACACTTTTCATTTCCCACTTCCCCTGTATTTTAATGCGGTTGTAAATTACACTCCAGCTGCGCTTTGGTACTTTGAGAGATTCTGGAAGCCAGAGGCATGGCTAAATACAGTTGTGAGGAAGAAGCGATGACACTCAAGAAGCCCTTTTCCTCCACGATTAAGAACAAGCAGTTGTGCAAAATGGCAAACGCTACACTTCAGAAAATGTAGTACCGTTTTGGCCTTATTTGTACAGATGATTCAGCCAGTGTCAGAGTTCGAACTTTTACTTATATGCATGTTGGAACCCTGACTTATTAATCATCCATTTTTCTGAGCTCAGTTTCTACTAAGCAGAAGTGGCATGCATGGTCCCATTCTGTATCTGGCCAGTCCTGGAAAAAAGCCATGTTCAAAGTCCATCTCTGATCTGAGATGGCACGGAAGATCAAAATCCAAACAGAGCTCCAGGAGCCCCTGCGAACCAAGCTGTCAGGAAGGTTCAAAGTTCTGTAAGGTGGGTGGAGGAAGCGCCGACAGGTACTAAATTAAGCAGTGCAACTTGTACATTTTAAGCCTCTGCATTGTTTACATGTTTCTTAATTCATTGTCTTTTAAATGGTTGTATTTTTAAATGCTGGGAGGTTTTTTGTTTTTTGGTCTCCAATTAAACAGGAGCCATTCTAGGCTTCCCAAGGTTGAGTGTTGGGTGCTTTTCTCCTTCGGTTGTGTAGTATCTCTTTTATATATTTATTTCATTTCTGTTCTGCCTTATAGCCTTAACTTTTCTTGGGATGGGTGGAAAGGAATGTGGGGTGGTGGAGAGAGAGAATAGGTCTCCAAAAGCCCTCATTGTCAACTCTGCAACTCTGGGTTGGGATGTAGGTACTTCGTGGAAGCAGAAAATGCAGTCACACGTTCCTGTACCACTCCACTTCAGAAAGGATATTTGAGTTATTTTGGTTTTCGAATGTGGCAAAGTGAGAAATGTCTCCCATTGGGCAAAAGCTAACAGGCCTAGATAGTAACTATTAAAAGGAGGGAAGTTAGCCACAAATACAGATCCTACTTCAGTTCCATTAAAGGAGATGACAGGTGAAACCAGGACCATTCTCAGCCTTGCTGAAAATCGACTTTGTGTTTCTCCTTTTCCCTCTACATCACTTCTTCCTTGTATGTTGTGCCTCTGAGATGGTGCGGGGCAGGATCGTCCTATTTTACTGCACGACCATAAGCCATTCTTGTCTTTTTGGTTAAGAAGCAAGTTGAGTATGTTAAAAATGTTGGATCCATGCAACGCACAGCTGAACTTGCAAGCTGCTTCTCTGGCATGGAAACCAAAAGAAAAGTCTCCACAGCATTGATTCTGCAAGGACTGTCTGGTCCATGCAAGCTTCTCTCACTTGTTAGCTGCTGGAGGTAACCTATGATTACCTTGCACATGGTGGGCATGTCGTGAGCAGAGCTGGCTGGAGCCGGGGGTCAGTCTAGATGGCCGGGAGGCCCCTTCTGACTTGCTCTATGTTTCTGTGAAGTCCTAAACCAGGGAGAAGGACACTTGCTGTCCACTTTCTCATTTCAAAAGCCTTCTGCAAGCACTTGGTTCAGAATAAAGATAGATGGATCGAGATCGGCATCAGGGGCCCAAACCAAGAACCATGAGGCTGGCTGGTCCTAGGGGTGGAGATTTCTCCGTGATGGCCCTACCGATTTGCACCTGGAAAGAAGAACTAACATCCTCTTTGTTGCTGCCTTATAGGAATGGGGCGGCACTTTAAAAGTGCAATACTATGCATGGTTAGACAGAAGAAGGTTCATCGGCCATGCTTACCCTCTCAGCTTCCAGGGGGAGAGAGACAGTCCAAATGGAGCCAGGCCCTAATCAGAAGGACTTGGGTTAGTCCTGACCCAATTATCCCATTGGCTGCAGAGGGTCTGGTTCCAACTAGCTCCATTTCTAAGACTTCTAACTCTTAAGTGGGCGAATTTCTTCCCTTTATGCCTCAGTTTGGTATAATTATGCAGACTTCCACCCAAATGGTTGCTGGGTCTCAGCTTTTGGTGTGCCAATAGTATATTTTTCATAACTAGGCCTCCGCCACCATGGAGGCCCTTGCGAGGGCTGAAAGGATGGGGTATATTTTTCCAATAAACATGCAACATCCAACATCAAATGAATATATTTTGGAATAAAAAGCCACTTCTTTCAGAAGAATAAGGCAACCAGTAGCGAATATAAAACTCTACTCTTCAGCTTCTCAGGCGGCTAATGAACATGCTCCTGGGCAACATTTTCTTTTAACAGCTCGGCGAGTCCCATAGAGGTTCTGCGCATCACAGGCCTCTCTCACTGCGGCTTTTCCTCTTCAAGGCTCAAAACAAACTCAAATTCCTCTTGAAATGGGGAAGAAAACATTGGGGTAAGTCACTTCCCAAAGCTCTACCTCTCTCCCCCCTGGGATGCATCCAAGACAATTCCATCAGCTCACTTCTCCTTCCGATTAAGTTTTCCGGCAGGGGAGAAAGCTGCTGCTTGTTCTTCCATTAATTCCTACCAAGGCTTGGATTTAGGGCTAGGTGGCCAGGTGAGGGGGTGGGGAGGGGGCAGATTTGGGAACGGCTTGATTGGAGCTCTCTGTCAGAGGAGCTTTGACAAGGAGGACGTAAGACCCAATGGCAGAGATGCAGATCTCTAGAGCCCCTTCAGCTCTTACAGGACGGGGACAGACGATGCTTATCAAAACTGCATCAGCCTTAATGTGGGCTGCAGGTGCAAATGAATGCTTGGGGAGGGGCAGGCTGAGGGACGTGTGCGCTGACGGGCTCCCCCCGGAGCACCGTTCAGACTAATGCAGAAGCTGCGCTTGCTCCACCGAGCTCCCCAGTTTAGCCTCTCTGTGCTGGGAGGACGCAGGGGAGGGGACTGGACTGGGTCTGGGGGAACCGCTGTGGGTTGCTGCCGTCAGCCATGGGGCCTGGCCCCTGGATCCTTGCCGTTACTGCGGGAGATCCAGCAGGGATTCCTCTAAGGGCTGGAGGCAGAGGCCTGTCTGCCGGACCAAGCCATGGCTCCATGGGCCAGAGTGCAGCCCAGGCCAGGGCCGGCTCCAGGGCTGCCCTTGTTGAGCCCGGGCAGTGGCAGCATCGATGGTCCGCTGCGAGAAAAGCAAGCAAGCAAACGAGATGCAAACTGGCAAAAGCTCTGTGCTGCCCCAGAGGTCGGGCAGACCCAGCCGGCTTCAGTTACAGGAGGGTGAATTCCTCTTGTGCCTCCATGGAGGCCTCTTTGGCCACGAAACCGATCATCTGAAGCTCTCCTTCGTGGGAGGCCTTCACGCCAAGGCTGGATGACCATCTGTTCGGGGTCACTGAGCCCAGCATTTCTGGCACAGAACAGGGGCTGGACTAGATGCCCTCGAACTCTTTGTTTATAAGATGCCATTTGGTTCCTGGGCCAAACAACAGGACATCCAAAGCATCCCACAGTAATGAAGAGCCATGACCCAGGAGGTTCAAAGAACGGAGCTACTTCTTCCCTAGTGGTCCAACACACTTCAGCTTGTATAGAACTATGCCTTCTTTGGGGCGATTTTTTACAGAATGCCTGCAGAAATCTCTGAAATTTCTGTCTTTTTTCACAGAATGTAGTTTTTTAAAAAAGAACAGTTATCCCCAAAGAAGGCCCATGAGGGCTGAAGCGTGTTGGACTGCTGCAAAAAACCCGACAGCACAGGTGCCCTTTCCAACATTCTGAGACTTCCTCTAATCATTCTCCCAGGTTCCTAGTCCTTACCGTCGGTTAAGGGCTGGACAGAGAGCCTCTGCCTTGTGAAAAGAGTCATCTCTTTCAGGGGCCCTCCAGATGCTTTGTGCCTCTGGTGGTGAATTTTCAGTTCCGCCAGGGGGACGAACCGCTTGGTCATTCTCACAAACTGCACGTCGACCTGTAAACAATGCAGGAAGATCCAACTGGAGAAGGTGGCTAATCAAAGAGCTGCGTTGCCGATTGCCAGCGGCCATCCCTCCAAGGAGACTCCAGCCGTCCCGTTACACACACTGCAGCCAGAAGAGGCCGCGTTCTGGATTTCAGGAAAGTAAGGAAAGTTTGTGATTGTGGTGCTCACCCCCCCCACCCCCCATAGAGGGAGAAGGGGATCCTTGCACTTGCTAAATGTTCTTGCAAGTATTCCTGATGCCTTGAAGTAAACAAGCAAATCAGTGACAGATTTAGCCACTTCCACCATTTCTAGAAAGGACGGGGTATGTTAGCATTCTCCTGCCTGCTCCCCTCTAGATGTTTTGGGCTTCAATTTCGACAGGCTTACCATCGACCACTTGGGTTTCTCTTTGGTACTGGAAGCATCGTAATGGGGACTCTTTTTATCAAACTGGGTGTCATCCGGATAGGCCTCCTTCACAATCTAGGATGTGGGACAGAAGCAAGGACTGAGAAAGAAAGTCATGGACCGAGGGAGATGGGGGGGAGATGCTTCCTTGACTTCACACGTGCCAATGACTCGCACCTAAATGTGTGAACCAGACTGCTGAGAAGGACCACAATGGAAGCAATGCACCAGATCTGTCTGCCATAGGAATGTCCATATTATCTGGAATGACACATTCACGAGTGCAGCTCGCCCCTTGACCCTGCATCCAGCGTGCACACGGAAAGCATCCGCCCTTCTTTTCATTTCTTCGGTCTCAGGACTATACAGCACTTCAAAGGCAAGGCTTCTGCATGAAAATCCTGGCTCAACCACCGTCACCTGGGACAGCGGGTGGTACCAGGGGCAGTGCGCGCTGCAAGGAGAGGTGGGTTCTTTCCCAACTCAATTGTCCTTGCTTTCCCCAAAGAATCCTGGGAATTCTGGTCTGGCAAAACGCTAAAAATGCAGCGTAGATATAAAAATGCTGAGTATCTATCATACTGCAGGTGGCACAGTGGTTTAAACCGCTGTGCTGGTAGATCAAAAGGTCGCCGGTTCGAATCTGCACAATGGAGAGAGTTCCCGTTGCTCTGTCCCAGCTCCTGCCAACCTTGCAGTTCAAAAGCATGCAAATGCAAGTCAATGAAAAGGTACCACTTCAGTGGGCAGGTAACAGCGTTCTGCGCACTTCGGTGTTTAGTCATGCCAGCCACATGACCACGGAGAGTGTCTGCGGACAAACGCTGGCTCCCTTGGCTAGGAAATGGAGATGAGCACCGCCCCCTAGAGTCAGGCATGACTGGACTTAACGTCAAGGGGAAACCTTTACCTTTTACCTTTATCTATCACGGAGGTCTGATTTCTCTCTTGTGGATTACAACAGCCAACCATTTCATGGCATTAATCCCAAGATGGGGAATTCACAGCCGCCTTGTACTACAGCTGCTGTCATTTGACGGCCACTAGCAGTTCCCCACTCAGGCATCCTTTTTCCCCCTCGGCGGAACACAGGCCAAAACGTGTTGTTTTCGGAACACTGACAGGTTCTTGCAGCCGTGCCGTGCATGGCTAGAAGCCCCCTCTCACCTTGACGATCCCAGCGATCCCAGGGGCCTTACAATTACTGTGGTAGAAGAACGCCTCCTGGCCCACTTTCATATCCCTCAGGAAATTCCGGGCCTGCCAAAGGAACGGAGTAAGGATCATTCTTGCAGTACCTTGAAGGAAAAGGGCTACGGCGCATGTCAAACCTGTGAGGAGGCCCTCAGGTTTGAGAGGAGAGGATCGTGCCTAAGCAGTCGACAAGGCACGGTTAGCACAGGCTCTAGTGAAAAGCCCAGGGCGTGGAGCTGAATCCCTGAATGCACAAGAAAAACCGTAATGTAGAAGTGCTTTCAGATTTCTGTAGTCAGCGCGCAGCACAGCACCAACAGATCCACCATGCGCCAATTCAGACAGCACCCCAAATAACAGCTCGCTCAAGGATGACACCACAATTTCCAGCTTGCCAGCAGGCTGGAAAGCCTAATTTCTGAATACAGTCATCACAACAATCTGCGGTCAAGTGTCCTTCACTGGGATTTGAAGTGATGCCTGAACAAAGGAAGCCGTTCCGTGGACATCTGTCCAATTTCCAGGTTGGTTAGAGCATTTGCTGCTCTGTTCCTTCATTGTAGGAAACAACTGGAGATTTTTTGGATGGCTTTTGTGGCTTGCTTTTAAGCCCAAAGACATATGGGTCAATGTACAAGCTCTGCTTGCCTTACCTGATAGTTCCTGACTCCATCCCAGCTTGCCGTTTGATTGGGTTGAGCTTTTAGGTCTTCAATGCCAAACTGAATAATCAAATTAAGAGCATACATTACTGGAGCGGCTGGACTGCTATCTTTGCATTAAGATTTTACTGATCAAGGCTGCAATCCTGCACACAGAATTACCTGCAGCTAAAGCCCATGGAATAGGCCTTACATCTGAGTAGACGTATAGCTATATGTATCTGTGCACACAGAGTCTGCTACGCTTACTGATCACCAAAGTTTCTGCTCGGTTACCTATAAAATCTGCAATAATACGGATACACACAAAGCGATGTCTCAGTTCCAGTGCTGCATTTTGACCAGGCTTCCAGCAAGATCGCTGGGGGAGCTCGGCTGGCAGGGCAACTGCAGCCCATGAGCTGACCCTCCGTGTTGTATCAGGTGAGGTGGCTATCAAAATGAGCTGGGACAAGTGGCTGGCAAGGCTGCCATACTTGGTGGTGACAGTGACGATCTGCAGGGGGCTTCCACAGCATTTTGATAGTTTTTGTTCATTTAAAGCATTTATAAACCGTCCCTATACTAGTGTCCCAAGGGGAGGGGGACTACTCCGAAGGGCCAAATAGCATCAAGGTGGAGATCCCACGCAGAAGCCCCTCTCCTTCCCAGAATCCCATGCTCTGACATCGCCTGGCCCTGTTTTCCCTTCCTCTGTGTAAAAAGCGCCACACAGGAAAATCCTCCAATTGCCAACTGAGTGCTGAGCGGGCTTTGCTCTTCCAGCGCCTTCCTCCACTGGCCAGGCCTCGAGACAGCCTCGCTCTCCCTCCCTTTCCCAGCTCAGTGAAGAGAGAGGCGCACTTGGCTCAAGCATTCCCCCTTCTCTGGGCAGGTAGCAGTGCAGGGGGGGGGCCTTGTGCAACACCTCCACTGGCTGGGTGACCTGGGCAGACAGGTCAATTCGGGCCATGGGCTGGGGACTGCCCCTCTCTGTTCTGCCCTGAATGGATACTCAGTTCTGGCTTCCATTCAGCAAGGGCACTAGTACAAATGAGGTGTACCGTTACTCTACATCACACAGAGGGGTGTGTGCACGTGTGTGTTCCCACGTTCCCCAAACCAGTGATGATTTTGGACTGAAACGCTCAGTAGCTCTGCCCCGGACGATCTAAGCTGTGGGTGGATCTGTCATCTAAAACATCAGGAAAGTGCAGGATGGGGAAGGCAGACACATGCACCATACGCTGCTGTATCACAGAAGATGGCTTGCTTACTTTGACATCCACTCCCTTCTCAAACCTGCTCTCTGGCTCAGATTTCATAAGCCAATGCGTGTAGACCTTCTTGCTCCCCACTTTTTCAGCCTGGGCTTCTCCTTTGGGTTTGTCTCCAGTGTTACTCGAAGCAAAACTTTTCACTTTGACTCGTGATGACCTGGGTTCTTGGCTTTCCTTGATTTCAGATTTTTCTACTTTCAAAGCAGGTTCCTTTATACCTTCAAGCAATCAGGAATTAATAGAGAACATCATAGATTTACCAGACCATGTTTTGCTTTTGAAGAGTCATATTCGCTCCGTGGACTTAAACTATAAACATTTCATCCCTTCTATTTTTTCATTAATTTCTACTATGAAATTCAATCAAATTCAAAATTAAAAGGCCAAACAACAAATTATTGCAGATCTACTTTGAAAAACGATGAGTAAATGATGGAAAATTGCAAGTTTGGATGGGCAAGGACCAATGTGCAACAGCTCTCACTACAGTATCATTTCCCTGCTGGATGTTTCTCACTTTCTCGCATGTGGTTAGTGGTTGGGCATGGAAATAGATGCTGTCTCTTAGAGGCTGCTTGGTTGGTGCATGTAAAATCCAGATGCCATTGCTTGTGTTCCTCTGAAACGTATCCTGATGTTCCAGCTGCTCAGTGTCAGGATTTGAGGCAGCTCCAGGACCAGAGGTCAGGATAATAGTCCTGGTAGTTGCGGGATTGGACCCACAGCCTGCTGCAGCTATGGGACCCCTAGAAGCTCCACCTGAGACCCCTGAGGGAAGAGCTCTGTAAGCAATGAAGGTCTTCTGAGTTGGTTGTGGTGCTCCTGGTTCACGGGCCTTTTAGACTTCCTCCTAGACCCTTTGCTGTTGAGGCAGCCTCTGGAGGCAAGAGCCGTTATTCTCGCCTTTGGCCACAAGATGGAGCCCTCGCACTGCCTCAAATCCTCAGAGTGAACTTGTCAGTGAGAGCCGCACCTCTTGCAGGACAAAACACGGAAATTACTAAGGAAATACAAGTTAGAAAAGGTCCAGAGGGGGCAACAAAATGATGCAGTGTTTGGAAACACTGCCCTGTGGGGAGAGACTGAGAGAACTGGGCATGTTCAGCCTTGAGAAAAGACTGAAGGGGGACATGATATCCCTCTGTCAGCACCTCCAAGGCTTCTCGCTGATGCCAGAGTGTAGGACATGGAAAAATCAGCTCAAGTTGCAACAACCCAGATTCAGGCTACATATCAGGAAAAGCTTCCTCACTTTCAGAGCAATGCGACAATGGAACCAGCTGCCTGGAGAGGTGGTGGGCTCTCCCACACTGGAGGCATTCAAAAAGAAACTGGACAGCCCTCTGAGCGGAATGGTGTAAACTGGCGTCCTGCAAGAGCAGGGGGTTGGACCTGATGGCCTTCTTGGTCCCTTCCAGCCCTACTACTGGATGTTTCTATGACACTGAGATGCACCCCAACTGGACCTTCCCTTGTTTGCAAGCCACAGTGCGAGAGTAACACATGCAATAGCCACAACACAAGGTTGTCACACAGACCTGTCGTGGCTCCTCTGCCTCTTTTTTTCCTGAGTGCAGCCATTCTCCTGCCTTGAAGTGGGCTGGTCTGGCACCTGTGAAAAGGGTCTCATGTCATGGGGCAATTCCGTGGAAGCATAGGAAATACACAGCTGTGTTGTTGGGCAGAGGATCTGGGTGCTTCCAAGGCTTCATTTTGTCATTTTAAAGAAATAGATAAGCAGAAACAGAGATACAGTTTCCATCCCCGATGACTAAAGAGGCATGCTTTGAATACGTGCAACTAATACACTCTGCGAACTTGGAATACAGAAGGGCAGCTAACAGCACAAGCTTACAGATCAGAGGCATGTCTAGTGAATTCAATGGGCTTAGTTCTAACTAGGTGTGGGATTGCAGCCTCTTAAGATGCTTCCAAGACATCTTAAGACTTTCCTGAAATGTGACCCAGTTAGACCTTTTATTGTTGATTCATTATAGGCAGCCGTTTGATTCACACTTACCTGAAAATAATAACCCAGCAGCTCAGTAAAATTTACGTCTGAGTAATTACACAGTGTTGTGCTTGACGTCTCCTCCTACCCCCTTTGTTATCTCACTCAGCACCCACTGCTGTAGAAGATTTCAGTCAAAAGCTTCCTCACTATTTTCTGGCATTTTGGCTGGCCAAAAATGGCATCCCCTTACTGTGTTTGGATGCTGTCCTGCCCTGCCTGCAATCGAGCCAACACAGAACATGCAAAGTCCGCCAGAGAAGGAGGCACAAAGCAAATAGGTTTAGGTAACTCAAGCAACTGAGCCAAGATGCATCCCGATCATGTAGCAGAGCAAATGAAATACACAGCAAAACCAAACCCGAAGAAGTGAGCGGGCGGGGATGGTTACATTACCTGAAAAATATTTAACGTTAACTCCGCAATTGCCCAAATTTCCACTCCTTTCAATGTTCCTATGCCCTTTTTCCAGCTCCGTCTGCACCAGCAGCTCTCCCCCGAATTTACAAACCGGAGCTTTCGGTTGCCTGCAGGACTGAAATCCCAGGGAAGAAGAATCAAAATTCCTCTTGCAACGCTAACCACCTTCCCAATTTAATTCGGCGGTCAATTAATAGTTACGCAAAACCCAGCTATGCCTTTAAGAGCATCCCCGACTTGTGACCAATCAGAGGGAAGACCCTAGCAGGAGAAACGGCACTACAACTCCCAGAAGCGCGCGGTCGTTCGCGGCCTCTGCTGGGACCTGCAGTCTCGCTGTGCTGTCATAGCAAAGACGATGGAGGGCGGCGAGCGGCAGCCGCGAACGACAACTCCCATCATGCAGAGCGGCCTCCAGGGGTCTCGCTCAAGGGGAGGCTTCGGAGAGCTGCGGAGCCGCTTGCCATGGCTTGGAGAGGCTGGGGCAGGTTGTGGGGCCCGCTGAAGAGGAGCCCGGGACGGAAGCCGCCGTGGGGGCGGCGAGGATTCGTCTCCTGCATAGACCGTAAGGGGCCCGCAGGGATGCGTGCAGAAACTCGGGCTGCCCTGCTTGTCGCTGCAAGGAGGTATGCAATGCCGGGAGGAAGTCATTACCGGTTGGATTTCTCCTTGCAGAGAAGGAGAATGCAACAGCTGTTCCGTCTTTTTTCTGCTGGCGCGAAGACTTCCCCCGCTGCATGCCACCCTGTAGTGATAGGGAGAGGATATTGCTTTTTGGCCGCGAAATACTGTGAAAGGGGCATGCTTCACCTGCCGAATTCCTGCCTGCCCCGAGGGCACTCAAGGACCCTTGCCAGAGTTTGCGCGCGTGGAGTGTTCATTCAAGTGCCATCCCTTCCGGGTACACTTTGAAGGCGTTTTCAGGAAATTGTGTATATAGCCTGATCGGATTTTCAAGTGAGCATCCTGGAAAGGGGGGCGGGGGAGGGGACGAGCCCTCTTACCGAGAAGTGAGCCTCATATAGGCGGATGCACTTCTGAGTGAGCATTCACAGGATACTGTTCTACGACCTTACCTGGGAAGGAAGAAGCGTCATTGCAAACAGTGAACCTTACTTCCAGGGAGGGAATGTGTCAGGTTCTGTTAAATGCCGTGTTGAGTTCTTTAGCAAAAAAAATGTGGGATATAAATCCAAATGTGGCCGCCCCCTGGTATTACATGGCTGAAGCGGTCCAGGTGTGCACCTGGTGGCACCAAAGGGAGAAAGAGGCTGACCCGAGTTTGCAACGTCTTAAAAAATACCTGAAGCCACTCAGTAATTTGGATAAGCAGGATCGTTAGTGCGCGGATGAGGTGGAGGTTTTTAACCTAACTGGACCTTGGAAGCCATTCCTTCCCTTCCCTTTTTCCTGGATTGTCTTTGAAAGCCTTTTCTCTTCTAGCCTCCGTAGGCTTGACCGAGGAGCAGAAGGAATTCCAGAAAGTGGCCTTTGACTTTGCTGCCAAAGAAATGGCCCCCCACATGGCTGAGTGGGATGAAAAGGTGCGTGAGCAACCAAGTAGCATCTTTAATATGCAGCGGCTGCTTAATCCGCTGCCAAGAAAGAGGATGGGAGCGCGTTGCCCTTGGCTGGCATCGCTTGGATCTGCCCACAAATGTGAAGGGCAAAATGGCATGGGGGGAATAAAATTAAAAAGCAAAATGAAATAAAAGCAAAAACATTTTTCCCCCGGAAAATTTGGGGAAGGAGATGTGATTTTTCCAAAGATTATAGAAAAGATCTGGGAGGACATTTCCCTTTCCCCAGCCTGCCATATCTGTGGCACTGCTTACTTTTGCTGCATCTGGTTGCTGAACATATAAAGACGATGCTGAATATTGCCTTTCCTGGCTCCAGAGGTACCTCAAAATGAAGCCATATTGAATTAAGCAGGGAATCGTTTTAGGTATGTGTGTCTGTGATTTTAGTCTGAGAAAGATAAACTAGTAAGGCAGTATTTGGCAAGCACGTTTTTTACAGGCTGATTCTATGGGACAGAAAAACGGGAGTCCACTTCAGAAAGCAAGTCAATAAATCTTAGCCATGCCAGCAGATGCAATTGTGTCATCTCCCTCCATCTGCATTGACAGGAAATATTCCCCGTGGAAACCATGCGGAAAGTAGCCCAGCTGGGCTTTGGTGGGATTTACGTGAGGCCGGATGTCGGGGGCTCCGGACTCTCCCGGCTCGACACTTCTGTCATCTTTGAGGCTCTGTCCACGGGATGTGTCAGTACCACAGCTTATATCAGCATTCACAAGTGAGTATCGGGCTGAGGGTTCACGCTGAGGTTGGAAGGTCCACGTTGTGATCCGCCCTGCCTTTCTTGCCTCTGCAGTATGTGCGCTTGGATGATCGACACTTTTGGCAACGAGGAGCAGAGGCACAAATACTGTCCTTCACTGTGCAGCATGGAAAAGCTCGCCTCGTACTGCCTGACTGAGCCAGGTGAGGGACGCGGGGAGGAACGCAATACCCACCACCCCAACCGAGGGGATCCCTGGCCAAGGCATCAGTATCTTCCTCCTCAGTGTTAGATCTAACCAAGTTAATGAGAGGATCCTGTGAACCTTCAAGGTGCTTGTAATAACATACAAAGCCCTGAACAGCTTAGGACCTGATTATCTGAAGGAACCATGTGTGCCTACCTGTGCCTTAAGAGCATCTTTGGAAAGATCATCTCCTTTCCTGGGAGCCGCCTTTCAAGGGTGTAAAGAGGGTGGATCCTTGGGGAAGGGCCTTTTTGGTAGTGGCGCCTCATTTATGGAATATGCTTCCCAGCCAATGCTGTTCATGTTCCAGCACCAGGCAAAACTTTTCTATTCACACACCATGTTAATGTTCAAGCAAAGTTTTGTTAGTATCTACTGTGAGGGCTTTGTTTTCCCTTTTGGTCCAATTCTTGTTTTGATTTGCTTTTATTGGGATTTTGTATTCATCACTTGTTTATTTATAAATGGTTTCATTTGCTTTGCTTATTGTTTAATTGGAATGTTTACTGATTTTCACTTTGTTGTCATATATTGTATTATGTTTGGGATTTTATTGAATGTAAACTATTCAAAGACCCATCATAGCTAAGTGAATTGTATACACAAATGTTTATAAACTAAATAAATAAAAACCTGTGTGAGATACTGGATGAGAACATTTGAGTTAAGCAAGAGGGATCTCGATTCAGACCCCACAAGGCTTGCTCAAAGGCCGTAGGCCTATCACTCTGTCTCAGCCTAACCAAATTCTTAAGGCAGTTGCAAGGAGAAAATGGGTGAAAGTATATTTTATTCTGAGGCATAACAAAATGAATCATGATGGTGATGACAGAAACTTTTATTAACTGTCAAGTGTGCGGATTAACCCAAAGAACAACCCTGCAAGGTAAATTAGGATTCTTATCCCCATATTGCAGAAGGGGGGACTAAGGCTGAGAGGGAAAGAGGCTTGCCTTAGGCCACTTTGTGAGTTTGGGTCAACAGTGAGAGTGGAACTGGGGACATAGATCCAATGCGGGGGAAGCAAGGCCTAGGAAAGGCAAGCTGGTGACGAGATGAACAGTTGCCAAGGAAGGCGATCTGCTCAGAGATGAGAAATTGGGAGCCAAGAGATCTGTCTGCAAGGCTCAGTTCTCAAGGGGGAGGAGCAAGTTATAATTTGGAATATTAGCAGGGGTAACTAGAATGATGAGTGGCATGCTCTGTTATTTTATCTGCATTTTAATTGCCGTTCTTTCCTTCTCAAACAGGAAGTGGGAGTGATGCTGCTTCTTTGCTAACTTCAGCCAAGAGGAAAGGCGACGATTACATCCTTAATGGTTCCAAGGTACCAGTCTTCCCCACTCTCCGTGAAAGGGGCCGCACCTTCCTCCTTTACTTTTCCCTGTGCCACAATGCTTTTTAGTTCCTAGCACAGGAGTCTGGGAGTCCTTACTGTGAGAGATCCTTTTGGAATGCTCCTATATAGTTTTTCTGTGCTCCAAACGATAATAACTGCAGATCAGCAAAGGGCAAACTCCCATTTCCTTATTTATACGAAATATTTGCATCCAGCCGAAAAGGTTCCCAGACCAGTCTGCATGAAATCAGAAAAATGACTATCCCTGCAAGTTTCAAGACATGGCACACAGGAAAGACGGGATGGAGAGGGAAGAGGGGGCAAATAGCCAGCCTTTCAGATGGCCCCTCTTTGGCCCTCACCTCCCTCTGTAAAACTGCCAGGCAATGTTTTTATTTGAAGGAAGGAGCGGGTGCCGAAAGCCTCCTGTCTCTCGCCGCCTTCCCTTGAGTGACTCATCTCTTGGACTTCCCCTGCAGGCCTTCATCAGCGGTGGTGGCGACACAGACCTGTACGTGGTGATGTGCCGTACGGGGGGGCCAGGTCCCAAGGGCATCTCGTGCCTGGTGCTGGAGAGAGGGATGCCGGGCTTGAGTTTTGGCAAAAAAGAGAAGAAGGTATGGCGACACAGCAGGTTCTCGTGTCCGCTTGAAATCGACGGAAGCAGTTTGGTGGTGTAGAATGTGGCAAGGTTCAGGGGCAGCAGCTCACGGGCAGCAGGTGGATGGTGGCGTCTGGGGACAGGTGAAACATGAAGGGCCTCTTGGGTTTCCCTCTGTGCAGGTGGGCTGGAACTCACAGCCGACCCGAGCCGTGATGTTTGAGGACTGCGTCGTTCCGGTGGCCAACCGGCTAGGAGAGGAAGGGCAGGGCTTCAACATCGCCATGAAAGGCCTAAATGGAGGGAGGATTAACATTGGTAATGCTTCTGCTTTTATTCATTCGTGGTTACTTCGAAGCTGCCATTAAGAGTGGCAAGAGGGCCAGAAAAGGAGGGATGGGCTGCTGGAGACCAGTACATAACAGAAGCCCTGCCTCTTTCCTCCTGCAGCATCTTGTTCTCTGGGTGCAGCTCATGCCTCGGTTCTTTTGGCTCGGGACCATCTGAATGTCCGCAAGCAGTTTGGGGAGCCCCTGGCGAGCAATCAGGTGAATTATTCTTGCAAACACCTCTTGCTCCTGAACCTGCACCACCTTCTTGGTAACAGAGTGGAGAGCCCATGTCCCTTTGCCCTCGTCTGCTAGCAAACATCTAGTAATACAGTTGCTGCAACTATTCCTTCATTCCCTGCCAGCTTTCTGGTGCTGCTACCGGGACGTTTACAGGCTGGTGCTGGCCCACCAGCAAACAGGCAGCCAGTGGAGGTGCTCAGCAATGGAGTTGTGTGTTCAAAAGGGCAGTTCTTGGTGACACTACCTGGCCCATCTGCCCCCTCGTCAAGCCTGTTGCTGGCTGGAGGCAAAATGACACCAATTTTAGCCGGCTCAGTAGGAGGGGTTCTGGGTCTAATAGCCCCTGGCAAGCTGTAATCTGCCCAGCACGCCCTCTGTGCCGATGGCAAAGCCTCTGCAGGGTTTTGTCCCAGGGCCTTTCCCTGGAAAGGCTTGGGATTGAAGCTGTGAACGCTTGCGACGCACATGCTCGGCTGCTGTGCTGCTTTGGACATGGGGTAGGCCCTGACTCGGCTCCGGGGGCAGTGGAAGGCAGGAATGGCTGGGCGAGCCAGGTGGCTCCCGGCAGGCCTCCCGGCTCACCGATCCCCAGAACCAGCCCCGGCTCACCCTCCTCTCTCGCTCAACAGTACCTGCAGTTCCGGCTGGCCGAGATGGCGACGCGCCTGGTGGCATCGCGGCTGATGGTGCGCAGTGCGGCCCAGGCGTTGCAGGAGGAGCGGGAGGATGCCGTGGCTCTGTGCTCCATGGCCAAGCTGTTTGCCACGGACGAGTGCTTTGCGGTAGGTGGAGCTCTTCTGGGTGCCGTCACCGGAGGTGGCGAGGAAGCCCCCTTCGCCGCATGCTGACCCGAAGGACCTGCTGATCCGGGCCCATTGCTTGAATCGGGCTCGCACATCGCCTTCCAGGAACTTGGGGCTTCCTCCATAGCTTATTTTGTGTGTCATAATAATGATGGGCAAGGGCAGATCGATTGACGGTTCTGTCCTGCTCAGTACTGACTGGCAGCGAGTGGTCCCCAGGGCTTCCATCTGGATTCGTTCCCTAGCCCAGCAGAGATGCCGGGGATGGGACATGTCGCTTGCAAAGCCCGTGTTCGACCCCTGAGCGAGAGTTCAGCCCTGCTTCCACTTCTCTGTTCTACACCTCGCAACAGCAAGCAAGCGCAGGGTTGTAGTAACTTTTGGGCACCGGATTTTTGCTTGCTAGTGTTGCTTGCAGCCACGCTCTGTGTTGACTGTTGTGGTAAGCAATAGCAGGCAGCAAGATGGAGAGAGTACTAAGTTTATTATTGCTGTCTACAGCTTCTGCTTGTGGTTGCTATTTTAGGGAGAGGAGAGCGGAGAAAAAAAGCAGAATATACGTACGCAAGTCCTGGAAAGATGGATTCGATACTAGAGTTGGCCACTAGATGTCAGCCTTGCATTTTGATCAAGACAGGTGGCTTCTCTGTTTAAAAGCAGATAAAGATGCCCCTGAATGGTGTGCAAACAATAGAACAAACTCCCCCAGCTTGGTGCCCTCCAGATGCATTGCACAATAGAAAGCAATAGGATCAAAAAGCAATCAAAAACAAAACCAGTAGGATATGAGCAAAGTCAACTTGCGTTAGGCTTAGTGCACTGTATTGTATTCATTTATTTAGTACACTTCCATTGGCTCCAATTAGCTAAAGCTCTGTACGAGGCTTGCAAGGTAAGACTTACCAGGTCTCTGCTTTAAGAAGAGTCTGTTGTTTTTAAAGCGTTTAACTCCAAGACTTCTGTCCCTGTTCCATCTTGCTGTGGAGTCCCAGAGGCCAGTCTTGTCGTTCTAGGGCTTGACTCAGTTTATCCGCTCTTGTGCAGATCTGCAACCAGGCCCTGCAAATGCACGGTGGCTACGGGTACCTGAAGGACTACGCAGTGCAGCAGTTTGTGCGAGACATCCGAGTGCACCAGATTTTGGAAGGTAAAAATGTGAGACGCTGTCTACAGCCTTGGCCACTGCGTTGCCTCATTTCCATAACTCTTCCTGGGTTGCTGGAATTGCAGCCACTTGCTCTCGTTCTTTCCATGTGCTGACAGCCAGGTTAACGTGAGTTAAGTGCAAACTGCATCGTGCCGTGAACTAATTGCATAAAGATGTCACTGTGTTCCGAACTCTGCACAAAGCTGCCAAATTAGACTCTTGTGAGACTTGGCACTTGGGGGACTTGATTCTGACTCAATTGCTATAAAACGTCCTGCTTTAAAAGGTTTGCTGCTAGCCGGCAACAGAGAGTAAAATGGATACTGCCTATGTACTTTCAAGCTTTGCCTCCATGAGGACTACAGACTTGATTCCCTCTCTTTTATATGTAAAAGAAAGAAAACAGCAAGAAAGTTGAGATCTTTAGGTTTCCATGTCCTTGTCTGCATTTTTACAATGCATGTAAAATCCAAACCCAAATACACACAGTATTCCTTACTAACAAAGACACCTCTCTTGTCTTTTCTCTCTGGCTAAAGGCACCAATGAAGTCATGAGGATGATTGTGGCCAGGAGTCTACTGCAAGCGTGATGTTTGGAGCTGGCCTTCAGACTCTCTGTGCTCCAGTAGCTGCACGTGGCTTTCATGATCATGGGCCAGGAAGAAGACAGGGACGTGTGCTGGGGACAGCCTTCTTCTTGCCCAGCCCCTCCAGCCTAAGGTCCAATGGACACAGCTAGACATGCACCTTCCTGTGCCGGGCCATGGTAAGAGTTTACCCCAGGAAGGCAAGATGACTGACCTAAATTGAACTCTTTGTGCCTGAAATCCCAGCCTTAGGCCACATGGCCTATTCTGCTGTGGCTCCTGTGGAAAACAAAAGCAATGCTGGTCGAATTTGTCCAGCCTGGACCCTTGCCACCATTCTGCATCAGAGATGAGTATGGTCTTTGATGGGACTGGATGGCCAGTCCATCTACACTTATCCATCCTGGGTTCTGTATGGGCTGAGAAGAGGGTAAGCTTGTTAAATCCACATTTTCTGGAGATTATCCTGGGAGGAAGGCTCACAAAATGAAAAAGACCTTTTAAGCTCTGCCTTTCCCCCCGCACAAGATGCATCTTCTCTTTTTAGGTCAAGTGGCAGGAACTGGGGAGGGTAGATCCATTTGCTGGCAGGCAGTCTGCCTCCAGCCCTAGTGAAAGGGCTGCCTTCCCACCATGTGGTGCAAATTAATCTTAACATCAGACTTGTTGGGTCCCAGCACAGAAGTCTTTTGATGCACAAGAGACTCAGCCGCACAAAATCCAACCATCTAATAATGCAACAAATCAGAGGTGCTGATCTGGACTGTTTTTCTGTCTTTTTCTTGTCAATGCCAGAATCAATAAATACACATTTTGATTTTTTCTTTCTTTTTTGGAAGTGATCAACTTTAGCAAAGGAGTTGTATTTGCTGCTATTTTTAGTGGGGGGTTTTGCCTTGAAAATATAAGAATGTAAGAATTTTGCTTTGGAGACTGAAAACTCAACAGATTTTTCTGGTTCAACCTTGTAGATTTTATTCTGTTTTGCTCCCTGCTCTCTCTCCTGCCCAGCATCAATTTGATCCATAGCAAGTTGAGACAAGGTACAGACTGGAAATAGTTTTTAAAGGTTGCAGTTTGCACAGGTGGAGTCTTGACATTTCTTCCGATTATTTCAGAACTTTTTTTGCATTGGCGACCTGGCAGAAGCACACGAGCGCAAGTCCTCCAGTTCACTACAAAGGGGCGTCTTCTTAGTCAGGGTTCGTGTCGGCTTTGCCCTTCCCACTCATTACTTCCTTTAGTCCAGCACAGCCATATTCCAAACTTGTGAACGAACGAACATATCAGTTCCCGCCCGCCACACCAGCTCTTCCCTCCCGAAATGCTTCAAGTATCCATTGGCCATGCTGGCAGGGAATTTTGAGGACTGAAGGCCAACACACCCGAAGGGCATCGGACTGAGGAAGGCTGCGTTCGAGAGAGCAAGGCCAAATCTTGGACTACATTCAGACTGGCCTCTCCTGCAGCTTCAAGCAGGCGCCTCAGAATTTTCAGCGATTCAGCATAAGAAGTATTATTATTATTATTTAGAATTTTTGTATGCTGTCCCATCGCATGAGCCTTGGGACGGCTTACATACAATAAATAATAATAAATAAACATAATACAAATAGGGCAAATAAAATCCAGATTCACCCTGGCTGTGAATTAAAACCTATAGTTGATATTAAAAATTGTTAAAATATTGTTGAAATAAAAAGGTCTTAGCCTGGCGCCAAAAAACAAATAATGACGGCGCCAGGCGGACCTCTGTGGGGAACCCTTCACCACCCCCATTGTCCTTCCCATAGAGTGCCTGGAAGCTGGTCAAACTCTATGGATGTTTGTTCAGCTTTGAAACGGTGGTGCATACATGTAATACAGTGATGGAAAAGGAAGTGATAGTTACTCATGTGCATTAACGCAATTTAAGTCTCTCCTCTGCACACAGTTAGGTAGAGCAATTTATGAAGAGTTTGTCCAGTTTGGATAAATTTACCATAAATCCTAAATACTAAGAGGAGGCGCCTTCACCAGGAATGGACCCCAATGTAACTCGGATGGTGCCTTCCTTGCACAAGAAGACAGTATCTGCAGGCTTGAGGCTGGTTTGTGGAAGGAGAGCACATCTCTCGGGGTGGGGAACCAAACGAGCCCTGTGAAGGTGGAGATGTCCATGGGTACAGAATACTGATGGCTGGGTGGAGCGAGGGATGAAGACCATGGTGGAATGGAGTATCCTGGAAGGGGGCATGACTGGGATCCTGAGCTGACGTATTCAGCATGGTAATCTTTGGTTGCAGATCCCATGTTTCATTTATATGAGCCCTCAAAGGGTTTCCAGAGCAGCTAACAATGTAAAACCCTAGATTTCAGTCAGTAAACCATATTCACACTGGAGTGAATATACAGAAATTAACATGGACCTTCTTCATTCAGACAGTAACTGTTCAAGATGATTGTAGAACTACCAGCCAAAATCTGAGCAAATCAGATCAGGTGAGATTTTAAGCTTTCTTTCAGGAATGGCTTCTTCTGGGTAGCAAAGATGCAGCCATTCTCATCATGATGCTACTCCCCCTCCTTGCCCAAGCAGACTTGCTATGGAGTTATGACCCATTTAATTGGAAGATTTCAGTTTCCTGGAAGGTATGCTTGAGACTGGAATTTGTAGCTTGCATATTTAAATGCCCCTGTGTGCATGAAAGCTCTCCAAGGAAACAGTTCTAGCATTATCTGCAAAGCATGGGGATCTTGCACTTTCCCTCGCTGACCTTTGCAGAAGTGGTGCCATGGGAGTCTGTTGACTGCATTAACTGGGCATGAGTCCCACTGAACTGCCTGGTAAACATATTAAGTAAGAAAGTACAGTGCTGAAATAAGTGGGTTGCTTCTGCGCATGAGCAGTATGCACTGCGCTTAGCCAGGGATGGCCTCTGGAGCTCTGCCCTCCTAATATTTTTTCTGTTGCCCCTTTTTAGCAAGTAATTTTTCAATAATGAACACTGTTGTCTATAAAAGGCCTGCAAACCAGAAGAATCTCCCCCACTATTGTTCGGACCCCCAAGAACTTCTGTTTTGGCTGTGGGCCTGCAGCAGCTCCACCTCAGCCTGACCGTAAGTGTAACGAATGCACTCCAGGAGCAGGTCCCTGGTCTAGCCCAGCTGCTGACCCTACGCAGAGGGCCCTTTTGGGGCCGCTCCAGGCAGAACGAACCACGGCTGTACCTTGCAGCGTGCACTACTGCAACCGCTCCGGGGCAGAGCTCCCTGCTCCAGCCCAGCTCCTGAGCATGTGCAGAAAGCGCCGTCCAGCGAGAGCACCGCCCGCCACAGTGCTCGCGGGAAACGGGTGGGGAGGGCAGCGAAGGCTGATCGACGCGGGAGCCCGGCCAATCGAAAGGGCGGCGGCGGCGACCAATGGCGGCCGAGCACAGGGCCGCCCTCCTCCAATGGGAGGAGCCCGTGCCAGTAACGGTGCGCCAATGGTGGCGGGCACCGGAGACCGTGGCAACGAGGCCGGCGGCGGGCCGGGCGTCGTCCCAGCCATGTGGAGCTGCGGGGGGCGCCGGCGGCGGCGCCTGCTGGGGGGGCTCTTCCTGCTGCTGCTGGCCGCCGTGGTGCTGCGCAGGTGAGGGGGCGGCGGCGGGGCGGGGCATGCTAATGAGGCCCTCCCTCCCGGCGGGCACGCCCCTCGGAGGGCTCCTCCCCGCGGGAGGGGCAGGCGAGACCCTTCCCCGCGCGAGCCCCCCCCCGGGCTGGAGGGGGGCGCAGAGCCCGGCTCCCCCCCGCTGCTTTCGGGGAGGGGGCTTCAGAGGAGGAGCGCGCCTCTGTCCCGGGTTCAAGCCTGGGGACCCTTCCCTTCCCCGCCCTGCCCAAGCCTCCTGCACCGGTTGCCAAATCGGAGGTGCCCCCTGTAGGGGGGGGGGGCTCTCCTGCGCACGTGCCGCCGATCGGGTGGACCGTCGATTAAAATGCGGGTTTGCCGCTTGTGTACTCAGCGCAAATAAATGCAAGCAAGTCTTCGCCTCCACCCTCGTTGCAAGCTGCGCTCGGGACCATTAGAGTGCATATAATAATATATTATTATTAGAGTGCATGCGGGAAGGATTTCCCCCCCGCAAAGGGAGCAGCGTGCTGGAAGTGTTCCCCACCGATCCCTTTTTCCTCCGGCGCGCCTGTTAGTTTTAGCAAAGGCGAGAGCTGCAACAGTAAAAGTTCTTTCTGGAATGGATTTGCTCGCCATAGGTTGGCCAGGTGTCTTATATTCAGGGGACTGTCCTCTGCTTGGAGGGTTGCAGAGGACTGTTCTGTATTAGAAAAAGTTCCGTGGTGGCAGGCCCAAGTCTGGCTTGAAGCTGACCATAAGGATATTCCTACCCCCTTTGTGCATCTCATGAAGTGCCTTGCAGCTCATGCAGAAGGCATATTCCAGAATAACAGGTTGCCTTGAGGAGGCAGGGAACACTTGTTTTACAGGCACCTTAATGAAAAAATGGCATCTGCAAGTTGCTTTAAAAATGATCCCCCCCCCCCAGCTTTCATTTGTCCACCAGCACTGTGATCCCTAGAAATAAAGCCGTGGAATTGGGAAGGATGGTGTATTCTTGATGCCATTATTATTATCATCATCACCACCGTCATCCATTTCATTTCTGTACAACAGTTGAAGCATGCCGAGTGGTCCGAGGTACAACACCTGTCACCCATCCAGTTTGCAGCCCAAAGTCCTTGCTGACATTGCATTTCTGCCTTCCCAGCCCTTCCTCTCCTGCTCGCTTCTGTTCCAACCAGGATTTTTGATTTATGAAACAGCAGGCGGGACAGGAGGGTGAGTGACCTGTGGTCAGCAGCCGCAGGTTGTTTTTCTGCATCGGTGTGTTGAAAGGGACAAGTAATCCCTTCCTTCCAAGCTGTGATCTAGCAGGATTTCTCCCCAATTTTCTGCTTAGTATTTGATATTCTGAAAGTTGTAATTATTTGGGAGTGAAAATGTTAATGGATATATCTTTTTTTCTTTTGCATTGTGAAGTTTACAGAATCACTTATATTAACATGATTTATTATTCAGTCTATTTATGCCCTACCTTTTTTTTCCTTTCAAGGAATCAAGGCAACTTACATGATTCTTCTCCTCATCTCCATCTTATCCTCATGACAGCAATCCTGTGTAGTAGGTTGGGCTGAGAGTCTGTGACTGGCCCAAAGTCACTACCCAGTGAGCTTCATGGGTGGGTTGTAACTAGAACCCAGATCTCCTTAGTCCCATACTGATGAAACTTAATTAGCTTAATTAGCTTTAACTCAATTTAAGCATAGACAAATTCCATATAAGTGGATGCATTTAATTTAGGAAAAACTTTCTGAAACAGTCAATTGGGTAACACAATTTGTCAGCTTCTAGGATGTGGCTTCCCAGAAGTGTAATCCTAAATAAATTCACTTAGAAGAAACCACCGTGGACTTCAGATAGATTTACTCCCAAGTTAGTTGGTATAGTATTGCAATTTAAATTATCTCAGATAATCACATTGGGAAAGGGAAAATCCCCCCCCCCAAACGTTCAGAGCATGATTGTGGAATATGACTCTAAACTGAGTTAGAAGATTGTAGTGGTAGCTACTTTGGCTTAGAATAATCTGAAATAAAATGGCATGTGATATTATGTATGAATCAAAGAGTCAGTCCTCTTTTCATTAAGGCTGGGAGATGAAAGAAAAGATGAGGATCATCTTTGGTTCTTTATGATCTGATCGTTTATGCTTACTGATTATGTGGGTTTATAATATGATTTTCTTAGCTATAATTCAAGGAGACAGAGCTAGTAAATTAGCTTGGTTGAAGTTTTTAAAGTTTCAACTTAGCAGCAGTGTAATTAAGAAGTCCATCCACAGATTGATTGATGGTTGCTCAGAGCAGTTCATTTTGAAGCTCGGGGCATGCTACGGCTATGTGTCATCCTGCTATTTCTGGCATCCTTGCGGTGATGTTTTTAAAAAGAAGGCGCGCTCACCTGCTGCCATATGGCAGACCTGTGCGCTAGTTTTTGATTTGCAGACTGGCCTTTCAAGACATTGTCTTGCCCTGTCCTTAGCTCAAAGCACTTACAGATAACTAATACATACTTTGTAATGTTTCTGTCATTGTTCTGCATAGCAATGCGGAACCTGTTCATAAAGGCCAAGCAAGCTGTGGGTTCAGTCAGCCGTGCTGAGGCTTGTAGGATTATTTTTCCCCGTCTAAATATGTGCAGTATTACACCCTTTTATGAAGCTTCATGCAGCTTTTCTGAACTTGCTGTCTGGTACTAGAAAAATATGCAGGAAAAATAGAGGAGAAGGAAGAGGGCTTACTCCTCTACCAGCATGAGAACAGAAGTGGAAAAGGTTGGCCTCTATTCCCTGAACCTAGTTTTCTGAATATTCTTGGCATAGCCTCATTTCTGAATGAAGACACTCGTTTGCATGCTTCCTTCAGATTTTTTTTAATTGACTGGCCTTTCTTCCAGACTTGGGGGACTTCAATTTAACTTGACCACAGGAAGGGAATAACATGATCAAAATGGGGAAAGTGGAGACAGATTATGCTAATTTAGCATATTGTTTGATATATGCTAGGATACTGCTGCACTCTAAGCCCTCTGATCTATTTCCCTTCCCACCAACCTTCCAAGAATCTTTAAGCTTTGATTCATCTGTAGACGCATCATGTAAACAAGACATGAATATGAGAATAGTTGCATTAATGGAGACAAGCCTTTGTTTGAATGCAAATCCCATTCAGAGCAATGCAGTGTGGGTCAAACATATCATCTTTCACACATGCATATGGATGCATATCTGATTTATGCCAAATGTTCCTGATCCAGCCATTGGGGCAGAGGCATGGATTTCTTTATTCCTGTGGATTCCCTTCTTAGATTGGGAAGTTGCATGTGCCTGAGGCCAGCCTGTCCGGTTCTTCCTCTTTGCCCACTGTCCACTCCCTGTTTGTGCTCTTATATTTGCCAGTTGTCACCTCTTCTGGATTTATTCTCCTCCAAGGAAAGATGTTGTAGGCATCCTTGGCTGTGTTCTGTTGAAGCTGAGTAATAAGCAGAGCCCTGAGGTCTGTGGGGAAATCTTAAGGTCAATCAATCAGTGCTGTTACGCTCCTGAGGACATCAGCCTCTGCCGAGAAATAACATTCTGGTACTTTTGCTGGCTCCTAAGACATTCAGTACATAAGCATGTGTGATTATAATGCATATTATTACACTTTAATTATAAATGATCAATATCTGTTTTTTAAAGCTTGGATAGCAAGATTAGGCTGTTTAGTGAGTGTGGTTTATCAGTAGAATTTTGCTTATTGCTTTTTTATTTTCAAGATGTTCACATGGCCTCTATGGTCATTGTCACACGTTCAGCTCTTGCTGCAACACTGTGAGGTTGGCCAAGCTCTGATACTGGGCCTGTCCCAAAGCTGCCTGGCTGAGCTTCCTGGCTGTGGGGTTTACATGACTGGGTCTATATTCAACACTGTTTTTCTTTTTCTTTTTTTCTTTTTCTGAATCTGGTTGCATCAATAGATATATGTTTCTGGGGTGGCTTAAACCATACAGATTGCCTTCCAGAGCTTGCTTGTGACAACTGTTGCCATCTCTCCACCGTGCAAAGATTGTGCATTCTGCAAAGATTCCAATCTGTAGTTCTGTGAGAGGAAGACTAGCAGTTTGTCATAGAGAGTTCCCAGCAACCTCAGCAACCCCATGATTTGTTGGAGGAAGGAACGGCCATTTAGCTGGCATCAGTAGGTCTCCTGGGTAGCTGTCCCCTGCAAGTTCTATACTATAATCAAGTATTCTGCAGCCTGATGCCTTCCAGGTGGGTTGGATTGCATTTCCCAGATCTGGAGGGTACAAGATGCTATAGGGGTTAAGAAGTAGACTGTGAGTCAGGAAACACCTGGCATAATTCTCCACTCACCTGCAGAATGGATGGTATTTATTGTTATGTGCTGTCAAGTCTTTGAAATATGGTGACTTGATGGATCCAGAATTTCTAGTTTTTGACAGTCCTGTTCAGCCTTCATAAACTAAAGGCTGTGGCTTCCTTTACGGAATCAATCCATCTCATATTTGGCGGTCTTCTGCAGCCTTCAACTTTCCCTAGCATGGTTGTCTTCTCCAGTACAATTGTCATATATTTCCCATATATTCCCATATATTCTTGGGAATTGGAATGTATATTGAATATTTCCCACCTGTGTGCCATTGTTTTGTTTTCCTTACTTGTTGGGATAGTTTTATTAAGCTTTGGAGCAATTCAGTCTCTGCAGCTTGCAATAGTTCTCTGGGTAGCCTGTCTAATCCAGGTGCTTGATTCTTTCTTTCCAAGTGTTTTTAGAGCATTTTACTTCATTTTCTAATTCTTTCCCATGGGATTCCTCTTCAAGGGAATCTGTACTCTTAATGGCTCACACCAATGAAGTATCGTGTGGTATGGATGCTGTTCAGCAGGTGCAACTGATGAAAAAGAGTGTCCACAAAAGCTCATGTCAGAATAAATGTCTTACTCCTTAAGACACCACAAAGCCCTTGGTTGTTTTTGCTGCAACAGATGAGCAAGGCTACCCCTCTGGGAACTGTTATTATGCTTCAGTTCCCCTCATCAATAATTTGGGAATAAACCAAGAATTGGGAATAAGCCAACAAGCTAATGAAAACCAATATGATGCAATTATTAGGGGGTCAAAATAGGAGTGGAGCAGCTCATGCTTAGGTTGCTGCTCAGCCATGAAATCCATTGAGTAATTTATTGAATCTGTTGATAAATGTCCAAGAATGTTTATGTTTTTGTGCAATTGTCACTTAATTGCTTTAAACCATCCAGAGAGCCTTGTGGCTCTCCTGACAGTCTATAAAAAGTTGAAGCAAATAAGTAAAGAATAAACAAACAATTTAGGAACAATCACACATGGCAACATTCTGGGTTTGTTGGGGGAAGCATGATCTGGGCCTGCAACACGGGTTGCTGTAGGTATTCCTTATATTGTAAAGTGCATCTCAAGTTTGATTGTCATCAAGCCTTGCAAGTGATGTGATTTGCATTTGAACAAAGATGATTCAGCAAGTTTACCTTGACAGCTGGGTGTCTCCAGGCACATTTTGCAAGGGGCTGTAGGTGCGTTTTGCATTTAATTCTGCAAAACTGAGCTGCGGCAGCACCAGAACAACTAGAGAGAAGGGGAGAGCGCCAGGCCAAATCAGTCATTGCCAGGGGAAGATTTTCCCCCACAGGCTTAAGCGGGAGGGACGGGAGGTGCTGGGAGAGCGATGCCACGGTCTAGCTGGGTATGATTTAAAGCCTTTAAACAAGTGTTGCGCATAATATAGCTATTCCTTGTCCATCATAAAAAGTAATGGGCAAGGAAAGACGGATCACCTGTGCTATAAATCAGCTCCTGCTTTAGGCTAATAGTAGCTTGTGCTGACCTTGGAGCACATAGGTGGAGTATATATAAATAGCCACAAAAACCCTCTGATGGATAACATGATTGTCTTCCATCAGTCATTATTTGTCCTAGATTGAAATGGTCTTTGATGCCGCTTCTTCAAAGCTGAATCTTTCTAGCTGCCCTGGATCAGTTTTATGTGGGTTATCTGGTGCCGCCTCTTTGTTGTGGCACTCATCACGTTTGTGGCTCTTGAAAGATTTCCCAGACAACACGTCATTTTTAAGTAAATCATTTGGACTTCAAGATATTGTCAGATTTGCACCCACCTACCCGAGATGGTTTCCGTGCACCAACAGCACCCAGAACACGGACAAAGTGCTAGTTAACAGGAGAATGCTAATTTGGCATTTGGTGCCTGACCTTTCACCTTTGGAGGTGAAACGGCTCTAGACTTCTTGTTGAGGTCCGCCATGATTCTGCTGCCCTGTGCTTAATCCAGGCTTCCTTTTCCAGGTATTATCCCTGCCTGCTCATTCGTTCAGAGGCCTGTGGGGATGTTGCGGTACAGAGGTACTGCCCATGCCGTCTGCAGCTGGCTTCTGTGGTGCGGTGTTGTAGGTTAGCCGTCCTCCTCCATGTCCCTTGCCCAGCCCAGCCCAGCCCAGCCCTGAAGAGGCCACCTCGCGGTCCTTGCTCGCCCCCTCTTGCTAGCGGTGTTGTGCTTCCACTTTCCCCGTGAGCTTAGCCTAGAGTGAGTCTGTATCCCTTGCACTCGGCCTTGCAGCATGCACTGTAGCTCGTTCTCAGTGTGTGTGTTTGTGCAGCTTTATCTCATAGGACCTGGGAGGCCAAAGAGAGCCACACCTGCGATAACACTCATGCTCACTCCCTCTCCTATTTTTCTTACCCTCTTTGAAAAGAGGATTGCATGCCCAGCCTCAGTGAACAGGCAGGCTTCCCCTACCCGCGCCCATCCAGATGGGTTGTACTCCAACTCCCATCGTTCCCCAGACAGCAATCCATCTGGGGGGCTCTGGCTTGGAGAAGGCTGCCCTGTTGGCTGGCCTGCACATGGTGGAAGAGCATTGGCAGCACGCATGCGCGCTGCCAGCACGCAGGAGAATGCATGTGCCGTTACTTGGGGAGCCCACCTGTTTGGTGCGGAGGAAAGTGCTAGCACAGCCACTCCAGTTTCTCAGGCATTTGTTTTTGGGCGGCTTGTGCACCTCTGTTGCATGCCAGGAAGTACCCCGGTTCAAATCCCACTTGGAGCAGGAGCATAGTGGATGGCCTTCAGGTAAGCAGGCGTTCTCTTGGCCTTCCCTGGCTTCAGTGGGGGGATAACCTTTCTGCTCAGCCTTCTATTTGGGGCTCTTAGGGAAAGGCCTTGTGTTAAATAGGAACACCAGACCCCAAAGGGTTTCCTTGGACACCCGCTGAGAACTCGGAGGAATTGCCCTTGCTTCCCGTTTCTGTCCCGTGGCATCTTCTGACTCAGCATCAGAAGGCCCATCTGGTGGATCCTCCTGAAGCCCAGGGAAGGCTCTTTGGTGACGGCGAGAGCCTGCAGTGGAACAGGGAGCCCAAAGGGCTGGAAGCTTATATCGCAGCTCCTTCAACCCTTGACTGCCTATACCATTTTGGTAAACAGGCAGGTTTTCAGTAGCCAAGATCCTTTGGAGCTTTTTGGGTGGTTTTGCCCCATACAATGAAAGCAACTGAGAGAAAGCCTTGCAGAAGCCCACCTTCTCTCTCTGTTTGCCTCTTGTCTGGAAGGACAGTTTAATGCTGCCAGAATCTAGGTATGCACAGAATAGTTGAAACACTTGTGGCTTGAAACTCTGTTCCCGTTATCAAGCTGCAGAGAGCTATGACACTGAAATGGATCCTCTTTCTCCATGGACTGCAAGTGGTCCTTCCTTAGGCTGTTAGAACCTGGGTTAGAGTCCTGCAGCTGCAAGTCTGTTTGGCACAGTGTGTGTTTGTGTTTGTTTTTAAGTGACTGAGGGATGACATAGGCGATATAGGAAAACAGCAGGAGACTGATTGATGTTCAGCTTGAGAAGCCAAAGTTTAATAGATACAGAGCAAAGAAAAGGTCACTTAGAACAACAGACCGTGAGAAGAGTAATGAAGGCCTGGGGGGGAGACGTTGGGCAGCAGCTCTGTGAATGGAGATGCCAGTGGGCATGAACCGAATATATGAAAGAAAAGGCAAAGGAAAGGACCAGCAAAGGGGCAGGTGAGAGGGAAGAAATGAGAAAATGCATTGTACAGAATTATCTGCCCACTCGAATTAGTCTTCGGCAGGTGCTTCAACTGTGTGACATTGGTGTCTTCCGAGTAGCAAGAGTTCTGGCCATCTTCAGTTCCAAGAGTCGCCTTTCCAGGGCAGCCTCTCTCAACTGGGTGCCCCCCGTAGTTTTGGACTACTACTTCTAGCTTCCCTGACCACTTGCCATGCTGGCTGGGGAGGATGGGAGCTACGGTCCAAACTATCATGGGAGCACCAGGCTGGGGAAGACTGGTCTAGGGCATCACCTGTCATGGGCAGTTTTAGGCTTGCAGGGCCTACTACACACATGCACACACGTTCGATCTAGGTTACTCCTTCCTCCTTGGCAGCTGTGGCAGGAAAAGAGTAATCTACAAAGAGGAAGCAGAGAGTACAGACAGTAGGGAAATGAGTAGGGGTGGGCTGGCGCACCCTCTGGGGGATGCAGGTGGCCCCTGGCCTGCATCTGGTGCATCCCTGAGAGGGGCCATGGCGAGCTGCAGGAGAAAGATGGCAATAAAAATTTAATTGACTGTGCTGAAGCAAGTGCTTTAAAATCTGTGCAGTGTTGTTATTTGCTCACAGAAAGCCAGGAACTCGGAGACAAAGGCTCCCTCCTTTGCCTTTGCCTTCTCTTTGATGTACTGGTTTTCTGCATGCAGTAGTTTCTCACAGAAACTGGCTGATGAAACAGAAAACCATATCTGATTGAGCATAGAAGACCCATAAATCCGTCTTGGTTTCCTGACATGCAATACTGTTACTGTTATTGTTACATTACCTTTGAATCCTGCCTTTTGTCATTTGTTAGGAACCCAAGGCAGCTTATTTAGCTCCGTTTTATAACAACAGTCCTGTGAGGGCGGCTGGCCTGGTAGTCTGTGAGCTGCCCTTGAATGATTCAGTGGTTCACTGCTTTCAGGGAAATCTCCCCTTCTTGCTTTCTGCTGTGTTTCCACTCATTTCCTCCTTCCATCCTAGGTTTAACTTGAGCGATATTCTCCCTCTGGGGTTGAGGGGCAGATCCCGGGGCTTGCAGGCTGAGGACTCAAAATTCCTACTGGAGGGCAAGCCATTTCGCATTTTTAGTGGCTCGGTGCACTACTTCCGTGTCCCCCGAGAATACTGGAAGGACCGACTGATGAAGATGAAGGCTTGCGGCTTGAACACCCTCACAACGTAAGTCTTGTCTGGGCTGCAGGCTCAGTCCAGTTTTGGCTTCACAGAAGCCATGGCTTCTGTCCCTCCACTCGCAGCAGCTGCTGCCCTTCTCCCGAGTTGCCTCTCAGGTCAGCCAGCTCACTGTCACCTGCACTGGCTGGAGGTGGCTCTCCGTCAATTCAGAAAGGGCATTTTCCCAGCCCTACATACAAGGTCAAGCATGGGACCTCACGCTCGGCCTGACGACTTTCCAGGTGGAACTAGCCATTGCTATAGACCTGGGAGCCACCACAGACTGGATTCCAAGGAACGTGTGCTATGGGGCTACCTTTCCATACCTGGTTTCTTCTATCAGATCTCCTCTGAGATGCTTTGCACATTGCAAGTGGGTCAAATATCTCTCCTTAATTGATAGCTGACTGCATTCGTCCGCCTAATGAGGAGCTGGTATGTGCCAGCTAATGAGGAGCTTGGTGGGATATGAGAGGGGTACGTATGTGTATGCGTGTCTGTATGTCCCCTTTATCTAGCCCTGATAAAAGGATATGGAGTGGCTGCTTCTTGGAGACCCAGGGGCTGTAATAAATGTATTTTTTTCTTGCAATTTGGATGGAAGACATGTGACTGAGGTTTGTGAGCATGGCCCCAGAAAGATGTTCTCTTCACACATGGCCTAAGCACTTAGAAACATTATCAGAGCATTTTATGCCGGCACTGCTGAGGGTAAGTTGTAAGTTAAGGGGGTTCAAATAGGCTTTTGCTCCATCACAGTATACTTGGCTGCCGAAACTGACCTGCTCACAAGCCATCAGGTGACCTACTGAAGCTGCCATACCCTGACTGAAATTAGGTGTGGCTTTCAGAGGCCTTCATCCATTTCTTCCAGGGTCAGATCTAGCTTGTGAACAATCAGTCGGCAATTTCTGCTCTAAAAAAGTCGCATGTTAAAGGGCTGGGTATAGTTAGCCAATTCCCTGCTTTGCTGTCTTGACCCATGAAAGCGGCATTTCGACTTCTGGTGTGTTAATTCTGTGTTCCAGCTATGTGCCGTGGAATCTTCACGAGACAGAAAGAGGAAAGTTCGACTTCAGTGGAAACTTAGACCTGCAGTACGTATCAGGGGAGCTAGTATTCTGTGATTTAAAAGCCAAATCCTGCAATCAGAAAAGCATGCTAAATAATTTTGAAGATTGTGCGAAAGGATTTTTACTTTGTTGAGAAAATTTGCCTAAGATTAATGTATCGTGATTGCAAAATATTTGGATGAGGTATATGTGGTTTGCAGAATTTGAAAGTTGGGGGCAGAGGCTGGTGGAGAAGAGGGTGCTGGAGAAGTACGGATTGAAGTTCTCATATTGGTTTGTAGCAACCAGTAATATTATATGCCCTGGCCCATAAGTAATATTACATTGTGGCCCCTTTCCCCCAATGTCCGTGAATGTATTTCTAGTCCTCGTGGGATCTATAAAGATCAATATGAACAGAATTCTGATTCTTCGGCGCTTCTCTTGCCAACCTCACACCCCCAAAGTACAGCTCTCCTCCCTTTCTGATTCCTTAGGACTTTCATTAGGACAGCTGAAGAGGTTGGCCTGTGGGTAATTCTACGTCCAGGACCTTATATCTGCTCGGAGTGGGACCTTGGTGGTCTGCCCAGGTAAGCCTGCATAGGTCTCGAATCTCTTTAAATAGCAGGCCACGTTGGTTCCATGGCTTTCATTTCTTAGCGGCCACCAATAGGACAGAAGGGAAACAACAGGATCAGCAGATGGGCAGGTTACAGATGCTCAGGTGACTGAAGGATGCCAGAGCAATGAAAGTATCTCTGGAGGCATCTTCTTAAGAGCAGACTTCGGCTGATACTCATGGAAGTTCCTTCAGTCTGTTCTTTGGAGAGCAGTGCAGGCTGGTCTCAAAGGCCTGTTTCCCCCTCATAGCCTAAGGTGCCCCATGCTATGGGCCTAAATTAGCTTAATAGGCATTTTATCTCCACAGGAACCCTGGAACTGTAGCTTAGGAGTATGGACCAAGCCTGGCAGAGTTGTCAGACTTGTTCCTGCAATCATGTTCCCCCAAACGAAACTGTTATGCCAGGTAATCTTAGGGAGCAGTGCATCTCCAAAAGAGAAACTTGCCCTCCAGATTGCCTTGAAAGGTTTGGGCTCTTTTGCTGGGGTTTAATGCACTTGGGCAGAGAGAACAAGCCCTGGTTTTGTGCTCACCTAGTCACACAAAACACTTAGAAATGGAACGAAAGTTTATTCATCAGAAAACTATAGAACAGGCACAAATTTTTAACCCACTGTTGTCCAGACAGCAAAAATTCCTGATGCATCTAAATGTTACTCTGTATTTCTTAAAGAGATAAAGAACACCCTGCCAGAGAGAGAGAGAGAGAGAGAGAATGGGGTGGACACTCAACTGCAGTCTTACGTGTGGGCAGGAAAGGGGCTGAGCATCCACAGGCTGCGGGTCTGTTATGAAACAAGGGGAACCCCAGCCAGCATGGTCAGTGGAGTTCAAGAACACTTGCGGGTTGCCCACCCAGGCTTTAGCGGCAAGTACCCCTCCCCTGCCAGCTCCACAGGCATCAAACTGAACCCTCCAGCCCCCGTCCCCCTACAGTAGATACCGGTTCTTGCCAACTGCACCACAGGAAACTCGGCAAGGGACTGGGAGCACCTTTCCCAGAACCACCCGTCTCCGGATGCTTTGGGGAAAGCCACCCCAGTCAAACTGCTATGAAGTGATGGCTCTGAAAAGACGTGCATTCTTTTAAAGTTCTCTCCATCTATACCTTGCAAGAAGGAATTTGTCAGGATTTGGGAGAGGGAGAGCGCGGTGGCCTGCAGAATAGGGAAGGCTGTCTCCAGCCTTAGGAGCAGCACAATAAGAATTTATGGAGATACAGCTTAGCTATGCAGGAGGCAGCCTGACGGAGGGGGAGACAATAGACAGGCTTATGCAGAGCAGAGGGAGCGAAACAGAATCCGATATCAGAGTGTTTTCCCCGCTTTCCACAAAGAATAAAAGGCCTGTTTGTTCATAGATGCTTTTCTGGTTTCGCTTATTCAGGGCAAAGACATCTATCTCCCCCCCCCCCCCCCCCCCCCCCCCCCGCTCCACCCTTCAGCATTCTGCACAAAAGCAGTCAAAAACGTTTCAGGGAGAATGGTTCTAGGAGCCATAATAAGAGGCAGCATAAGCAGGAAATGTTCATTCACCCAGTGAATTAAAAATGCCTACGTGTTTGTTTAAATTTCTTCAGCTTGCAGGTTTTGGTATGAACCTCAGGTTTGGAACCCCAAGCAGATGGCTTGGTTGCAGGAGTAAAGTTGAGCAGTAGGGATGAATTGGGAGCATAACTGGACACCCCAGTTCAGGCACGGGCAGCGATCAGGGGCAAACCTGTTGTCCTTACAATGGCGCAGCATCTTGCCAGTGGTCCAGATGTGTTGGACTGCAACTCCCACATCCCCAGCCACCACATGAGAGGCAACAGTCATCAGCTGCAGCAGCACAGGTTTCATGTTATCTTCCCCCTGAAAATTACTACAGATGCAGGAATGCAATACCGTGAAACGAGCCACAGAATCAAGTCAGCTGACTTTGCATTCTGATTTGGTTCACCTTCCAACCCTCTTCATCTTCTCTGTAGATACAGAAACAGATGCTAACGTCCTCAGGTTGTTTTCTAGATTAGTTTTGCATCTTGGCACATTTCATTCTACCTACAGGGACCTCTGTTGATACAGATGGGGAGTGTATATCTTCTGTACTTCCCCAGCACCTTTGCATCACATGGCCTAAAGCAATAGTCTTGAAGGGTGCAACGTAAGCACGGAGAAGCTGTCCTGGTTACCAGGTCTCCGGGGAGCCTCTGGCATGTACCGGGCCTGTCTGTTTTATTTCCCTCCACTTTTCTTTTCCACTAGAGGTTCATATGCTAGAGAAGCTTGACCTTGGGGAGCCAATCATGCCTTTCACATCCCTGTTAAAGCTCCACACTTTTTGTTATCCATTACAGGAAACTAGCAAGCAAGTTTCATCCATTTTTTGCAATTTCATTGAAATAAACATTTAAAATATTTACGTCCCACCTCTCCTGAGGTTTGAGGCAGCTTACAGGATCAAATAAAGCAAACCTCTTAAAAACAAATAATTCAAACCAAACCATATTTGAACTCTACCTGCAACTCCCTGCTTCCAAACTTTACCTGCCCCAGTTCAAATATTATTCCCCTGCATCAGAGCGGACATCTGTGCCCCTCCCTTACAGCCCACCTTGCCATCTTGTGTGCCATTTTCAGTCCACCCCAGCCTGTTACCCCTTATCAGCTTAAGTGAGCAACACAGCGCCCCTTCTTCAGAAATGGCAAGCAGTCCTTGAGCAACTGGCGGAGTGCGGGAAGCGGATTTCTCCCTCTGCCCCTTGGATGCTGCTTTTCGTAGGATCTGTAGCAGCCGCAAACAAGAGAACGGAACTTAACTCCCTCAGCAGGTAGCCAGAAACAGTTGGAGTTAACACGCTGCGTTAACTTAAATATTTTGAAAGTCTCCTTTCAGGGGAAGGGGAGGCTCAGAAGAACTTGATAGTTTCATGACTATGGCATATTTTTGTTGGAAACTACTGAACAACCTATTGCTTCCTTGGCACCTGTTTGAGATCTGCCTCTTCTTTCTGTTTGTAAGCTTTAATCATAAGATGGAAACAGTTGCAGATGTCTCTGTTAACTAATGGCTGCAAGAAAGGGGGGCATAAGCTCTGTGGTAGAGGAGCTGCTATGCATGCAGAAAATTCCAGGTTTAATCTGCAGCATCTCCGAGTTGGACTGGAAGAAACCCTGTTGGGAGCCCTGGAGAGCAGTAAGGAGATGAAAGAACGGCAGGGATGATAGGAACCCTCTAGATGTGTTGGGCTGCAGATGCTGTCATTCCTAGCATGCCTGGAACACATCTGGTGGGGGGGACCTGGTTGGGGAAGGCTGTGATAGAGGTTTGTAAAATTACAGAAAGAGGCTTTTTTCTCCCACGTCCTTCGTACCAGAACCACCATCACAGGATGAGCGCACCATGAAGCTGAGCAGAGGGAGACTCGAGGCAGAAAAAAGAACATATCTGTTCCATAGTTAATAATTAACTTAGGGAATTGGCAGCTGCAAGTCGCAATGTTATCTGTCAGCTGAAATGGCTTCAAAGGGCGGTTAAGCAAATTTGAGGAGGAGGAGAAGTCCAGTGGCTGGCAAACAACAGGCGAGGGTTATTACTTTGATGTCTCCCTGCGACTTCCCACAGACTTCTGGTTTGCAATACTGGGAAACATGATGCATGTCTCTTTTTGTGTTTTTTCTCCTTGCCAACATCTTCCTCCTTTCTGTTCTTTCTTAGCTGGTTGCTCCGAGACCCTAAGATGCAGCTGAGGACAACCTACAAGGGCTTCATGGATGCTGTATATCAGTATTTTGATCATCTGATTCCAGAGGTGGTCCATCTTCAGGTAAATAAGATAGCTGGTCTGTCTTGCTGTGTCACCTGCATTTTAGACAGCAATGTTACGGTGACTGCCGAATACTTTTATTTTTCGAGGGCATCCTGGGTCCTGCTTTTCACATCAAAAGTGTGACATTTTGGTTTTCTCTGTGAATGAGCATCACTCCCCTAGAAAAAATTCCTTTCTCTTTGAACTCAGGAAACCCTCCCTTTTTCTTGGTGCAGCTGCCAAGGGTCTGGGAGGTTGTGCCAGCCATTGTGTGGTAGATTGCCGCTTGCCAGATGTTTTTCATTTATTTATTTCAAGTTTGTTTATTTCAAGTTGTTATATGCCATCCAGTACCAGAGTTTCTGGATGGCTTACAAAATACAAGCAAAAAGACAACAGCCTACCAACAAATGACACACTGCATCTGACCATTAGTGATAAAATCAAAGATAAAACCAATTAAATATTAAAATATTGGGAAAATAACAAGGTTTCATGTATTCCTTGGAAGCAGGTGATGTACAGCCTCATCATCCTGGGGAATTTTGGCATGTATTTTGCAGGTTGCCTCTTTTTAAATGACTGTGGCTCCTACTCTAAAATAGGCATGTCACTACATGCAGCACGTTCCCCATCACTTTACAAAAAAAGGCTTTCCGCATAGCCCAGCTCCGGAGCGCCTTCGTGCTCGTCAGCTGGAGTGGCGCAGGGCATGCTGGGAAGAGCCCTCCCGAATCCACCATCCCAACCCACTCTCTTCTTGAGCCCCAAGGAAGAGGCAGAAACTGCACCTCTCTGCATTGTGCTAAATTTCTGTGTGCGGGAAGCCTTTGGACACCCACTTTGCTCCTGCCTTCATCAGAAAAAGTACGGGGCCAAGAGGACTTTTTCTAGAATGGCACTGAGCTGGAAATTCAAACCAGGCCTTCCTGGGCCAAGCCCACCAGACCGAGTCGATCACATGACTCCTTGGCTTTGCCTGCATCCACCCCTTCCCCTTCCCTGTGAACCTTTGCATTTGGATGAGGCTCACTAGTTCCAGACGCTGCTCGTATTCACTTCTCCCTTTTCTTTTTTAGTTCAAGAAAGGAGGACCAATCATTGCCATGCAAGTAGAGAATGAATATGGCTCCTATGCAGAAGACGAACATTACATGACACTTATAGAAGAGGTAAAGTTTTCCCCCTGCCTCTTCTTTTAATAGCATTTCTATTTTTATTAGCTTGCCTTCCCCTCTCCTTTCCCCCACATCCTCGGTTTTCTGTGTTGCATGGTTTCCAGCCCTGCAAGAGATACATGGCTGAAAGTCAATCCCATTCATTTGTTTGAGGCTCCCTTCTAAAGTGATGGCATTGTAAATTTACATTTGAGTTAAACAATAGTTGTGATTATGCCCCTGTGGACTTGTGGCAATACCATCTTAGAAGAAGGACCCTCTTGTGTGAATGAGGAGCAAAGACTGCCTCTTCTAGACTGGTAGCTTCCATCTGCAGGATTCTTAAAATAGAAATACTTCTGTTAAAAATAATACAATTAAAAACAATCTTCTGGTATTTTCAATTGGCTAAAGGTACAGTTCTTTGCATATTTTGACTGAAAAACGCCCTATAGCTCCTCATATTACCCAGCAAGCCATGTATTTAAGGTATATTAATTTTCTCCATGCTGACTGGAGAATGCTGAATGTTAGGATTTTTAAAGTCTAAACTTGCATCAGATTGTACCCTAAGCACGCCAATTTTTTCACTAAACTTGCATGATAATGATGATTAATTTATTGAAAAATAATTTGTTCTGTTTATAAATGCAGTATAATAAGAAGTGGCAAAGCAGCTTATCAGCAATAAAGTATTCTACCTTCTTAGAGTTTTCGCTCTTCTGTTAAAACACCCTTCCCCAATCTGGTGCGGTCCAGATGTCCTGGGCTACAACTGCCAACATGTCCAACAGCTGTGCTGGCTGGAGATGATGGGAGTTGGAGACCAGCAGTATCTGGAAGGCACCCCGTTAGAAGAGAATAAATTAGAAGTCAGGGATCCCGCAACTGAGTCAAAAAGCGAGATGGAGGCACCCCAGTTTAAGGGAAGAGGTTTTCTGATCTTCTAGGCCCGTTTCCAGTCTTCTGAACAGAGCAGGGCAAAAGCAACGAAATGGCATTTGGCCCAGTGGGCAGACTAAGCCTTCTGTGTGAAGAATGACGTTTCAAACCAGGTCTAAGCTGCCTTGAGAACTCCTCTAATCGGAAGCTCAACCTGCGGCAGGCCACTGTTATTAATGCCTTCCGCCAGTGCCTGCTCCAGCAAAGAGCTTTGCGTGGCCCTGCCTCCACTGGGGTGGCCAGCTGGGGCTGGCAGGCACCCAGAGGAGTCCACTTTTAGCCGAGCAAATCCTCCTTGAGCGGCACCTTGCTATCTCTCTTAACTGGTTCCGACGCAGCAGCACTGCAGGAGAATAATTGCTGGGAAGCTGGTTGCATCTGCGCCAGTTGTTTTGCTGAGCGCCGTCTTGAGAGGGAGGGGAAACAGTGGCTCCGGTGGTGGAGGAGCCGTCTGCCTAGCATTCTGCTGTCGGTATAAGGCAGGTCTTTCAGACGGGTGTCCTCCAGCTGTTTTTGTCCGCAGCTCCCAGCCAGCATGGCCATTGCCCTGTCTGGTTCTGATATCCGGAATGAGATGGGATGAAGAGAGCGCCCTCAGTCATCAACCCTTAAGCCTTGGTTTTTATTTGATTGATTGATTGATTGATTGATTGATGTCCTGCCTTTTTCCTACAAAGGGCTCAAGGCAGCTTACCTCATTCTCCTCCTCCATCTTATCCCCACAACAGAACCCTGTGAGGTAGGTTGGGCTGAGAGTCTGTGGCTGGCCCAAAGTCACCCATTTGGCTCCATGGTTGAGCGGGGACTCGAACCCAGATCGCCTGAGTCCCAGTCCCATGCTCTTAACCACTATGCCACACTGGCTCTCCAGTGGCACCACACTGGCTCTATATAACCACCACACTTGGTTATATAGTCCATGGACCAAACAAAACAGAACAAAAACAGAACAGCGTAACTAACAAACAAATGTATGACACACAATAACATTCTAAGAGTTTTACTTTATGACAGGACGGAGTCTTCTTCTGAGTCTTTAAGGTGTCCCAAGGCTCTTTTGCTGAAATTGGCCAGTGCAGCTAATGGGTGTCCTGGGCAGACCCTGGTTTACTGGCGCATGGTGTGGGAAGGACGGTTGAACTTGGGTTTGCTGCTGGAGCAAGAGGAAGCTGCAGCCAGCCCGGCTTCCTAATAAGCGCATGCACATGATGCACACGTTTGGGAATGCAACCTTGCCCCTACCTCAGGGGTCTGTGATCTTTTGGGGCTGGTTTGCACATCTGAAATGCTGAGGGAGTATTGTGGGCGCTCTCACAGAATGGAAGCCTTGGGGAGGCACTGCTCGTTAATGGCTTCCATGGTGAGCACGGTTTGTCAGAAAACATTAATTTTCCAGGAGGCAGTCTGGTGAGACCGAAAGAAAAGGAACTCGCACAAGAGCATTAGGGATTGCCGGTGGCGGGGTGGGGGTGAAATTCCAGAACAGCAAAACCCAATTGATTTAACACAAACAAAGGTAGTGCTGGAAGTCAACACTTTGCTTCTAGAAAAAGCAAATACAATCAAACTTAAAAATAAGATTAAAGTTGGTTGTAGCAGGGAAGCTGGTTGGTGTGAAGAGAGGTGACTTTAGGCACCACCATTGGTGAGCCTAGCCCTATTCACACCTGCATATGTGCCGGTACATATTTTTGGTGCACAGTGTTTGAAATGCCTTTCCATTGTAAACCTAGGCCTTTGATGCAGCTTCTTCAGAGGCTTTTCATTATCTAGGCTGCTAACGCATTAGCTGGTTTAGGCCTGGTCAAAGTCACCTTCTTCCTTCCAGCCAGGCATCCTGGCAGAGGAGTCACATGCGTTCCAGCTGCTTGGGAGGAGGAGTGGCGAGGCTGTGTTGTCCTCCTGTCCCACTGGTGGGTGGGTGAAATGGACCCTTGACCTGGCCCAGCGTGGCTTACCTTATTCTTATACTTTCTGGGATCCTTGGCCAGCTCCGGGGGCAAGCAACCTCTTCTGTATCAGCCCTGAACCCCAATACAGTGACCGTTTTCTTTGCACAGGCCCTGGTGAAAAGGAAGGTGGTGGAGCTGTTGATGACCTCTGACAATAAAGATGGACTGTCCTATGGCTCGGTGGAAGGAGGTATGTGGCACCGTGGTGCATCGGGAGTGGAGGGGGAGAGCAAAGTGGCAGCTGAAGCCGCGGCTGTGCTAGCGAACAGTGTCAATCGCACCGGCAGCCTACCTGAGTGGGGGCTACTCCCCTCTGCAAGCGAGGTCCCTGGCGTTTTTGGGTTGGTGGGCATATTTGGAATTTTGAGAGATTGTTATGGGTGCTCTCATGAAATGGCTGTCGTGGTAGCTGGTGTCCAGTCACAAAATTGCCACCTCCTGCAAGGCATACTGCCGAGACTAAAGGAGCAGGAGCCTACCCAAGAACCTCGGTGCAAGGCAAAGATGCGTTCTGAGCTAAGGACAAAGCCACTCTTTGAAACTCAAAGATGGCGATGGAAGGGACCCCTTTGCTTTCTAGCATGCCTGCATCCCATGTTTTTTTTAAGTATTTTTTAATCTTAAGAACTGCAGTGAAAATCAGGAGGTAAAGACAGGTATGGCACTGGAGGACCCAGGTTTAGAAGAATTACTGAAGCAATTTATAAAATCGAAAGAGGATAAGATAACTACTGAACAGCCGTGGATGCTTGGAAGCACTGTGGCAGGGGGTGGGGGTTTCTTACCAGCTTTGTCACACTGTCAATTTGGACTTGTGTTGTGGGGAAGAGTTCTGATGTTACCTTATCTTTTTGGTACAGAATCCATGTGCGTATTCAACCTGGGAAGGTTCTGGATTTATAGCTCTTCTGGTGGAATATTATCAGAGCCAAGGGCCTTCCACACTCTGTGTTTCAAGGCTTTCTCTCCCGCACTGTCATGATCTCATAATTCACCTTGGTTCACTTTCCCTCTTCTTTTGCCCAGCTGAGCACCAAAGAAGTGCTTCTGTGGTTTTCGCTTTTAGTTTTCATTTATTAGCCTCGCATTTAAACTCATCCCCCACTTTTCCTTCAGTCTGTGCATTCCATTTGTTTTTTTTAAACACAGTATTTGGTATAGTTTCTTTCTTGTGATAATTGAACGTCTTCCATTTGTATTAAAGCAAGAAACCTCTGTCCTGTAGTCTTGATGTCTCAGACGGCAAGATTAAGAGTAAGCAGACTTAGCCTTCCTTGCTCCCTAATTTTTAGAAGACTGGGGAATGGTTCTGGGGATGGGGAGGAGGCTAAAGCCAACATCCCTAGAGTCCCAGCAGTGCCTGCCGCGCAGCTCATAGTATAGTTGTGACTGTGACGTTCAACATTCTGTGAAAGAATGTGGTGGGTTTGCGGGAATGCCAAGAATTTCTCTTTCTCTCTTCTTTCTTTCCTTTGGTCAAAAAAAGTGGTAGACGTTATCTTTGTGGTAGATGAAGTTGGCAGGTCTAAAGGCTCTGGAGGCCTTTAAAGGGGTAAAAGGAAGCAAATCTGGGTGTCGCTTCCAGATCCGTGGTCCTGAGTTGGTGGACTATAATCTTCACACTGTTGTCTGACTCTGTGCTGTGTGCGTTGCCTCCACGTTTCCATCCGCTGCTCCCGGTGTTTTCTGATACTCTTTTCCTGCTGCCCCTTCATTCGTTAGGTAGCCAGGCATCCATGCGAATGATGAGTGCATAATTTGTACTGGCTGGTTCTGGGATGCGAGTGCCTTTAAAACAAAAAGGGTGTGCTTATTAAACATTTATTTCTTCACTCCATTAACACGCTAAAGGCAAGCAGTTCAGGCAAAAAATGCAGAAACAAGTTGCATGAAACCCAAACAAACTGATAACAGGAAGCTAAGCACCTTAGGCCAATAAGGCTATGCTCTGATAGAAAAGGGGAACAGCAGCGAGCCCCCTAGGGTGGGGGGTCATCCAGAGGGGAGGCTGCCCTCGCTGCCCCATTTTGCTGGGGCAGTCGGTGATGCTGCCAGTCATAGGCGTAGGTCTTCCATCTCTTGAATTCCTCCCTGTTTAAAATGGGTGGCCAATCGGTAGCCTCTGCATAACTTCAGGCCCTCTGCAAGGGAACATTTTGGGTGTCTGGCAAGAGGGACTGGCCTCTCCTTTCACCGCAGGAGAAATCCTCTTCAGGGAAGGGATTTGAGGTCCCAGAGACAAACCGCCTCCGGGAACAGCCCATGCCAGCAGCCCAGGAAGTCTGGACTTTGGAAGGAGGCAGTTGTGGGTCCATCCCCACAAAAGGATGGGGCCTGGCCCTCCGGACTTCAGCCCCCTAGCACAGATGAGCAGCAGTGCCAGCATGGCAAGAGGCAAGCTTGTGTGAACATTTGCGGGGGAAGGTTCCTGATGAGTAAATAACTTTTCATGAGTGAACCCTTCTTGACAAGGAGGACTTCCTTCAGAAGCTTCTGATGAGCTGCATCTGCGTCCTGGGATGGAACAGGGACTCCGTGTCAGTACCCACTCTCGTATGCGTTAGCTTCCTTCTTTTGCTCCTTTAGACTGAGCTCTCATGCTGCTGATCTCGGATACGACCCTCTTTCCTGGATTGTGCTTGGACTGTTGGCTTGTGCTTCTGGCTCCTGCCCGTCTTCTGAGCTTTGAAAGGGATTTTCTCCACGAGCCCCATGGAGACTGGGCCTGATGCATTGACAGCGAGATGCTGGGCAGGGAGGAGTGAAGGGGTGGCAGAGAGAGGAAGGAAGGGAGTGATGCAGGAGAGCGAGCGAGCGAGCGAAGGGTGTGGCTTAGAAACAGAGAACAGGGAATGGCAGGGAAAAAGGTGACGGACGCAGGAAGGGGGTCACATAGGAAAAGGACAACAGAGAGAGAGAGAAGCGGGCTGAGAGAGCAAAAAAAGGAGGCAGAGGAAAAAGCAGCAGGCAGAGAGGGGGAGCATGGCAAGGAGGGAGCAATACGGCCCCTGGCAGATTACTCCTGAAGGAATGTGGCCTTTGGCACAAGCTTCCATGCATATCCTTCAGCCCAGTGGTAGAAATCAGGGATCCTCCTTATTCTTGCTCCCCCTCCCCTTTCACACTCGCTTGTATCCTAAGGAATACGGATGGTGAAGCTGCATGGCTGGAAATTAGAGGTGGGACAGCAGGCTTGTAACTGGCTTGCGCAGACTCAAGTGGAGGGACAGAGAAAAAGGTTCAGTTAATATATTGGCTAGCAAATCTTGCTTGTGCTGCTGCAGAGTCTGTCCAGCCAGAGAGTAAATCCTAAGGGGGTTGAATGGTGCCTTCATAAGCACTGCTGCCTTTTAGTTGTTTTAATGCATTGGTTTGGGTCCAGATTTCCCCATTGTTAGGAGTAGCATATACCCACTGAAATCAACAGGACTCGAATCGGTCATTACTAACTTGCCCGATTGATTTCAAGAAGTGTATTTCAAATATGACTATCCTTCAAATATGACTATTCTGGACTGTTCCTTTGTTTGTAACTCAAAGCGTTTTGGTTCCATTTTGCAATTGTTTCATGACCCATTGTGGTACAGTGGTGTAAATAAATTTCACCAGCCCCCTGCAGTACAGGAACACACTGGTCCCTGGTTGCCTGACTCCATTCCAAAAGGGAGAGACTTCTATCAGAGATTATATTAGATTTTTCTTTTTCAAATTAAAAAAGGCACTCCTCTTATTTCCTGCTATCTTTTAATTTTATTTTAATCTGTCTCTTACTCTCTTCACTCTTCTTGGTTTCTTCATTTGGCTAATGGTGTCCTACATGGTCTGGGTGTCCTGGGGTGAGGGTGGAAATTCAGTATGGACTGAATGCTTCACAGGGAACATTTGGACGACTCGGAACAAGAAGTGGGAAATTCAGAATACACTGGACATGGTGGAATAACAATGATTTCATTGCATCGCTGTTATTTGAAATAAAAGTGCTGTGATCTTTTTTTTTTTTTAAGTGGGTAATAATGTCTTAATTGAGCACAGGCTGCATCTATTCAACCGATTTTTAGCAGAGAGGCTGAAGTTCTCAAAAACTCTCAGGATTAATTTTGATGTGCTGAAATCAATTTTGTATTTTAAAATCAACCTGTTTTCCTCATCTGCAAGCCACTTAAATATATTAAAAAACCCTTGATACATCCTTTTTATTATTAACTTGAAGTTTTAAACCCCAAAGGCTTAATTAGAGTTGCACAAATGGAACTTGTGAGCTGCGATGGAATGTCGTCTTCTTTCAGAGTCTAAAAGTGAAGGCAATCAGCAGGAAGCATAGCCTCCAGGGGAAGGGAGGCAGGGGGAGTTATTTTTCCAAAGCTGCACTGAATTGCACAAACAGGAATGACATCGTCAAGTCTGAATTCCCCTCCTCTTCCTCTTCCTCTTCCTCACTCCACGCTTGCAGGTGTAAGGGTGACAGTGTTCACACAACACTCCTCCCCAGGTTCTCTTTCTTTCTGCCCTTCAGTGAGGATGCCAGCTCCTGGTTTCTGGGGATCGGAAGTAGCTCTATCATGACAACCTAGTCTGGCCTTTCCAGAAGACTTTCTTTAAAAAAGACATTTACTTGGATCTGGCTCTTAGGATCCAGTCCTGAACTGCCACATGTTTGCTGAAATGCGTGCTTGCTCGAGATCCTGATGTACTCATGTTAATAATACTAATTTTAGAATCTAGTGGGCTTAATTCCCTCCCTGCTGTACTCGCTTGGTGACCTCCCAGCACGGATGGCACCGTCTGCCTCCTGGGGCATTCCATCCTGGGGCTCCGCTCGAAAAGGTGGCATTGTGCGCGTGGCCGCGTGGAGGTGCTCCCTCCCTGCCAGTGGGAGCTGGGAGGCAATTCGGAGAGGCGGGGGAAGCGGCTGCGCGCCGCTCTTTTTCCTGCCTGGATGTGTTTACCGCCTGTGAGTGTGCACTCGTTTTCTTGTTTGGAGTTGTCTTCTCCAGCGGGCTTGTATGACGAGAGCGCCTTGATCCCAGCTCATGCCTCAGATGTCACAACAGTCTGCTCATTAGAGTCAACATGTCAAGTAATCAGGAAGGCGGAATAACTAGGGCTCTGAGTGATGCGATGGTGGAGGAGGCAAGGTGGCTGTGAGAACACACAGCGGAGGTAATAGAATGCAAGCGCGGCGAGGAGGGGCGACAGATGCCGACTGCCTGAAGGAGGAAGACGCCTGCGCAGGATTCTGCTGCTGCCCCTCCGTTCCGCCGATTCTCATTGACCTCAAGGAGGTTGCGGGCAGGACCATTTTCTAAATGAGCCCTGTGTTTTAAAATTGCACGTGCAGTTTCCACGGAAACTGACTTTTTCAAGCATCAGCACTTGCTTTTTAAGAGCAAGCTTCTAGTCCTTTAGGTTTCCTCCCCCAAAAAGGGGCATTGTGCTCCTTGCTGCCCATATGAGCTCACAGAGGTGGTTAGTCCATCTGATGCAGTACTGTCGATTCCAACTGTCAGTGGTTCTTGGCAGTCCTGCGCAGCCCTGCAGCTGGAATGCCTCTGAATTGGACGAGCAGGGATGGGAGCTAGCGCTTCCTCCATGCAGAGGGCATGCTCGGCTTCTGTGCCTTGCCTCTCCCACTTCAAGCATCCCCGTGTGACTCCTGTCTCATTCAGGGTGTGTGTCCAGGTGCCATTCAGCCCCCTTTGAGCTCCTGCCACTGCTGCGGTGTGACAGATCAGTGACTCTACAATGGGTCAGAGAAGGCATTCTTTAAATGTCTCTCTCCTACTCGTGGCCCCACTTTGCAGTGGCCCCTACTCATGGCCCCACTCTCTCCTACTCATGGCCCCTCATGGATCCGCTTTCAGATTGCTTGGACTGGAGGCAGGGCCATTAGCTTGCCCGATACACTCTGAGCACTCTGAATCTTTTAAAACAGCTTTCCTGGCAGGGTGACCTGCAGAAGTTTTAGTTTACAGCTTCCATCCTCCCTGACCGTGGGTCATGCTGGCTGGGGATGTTGAAAGTTATTCTCAAAAACATTTGGCATGTCCCAGTTCGGCTAATGCTGTTCTGTGGCGTGCAGGCAGCTTCCAGAAATAAGGCAAATCAGGTCAAGATTTTAGGGTTCATTGCACTGGACCTCTTCCTGCTTTCAGTTCTCCCCCCCCCCCCCCAATATAGCTGAGCATAGAAAGCTGCCTTTTGGCCCAACCTTTCCAAATGCTTAGTCTGGAATTAGTTTGGGGGAAATGGTCCCCTTCACATTAATAGAATCTCTTTTCTAGTTCCAGTTGCTCCTGGGAGAAGCAGGTGGGAGAGCAAGACAGTTCTGAGTGAGGATGTGGGAAATATGGGAAAGGAAGATGAGGTTGCAGTTCCGTGCATGGTTAGGCAAGCAGAACTCTCAGCGTTCCCCAGCTGGGGAAGCCTGGGCGTTGGGCCATTTTTTCCTGTCTAAATATACATAGGTGCATCTTTAAAGGTCTGTGTGTGAATGGAAAAATAGGTGCTCATGAGCAGGACGTGTACCTGACTGTGAGGGGAAATGGCCTTGGGACAGAAGAGTTGCCCATCCCTGCCCTTTGCAAGGTCGTTTCTGCATTTCAGAAATGCAAGACCCCCGGATTGATGGAATTCACTGCCTTACGGTGTGAAGGCCATGGGCTTCCGTGGCCTTGAACAGGGATGGGACAAACCCATTGGGAAGGAGAAGGTCTACCAGAAGTGACGAATTGGGATAGTTGCAAGAGGGCGTCCCTTGCCCTCGCCTAGCAGGCTGGCCCAGGACAAGTGTGTGGACCACATTCCGCTTGTGTGGCCGCTTTCATAGGCCTAAAAGTAGGTGCCCATTTTTTGGCTTGTAAAGGTGCCCATTTACCACTCGGAAACAGACCCAGATTGTTGCTTGCGTGTGTGTGTGCGTGCATGCGCGTGTGTGCATGCATGTGCACGCATGTGTACCTGAAGGGGAAGATCTGGCTAGCTCGCTCCTGTTGCAGTCTTAAACCCGCTTCCTTCTTACACAGACTCGGGAAGCCCCTGCGACCAACTGACATGCCCATTGCTAAAGTTGATGAAATTGGTGTGGCTCCTCCATGCAGCTTCAAATGCTAATGGGCTGCTTTGGTATGCAGCCTTTCACCCTGGCACCCCTAATTGTTCCACCTGTGCTAATTGTGCCTGGTGGCATCCAACTCTGCCAGCTCTCTCTCTCTCTCTTCCCTCCCCCCCCCCCCCCCCCCCCGTGTGGGAGCTGGCAGTACTGAGCACCTTCAGCGGGAAATACAAGGGCATAGCTGCACAACAGACGCAGGTTTTTAGCAGTAATTTCCTCTCCAAGTTGCTCCAGGAGTGGTAGACTGGAGAGGAAGGGGGAATTTATAACAGAGCTCATGGTGCTTTGCCAGACTATAATTTATAGAATTCAAGAAAGGGAGGACGGGGGGGAAAGTGACCTGGAATACAACTGATAGATTCAGTCCAGCCTAGGTCCTTTGGCCAGAGTAGCTTTTCTGTTTGGCCCTGTCCTCCCTTGGCATTTTCTCTGGACTGATTCACACATTAGAAGCATCTGCTGATGTCAGATTCAGACATGCAAGCCATCCCTTAGGATCTCCAACAGGAGATTTCCTGTGGTATCAGCTCTTGTTTTCTGTCGCTTGTCATTAAGCGCACTATAATCCTGGGTTGCACGAACCTGTGTGAACTACATGGAGGAAGAACACGAGCAGCATGATAGAGCCAGAGTGATCCTCCTTCCTGTGGTTAATGCTATGAGTTGTCTTTGGAAGCTAAGGTATGCATATCTTGCTACTTAAGCCTGCTTGAAATTTCTCTCTTTTTTGACCCCCTTCTGCCTCCAATAGCTCTGGCCACTATTAACTTTCAGAAGATGGACCCAGATATCTTCCTCAGTCTTGATAAGATACAGGTAAGGGGGGAAAGTTGCTGGATTAGTCTTTGTTATTTGCTTTATGGTCTGCCATCGACCCTGACCAAAAAGAGAGGCACAAACCGTAAGAGAGGGAGGGGTACTCTGCCTGCCTAAAGAAGTATCTGTTGGGTTTGGCAAGCTTCATAAAATAAATGTAAAGAGGTAAAATGCTTCAGTAGGCACCTTTGTCGTAAGCAACATTCCAAATTCCAAAATATGAGAGCAGCACCAGTACTGAGAAAAGAAATATAAGTGAGAATAATCGCAATGGTGCTTATTTACTAGTGTGTCTTGCTCACTGAATCTTCCAGAGGAAAAGACCCTCCTTCAGGGGCTTCCAGCACTATTTGAATCTGCTCAAACAACTCAGTGTTGCATTGTTCAAGCTGATTGCGGTAGTTGTTGTGAGAATAAAAACTGGCCTGTTAAAACAGACTTGGGTTCCTCACAAGAGGAAAAAAAGGTGGGAGATAAATGCAGTGTTATGAGTGAGGAAGAGGAGGAGGAGGAGGAAGAAAGAGGGGGGAGGGGAGGCCCCACCTTTTCCAATCTGGGGTCCACCAAATGTGTTGGACCCCAGCTGCCATCGTCCCTTCATTGCCTGGCCACTGGCTAGAGATGCATGAGAATTTTGATTCTGTCCTATTTGCAATTCCAAAAGGGAGCAGAAGGCTTCCCCACTTCCCCTCTCCAAAAAATGAAAAAGTAGACATGCATTCCTGAATTTGCAATTGCATTTGAAAAAAAATGGGATTTTAAAAAACTGCATTTTCACACTTTTATCTATGGAAAGTATGCACGTTTGACAAATATGAACAGAAATGCATACTTTCCCTATTTGAATGAGCCAGAAAAGAGGTTGAACATGAAACTGAGAGTAAGCCTCAATGAGTGATTTGCGGAGAATTTGAGCAAGCTTGGCTCTCCGATTGCTCCCAGTGGCATTCAGTTGGGGGGCACCCGGCTGAGGGCGAAGGCTACTGTGTGCCCTTCTTGAACTGTACCGAGCTCTCAAGGTATGGCACAGAAGAAAAGTAAGTGGAATAGAACACTCCAGATCCTTGGGTTGTGGCTCTTTGCTCAGCAATTTGGGCAGGAAGTGGAGGCTCAGCTGCATATTTTTTATGGCTGCACAGGAGGAAAGATTGCCGCAGATGAACCTGGCCTTCTCAGGGTAGATTGGTTCTGTCACAAAGCTACCAGCAAGGTGTGATTAAATCATTCCCCTTGCCTGAGCTGAATCTGCAACATGAGGCCTGTGTTTTAGTTTTTAACATACTTGAGTGGCTGGTAATTCCTTTTCTAATACTGACCAATCGATTAAGCAATTAAGGGGAACAAGCCTTGGCAGGAGTTTCCTTTTTCTGGCAGGCGGGACCTTCCCAGCCTGCTTTGGTGAGTGTGGGGAGACAGGAGGCAGGGAGGGCCACTCCAGACCCCAAAACTGAGAGACAAACTCTCTTGCACTGTGGGCCACCATTTGCTTCTTCCGTCCCAACGGCCCTCTGCTCTCAGACTTCCTGCTGTTACCAATTTGGCTCTGTTTATGGTCTCGGGCCATTGACCAAAACATTCCTTGCCCATGTGGATTGAGGAGAAAGGCAGTGTATTGGGGACAGGAAGATAAGAAGCAGACTGGAGCCGTTACTTGGGTATATGGAGGCAGCATATACACTCTGCTTTCGCTCTCCCTTGCACTTACGGTTAGGCTTGTTGCAAAGCTTGTAACCGACTGCTTGTTTGCTCCCCCAGGTGAGAAGGGACTGGCTTTGAGAGAGCAAAGTAAGTTGTAGAAGAGCAGGCGAAATCACTCTGCAGGCCCTGCTGCTTGCTCAGAGACTCCCTCGCACACTCCTGGCTCTCGTTCGGCCTTAGAGCAGTCCTGCGTAACTGGCAGTCTGCTGCGCTGAACAGGGTCTGTCTTGCTAGGGGTTTTGCAGCCAGCCGGGAGTGTTGCCTGGCAGTCCCCACCCTTTCTTCCCTTGGCGTCTGCACAGCAAGACAAGCAGCAGGAAAGAGCTTGGCCATCCCTTCTCCTGGGTTCCTGCATGCAAGTCCAGCTCTCCTTGCTAACAGTCCCGGAAAGCTGAATGATCTCACCTATGAGCATTATGTAAGGGAGTGGTGTGCATGAAAAAGAGGGAAAGACTTGAACTAGTACTAAATATCAGGGGATTATGTGGCTTTAGGACTAAATCTGCTGCATGTTGACTTATGTGTATGGTGCTTTTGCTGTGTAATCACTGCTCTCTCTTAGTCTCTCTCTCTCTCAAACCAGACAAACTCAGGTCTCCTTTGTCTTAAGTCTGCCTTGCTGATTGTGTTTTTTTAAAATTATTTTTTAACAAAGCCAATGAAATACACGACTGCTCAGTAATAAAGCCACAAACTAAAAGCAGCAGAGCCTGCAGACAGAAAAGCAGCTAACAGCCAAGAAAAGGATCTCCAGTACTATTTTAAAAGTGTGGAAAAACCAGGCAGACATTTCTCAGTGCCAAAAAATAGCAAGGGTGCCATGAGGCAGTTTGGATGCCACCTGAGAAAAGGCCCTTCACTGGCCACCGGCTTAACACCCCTTCACTTGCTGGATTTTACCCAACCCGTTCTTGTGTTTTGCCTCCGAACAGCAAGGCATGCCGAAGATGGTGATGGAATACTGGACCGGCTGGTTTGATAGCTGGGGAGGACCCCATCATATCTTTGATGCAGAAGGTGAGTGACTGTTCTGCCCAGCTGGCTGTCTCTTCCGCTCCTCCTGCCCGCCCAGCACATTCCCCACCCCAGCCACCCGGCCCTCGGAGACCCTCCCTCCTTGGCCAGCAGAGTTATTTCTCCTTACTCCAAACTAGCAGCGGCCACTGTATTTTAAAATGTAATGAGCAGCCATTGTATTTTTGTTCTGTTTCCTGTCGCTCTGTGTTTTCGTTCATTTAAGGCAATGTTAGAAGACCCCTACATTGAAAAGTGAGTCAAAATGCCTCCATAAAACAATATTTTTCCATGGATGCTGAAAGAGAGAGGGAAAAGTAAAAGCTGCTCCTCAGGGAAGCCGTGGGTTTTCTTTTGGTTTTGTTCGCTTTAAGAATTTAAGTTTTGCCAAGTCAGGACAAGACATGGTGTGCAACGCAAGTGGTGGAAGTCCACCACCAAAAATTATTGCCAGGCCGGACCTTGTCATTCTGCACACAGGGCTCCTTCGCTCCAAATCCTCCGTGGGGTGCCCCTTCTTTGTCGTGCAGTCATGCACCATAGAGCGACTGCTGGCTTCGAGGCCCTCTAACCCTTCCGCTTCCCTGTGCAGAAATGGTACAAACGGTCGAAGAGATCATCCGAGCAGGAGCATCCCTTAATCTCTACATGTTCCACGGAGGCACAAACTTCGGGTTTTTGAATGGCGCTGTGCATTTTGAGCAGTACAAGCCAACCATCTCCAGCTACGGTAAGGCTGCATTGCTGGTCTGGATGAGCTGTGAGGAGTGACTGGCTCCCTATCCCGGCAGAGGCAGGAGAGTCCGAGTAGTTCGAGTCGGGTGGCCGTGAATGGCACTGCCTGGAAATGTGGGAAGGTGGGGAATGGAATGTTGCATCTGAAAGTCGGCCGGCTTCGGAAGGCTGGAATGATGCATCAGGCTGGGACTGGAAAGGGCCAGATTCCGAGCCCCTCCCCGACCCCACCCTGTCCATGGGCCAGGCTCCCGGTCTCAAGGGGTTGTGATAGGGATGAGAAATGGAAGATAAGGCAGTGTGCTCCTTTGAGGAAAAGCAAGGTAATTGCCATGTGTTAATATGCCTACAGGTTTCATGCAGGGACGGTATCTATTAGAAACACAGAAACAGAGCAAGTCAGAAGGGGCCTCCCGGTCCATCTAGTCTGGCCTCCAGCACCAGCCGGCTCCGCTCACAACATGCCCGCCATGTGCATAATATTAATTTATTACCTGAAGAAAAGAATGTCAGAGTGAAGGAAAGTTGCAGCTACTGGTGGGTGGGGAGTCTCCAGGGAACAGTCTGCCCTCCTCCCCATTTGGGGGGGGGGGGCAGTTCGGTCTCAAAATCATGCCCGACTCTTCTTGACTCCATGGACCATAGCACTAAACACAATATAAAACTAAATGCCTAAAATTGAGTAATATAAAATCAGTTCTTAAAAAAATCTGGAGAACAGCGTTGTTTTTTCCTGTCGCTGGAAAGATTGTAATGGTGGCTCCAGGGGAACTGCTCTCGGCAGGCTGCTCTGTGGATGGGGCACAACCACTGGGAAGGCCCCCTTCTGTTGCCGTCCTCTGTACCTCCTGAGGGCGGCTCTCTCAGAAGGGCCTGCTCACCTGATGTTCGGGATCGGGTAGGTACACCGAGGAGCAGGCAGTCCTTCAGGTAGCCTGGTCCCAAGCCATTTAGGGCTTTATGTGTCAGAACAAGCAACTTAACCTGGGCCTGGGGCTCAACTGGTGGCCAGTGCACGGGATAGAATATCAGGTTGATGTGGGCGCATGGCCTGGCTTGCGTCAGCCGTCACACTGCCCTGTTCTGCACCAACTGAAGCTTCCATTTGCGGGACAGACTGGTTGCTACTCCAACTCTGGGAAAATGGTAGCCATGGGACTAGAGAAAGGAGGAAAAGAGGGCAAGGGGGTGGACATTCTTGAAGCTCTGGTCCTTCAACAGAAAGCCTGTTTCTTTGAGCTCTGTTTCTTGAGCGGAAAATATATTAGCCTCAGGTGTCCCACTTTTGGTGGAGACTGCAGGCTGCTGGGGGAGGGGGAACTGGATTTCTTTTGCTTGGAAACCAGAAGAAAAGATGTCACTACTCCAAATAGCACGGGCAGGGCAACTGCTTTAGGGATAGCACCCTGGCTTGACACGCAAAAGGGTCTGGGGTGAAAGAGCTGGACAAGACATGAGACCCTCTACTCCACTCCTCACTGCTTGTTGGAGGGGGCCGTCCTTGGGATAACTAGACCAAACATCTGATGACGTCCCCATCATCTTCATATGCTAACCCCACCCCACCCCACCCCACCCCACAAAAGGTTTTTGGACTATTTGACTCATCTAAATGAACATTCCTAGCCAATTATCCATACTAAACTCTGTGCTAGGAAGACAAGAAATCTGTTTCAGACTGTTTCTTCATCTAGCTTGCAGGAAATCTAAGAGAGATGCCAGGAAATAAACTTGGGACTTCAGTATACGAGGCGCATGCCTCCCCGAGAGTCACTGTATAAGTGTTTTCTCTGTCTTTGCGCTTTTGTAGTAATTCCAGTGGCATGCATGGAAAAAGCGCTCTGACTGTGCTTCCTAATAGTTTCTGCAGCAGTAATTGTGGTTACCTTCCTGCCCATAACTTCTGCACCCTTGTTTCTCAGACTACGATGCCGTGCTGACCGAATCAGGAGACTACACCTCCAAGTACCTCAAACTACGCCAGCTTTTCACCAAAATCATGGGTAATGAGATGGAACCAGCCAAGAGAAGCCTCTCGGCCGCCTCCCATGCACCAAAAAGGGCAGGGGCTTACTGGAGCCTGTGGGGAACCCCTGCTGCTTGCTGTCTAGCTTGCTTTTATATATATATATATATATATATATATATATATATATATATATATATATATTGCGATTTATATCCTGCCTTTTTCCTACAGAGGGCTCAAGGCAGCTTACATCGTTCTCCTCTATCTTATCCCCACCACAACAACCCTGTGAGGCAGGTTGGGCTGAGAGTCTGTGCCTGGCCCAAAGTCACCCAGTGGGCTCCATGGCCGAGTGGGGACTTGAACCCGGATTGCCTGAGTCCCAGTCCTGTGCTCCTAACCACGACACCACACTGGCTCTCTATATCCTGCTGATGAGCTGGGCACAAGGGGAGGCGGTGCCTCTTGCTGCAGAGACGGCCCTTCAGCTCATTTCATGGCAGTGGGGAAGGGGGTGTGCTGCTCACAGCTCCTGCCTTCCAGAGTACGTGCTGTGCCAGCAAACTTTAATGTAGAGGGGCAAGAGCCAGATGCTTTGCCCTCTCTCTCTTTCCCCACCTGCTTTTCTTTCTGCTGCTTCCGCGGGCAAGTGCTTGTGCCCTTTATCCCCCAGTCTCAGTCTGCGGGCAAGCTTTTTCCCTGAGCCTTTGGGAGGGGGTGGCTCAAGACAGACTTGCAGCCCATAGACAGACTCTTTGAGCCCGCTGAACGGAGACGGCCTGCATTGACCAGTCCGGCTGTAACCTGGGCCCATTGCCTCTTCCATTCCACCAGCAGCCAGTCCCACTAAAGCCATTACCCAGCCAGTGTTTGCCACTGGTGTGAGTCTTGGGCTGCCTCCAGAAGAGCTGAATCCCCCTGTATGAGCATTGTGTGCCACTTGCAGAATGGGATCGGTGGGGCTGGCCATTCGTAGATACCCACTCCTGGACTCTGCCCTCAGGATGCATCCTTTTAAAGGCCCTTTCCATTTTGGATCGTTTTGTTCCCCCGGCTGCTGCTGCTTCTGTGCCACTTTCATGTGAATTCTTTCCCGCTCACTGTGTTCGTACCCTCATTTGCCCTCCCTGCCTTTTAATTCGATTGTCTGCAGAGATCCCGTGCGCTGTTTCCCCAAGAAGCAAAATTGCAGGTACAGCTCCTGATTTGGCAGCACTGGCGATGCCTGCAAACACAGCCATGCCAGTCTCCACAGCCCCTCTGATTAACCAGGAACGAGGGCAAATGGCTGCATGAATAAATGGGGAACAGAAAGGCTCTGAACGGCATCGAGGAGGCAGAAATGATTGTGGATATTTTCATGATAATTAGCCCTGATAATTCACATGGGCTAATTTTGAGCCAGTCGCCGGTTAAGCCAGCCCTACATGTGAGAAGCTGTTCGGCTGATACAGCATCCGGCTGAGCAAGTTATTTCTGTCCTTTGTCTGTTTGCTTTAAGGGACCACAGAGCCTCTTCCGCCCTTAGTGTTAAATAAGGCATCCTATGGGGCAATCCTGATGGAGCAGTATATTTCCTTGTGGGACGTGCTGCCATCTCTGGGGAAGGTAGGTACTGCGCTGCACGGAAGAGGGCCGCGGGGTTTGCCCCACCAGATTTTGGTGTGAGCGAAGTCATGGCCTCTTCCGGGGTCCCCCCTAGCTGACACCCTCTGCCCAGGTTTGGGCATCACATTGAGCTGCACCTGGTGAGAGTGATTGGGTTAAATCAGGGGGCTGGTGACTGGGGTGTCCTGGAGTGGTCGACAAGCTCCTCCAGCTCGTACGCCAGCCTTATGCCATGCAGCCGGGTCCGCATGCCTTTGGCCTTCCAGGTTGATGTTGCGCGGTGCAGCTCAGACTGCAGAAACACTGAGGGATGAGTGTGTGAGAGAGATTTGCCTGTGCATGGTACAATAATGTGAGTTCAGCATGTGCACATGCCATTCCTACATTTTTTTACTTGCTGGTAGCTTTCCACCCACTGAACTGGGCGCACACTTGTGCATGCACACAACCATCAGCAGAAGTGAGTTGGTAGGAGATGTTGTGAGTGCTCAGTGTCCAGTTGAGCACTGGCTGCGGAGGAGCGCAGGGGCACCATCCACCTGCTGTGCTGAGCCCCTGCTTCACCTTTCCCTTACCCAAGTACAGCCTAGAAAGTTACTCAAAGCCTGGGGAAGGCAAAGGCAGCAGAGTCAGCTTTGGGCACGCCCCTGGTAGGACACAGGTGCATCCTTCTGATCCCTTCTAGAAGGAGGCGAACATTTGCGAGCAAAGGCCCCCGTGTCTGAGTGTGTGCTAGCCATTATCCAAGCATCTGGTTTGACTGGTCAGCCAAGCAACGGGAATGGAGTGGCCCGTGGGGATTCCATCTGCTCCCCCCTCCCTTCCCAGGTGCAAACCTACACACACTTATTTTTTGAATAAGCCTCAGTGAACCGAGTGCGGCTTACTTCTGAGTAAACATGCTGAGGGTCTTGTTATACATTTGTGATTTCTCCTGGACAGCCTATCAAGTCAGAACATCCCATAAACATGGAGAACCTCCCAGTGAATGATGGCAATGGACAGGCCTTTGGTTATACGCTTTACGAGGTGGTCATACCCGGCGGAGGAACGCTGCATTCCCAAGGCCACATACGGGACAGAGCACAGGTGGAGAATTGGCAAATGTAGCTTATCCTGGGGGCTGGGGAGGGGAAGAGATGCTGGCTTCGTCCTGGCTAACCCCGGAACTTTTAAAGTCACCCCTGCCCTGAGGTGACTGTCTTGGGGTAAAGGTGTGTTGAATCACGGATGTCTCACTAGCTTTCCAGGTGTGGTTCCTTCCATTCCATGCATAGCCTAAGCTCAGCTTGTGTCAGCACATGAACACCATCAGTTTAACATGGGCCTAAGCTGGGCAGATCCTCCGGCTATTGCTCCACAGCCACTAAGTGAAAGATATGAATCTAAAAACTGGTGCAGTGGATCAGATTGAGGACCTGCTGATCTAGCAGTCTGCATTCAAGTCGCAGCCGTTCGTGTGCTCCAGAAGATACTTTTTATGATGATAAACTTCACAGACACAGCTCCTAAAAATAGTGACCTTCCGCTATGGTTGGTCCTCAGATTCTAGTCTTCAGAGATTCTTTGCCTCTGGACACAGGTTTTGTTCAGTGATCACAGCTAACAGGTGTGAGTCGATCTATCCCCCATTAATTTGTGTACATCCTTTCAAAAAAAAAAAAAAATCCCCTCCTATATCTTCTGAGAAACCCACAGGTGCCTCTGAGCATCATTTGAAAAGCACTTGTCCACTTATGTGTTAGAAATAATGAATATTGTTTGATGACTCTGAAGGTTAGGAAAGTTAATAGTCTTTGACCTTAGTGACCATATATTTCTATGGGGGGAATGTAGCCATCTAGACATAACAATTGATGCTGGATAATCTGGATTCGTCATTACCGCTTTTTTCTCCTCATTGTAAATGGTGCTGCTAAAATGATTATTATAATAAGCTTACAGTCAAAGCTTGGAAGAAGCCCCAGCAGTCCCAATTCATGCTTGGTAGTCCTGCTCCCCCCTAAATCCCCCTCTAATCCTTTGGCCTTTTCTGATTGACAAATGAGGCTCTCATTTTTCCTTTCCTGCAGGTGTTTGTTAATACTCTGTACATTGGCTCCCTTGATTATACCACGCAGGAACTGTCAATTCCTAATGGACAGGTAAGCAGTTGGAAGAATGCAGTGTGTGAATTACAGGCAAAAGTGCCTTTGTATGTTTTACCCAAATATGTTCAGTGCCAAGAAATCTCTCTGCTGTTGGAGGAGAAGCTGGAATAAAACTGAGTCCCAAAAATAAAACATTCCCCAAAACATTGTGTACACACAGCACAATCCTAAACTACTTTTCCAAGAAGGGTGATCCTCCCGGTACGTTGCGTGTATTGTCTTTAGGATTGCGGACTTAACCCTGCTAAACTGCTGGCTAAAATCCCCACAACCCCAAGACCAATTAGCAAAACACTGTGCTGGTTAATTTATCAACTGCAAACCATTGCAACTCCCTGCCCTGGTCTAAAACTTACATCGTCAGCTGCCATGGCTCCCCAGTTCTAGTCCCCTGACTGATGTAACACAGAGTGGACCAGAAGTAGCACTGGCCAGGTCATGGAGGACTTCACACACTGGACAAATTGAAGGTGCTCATCCCTTCAGTTGGGATGCTGTCCAGATTTGTGTGCTATCCAGAATTGGTGCTATCCAGAATTGGTGTCACTGTGTCAGGGTCAGGTTGCAATGTTGACAGAGGACATTTCAAGCACCTAAGAGACTTAAGTGTGACCCGATTGGTACTGTGTATGTACTTTTGGCCCACCCTGTGTAAGAAGAGAGTCCATGGTACGGGCCTGTCATGGGCAGTGCCAGAACGATCGCTGCATGTGCCCAGTCAGCCGATTTGTGTTGTACCTTTTTGCTGTGCTTCAAACAGTCTGTCCACCGTCTCGGTTTGTTTTTAGAAGCCCAGCATGGATGCTCATATATTGATCGCTTTGCGTATTCCAGAAGGTTTCCGCTTTTGGTAAAGAAAAACGGTAGGTGCTGAGTCCCAAACTGCTCAGCTGACAGGAGGAAGATGCCACAGTCGCCAGCACCTTAAGCTTCTTGAATTTTGCAGTTCAGTCCTGGACCGGAATAGGCGCATTAAGGTGAAGACAGAGTCGGCGTTTTGTATTAATTAGGCTGAAGACAAATCTAACATTTTAAATGCAGTGAGGTTGCTCTTGAAATACCCTCACAAAGATCAATCCAATGTTAACATCTGCCTTCACCCTAAGCTACGGAGCAGCCATCTGGTGCTGTCCCCCCTAGAATAATTTGGCTGGCTTCTCTCCTTGCCCATATTTCTTATCTAGCTACTCTCTCTAGCTACTGTTTCTTGGATCCCACTCTGTCTTTTGCTGTTCTGTGCAGGGATACAGGCAACTTCAGCTCCTCGTAGAGAACTGTGGGCGAGTTAACTATGGGCCTAAGCTGAATGATCAGCGGAAAGGTGAGCTGTGCTATTTTTTCTGTCACTATCTTAACACCAAAGAATCATTTCTACAGCAGTATTTCATAGTGTAGTCCCCCTTATAAATAGTTAATAAATATGGCTCTGGTTTACTCTGTGCTGAAAAATATTGCTATCCAAAGCTGAATCCTGTGGCCTGTTCTAAATGAAGCAAATAATTCATGTATATTTGCATAATTGTTCTTAGTTTGCATAATGTTAGTCAAACCCTGACCTCAGCCCCAGGAAATCTTACTCCACCTTCTCTCTATCTTCTCAAGGTTTCAAGAGATGTTGCCTACCTACTTACATGTATATGTTCCCTTTCCTAAGGGCTAGAAACTTGTAAAAATAAGGGCTGAAATTTTCAGTAATTTGGATTCTGTGCCTGGTATACCTTTCTGCACTTCCCATGCTCTCTGTCAGAATGCCAGCATACAATGCCATTTTTATAGCTAGCATTTAGTAAGGATTATGGCATCCACCACTTGATCGTGCCTTATAAAGTAGGTGTTGCTTTGTCAAAATTACAGATGGAGTACTGAGGCTGGGCAATGATACCCATCACCCCAGTAGGTCTCCATCTAGCAGTCCTACAGAGGGGGCTTGCCATTCATTCTTGGTTGGCTGTATCCACAGCAGATAAAAACTTCACTCACAATCATTCGAACCCTCAAAATCCAACTTATCATAGAGTCAGACCAGCCATTACCTGTCGCCACCCAAAACAGCAAATTACAATCAACAACAAAATAACCTACCCAAAGGTCCAAGTAAACAGGATAGATTAGACATCAGGCAGATCTTCCATAGTAGATTGTTTCACAGCTAGGGTGCCACCACAGGAAAGACCCAACAAAGGTTTGATGTGGCAGGCCTACCAAATGTGCATTTTTTAAAGCTGATTTTGCTTTGTTACCTAATGTCTGGTCCATGCTCTCACATGTGAAGCTGGCTGTGAAAACCAATGAGCAGAAGTCAAGAGAACAGCAAGCCGTATGGAGCCACTCCTTTGGGGACGTGGTACAGCTTGCATTGCGATGCCCGATTTGCTGCGGTCTAATGTGAAAGCCTCAAATATATTGCTGTGATTTCGAGTCTGCTTTAGGCATCCAGGTCCTTGGTTGACTTTTTTGGATCATGTGGGTTAACCTGGAATGAGAAGCGCCATTTTCAGAGTAGCAAAGGGAATCTTATAAATATTTCTTTTGCATTTATGAGTGATATTTTGCATTTAGGTGGTTTTTTGCCAGAATGCATCCTATCAGATTTACACCCAAAGTCCCTTTCCTGTCTTCTCCCTATTTTTCTTGTCTTGGGCATGAGGCACACTTCTTCCTGGCTTGGGAATGTCTGCAAGAAAGCAGGAGGCAGGGCTGACAGAACCGCACAACCAGCTGCTCCTGAAAAGAGGCTTTGGACTTGCGTTTCTTGAATAGCAGCATCCCCCCTGTGATTCCCCTGTTGCCCGCCACTACCATGGTCTGAGATGTGGAAGAGCAATCTTGTCATTTTAAAGGGCAGGGAAAATTGAAAATCCCCACCAGGGCATGCTAAAGCATTTGGGCGAAAGCGGCGTCGTGGATGTCAGCAGTGGCTCCGTGTTTTCTTTATGACATACAAGCTGGTTAATCTGCTCTTTCTAAGGAAAGCATAAACCGTACGCCAGTAGCAGAACTCAAAATCCAGCTTAGGGGCTCCAGCCGGGGAGAACAAAAGGCAGCAGGACTTTGCTGTGCAGTGAATGCCGCTGCTGGAGCAAAGCAGCCCCCAAACATGGCAAGAGCCTCCCCTTTGCGTCTGGGGACTTCCAGGTCCCTGACTCTCCTGTCAAGGAGCACTGCTTCTGGCCATTCCGCATTCCCTCGGCTTCCAAAGGCGATCCGTCAGCCTTGCGGCAGCTCAGCCTGCCATTTACTCTTCTTCTCTTGCAGGCATAATTGGGGACATCTTTCTCAACAATACCTCCTTGAGGAACTTCAAGATTTACAGCCTGGAGATGAAACCTAGCTTCATAGAAAGGTTTGCGTGGTGATTCCCATCCTTCCCCCGCCGTATTTATTTGTTTCCCTTTCCCCCTCATTTGCGGCAAGTGCATTTGGCATGGGTACAAAGCCTCGTTAGCAATCCCACCTGCCAGCGAGGCAGCATCTGGCAAAAGATCGGGCTGACAAATCCCAGCCATCAGATAGCTCAAATGGAAACACACAGAGCCCTGCGGCGGCCCCTCCTTACTCTCTTCAGCTTTTCCCTATTTCGATTTGAGCCAATATGTAAACTTCTGCCGGGGATTCCTGTATCCAGTGCTAGCAAGCCGGCGGTGAACCGGCACCTGGGGGTGATGGCACAGCCAGCCACCCCTGTTGAGCTGACGTGTGGGTCCATCCAGGGGCAGGTGCTCCTTCTCTGTGTGGGCTTCAAGTCCTTTCGGGAATAAGATCAGCCCCTTGAACTGGGCCTGGCAGCAAACAGGAAACCGGCACAGGTGATGTGGAATAGGTGGAATAAAACCCGCCATCCTGTCGGGAAGCATGCAGCTGCATTCTGCTACAGCTTTGTGTATCTGGCGGCCCACTGTGCGTGGGTGGTGAGGTGAAGTTCACGCAATGGCTGATACGTCATGCCGGCATAGCCTGGAAATTCCCTCTTTCAGAAGGTCGCTGCTGGGTCAGACTGACGGTCCACCAATCAGTCCAGCATCTTCTTTGCTGTGTGGGCTAATCGCATGTCCTTGGGAATCCCAAAAGCATAACCGCAAGGCAATACTCCCTACCTCCAGCTGCTCACACACAGATGTTCCAAAGAGGCATCATTGGTGCTAAAACACAGGAAGAACCTTAACAACGTAAGACCAAAGATTCATCTGGGTTGGGCACTAAGAAGCATGTAGGAAGACATGATGCCAGTGGCCCAGTTCACACATCTCAACAACCCAGGACTTTTAAAAATCCTGGATTGTTGTATATGAGCATATTGTACTCCTGCTCCTTTTGCAAGAAGGCGGCAGCCAAATAGTCCAGGCAGCAGCATTCCCCCACCTTGCCTATCATGACATGCTGTCCAGGAAATGCAGCCTGTCTCTTTCTTGACCAGCCAGAGAAATGACCCAGCAACAAAGAGAGCATTGTCTGCTTCCTGACCCTTAAGCTGTTTGCAGCTGCACTTGGCCAACTAAAAGTGAGAGGGAAAGCGAGAGGGAGCTGCTGTGCAGAAAGAGAGCCAGATCAGCTGGTAGTGCAATTGCTTACTGGGTACCGACTATTAGTAAAGAAATATAAGGTAGAAATTTCTGTGTGGGAGGCTGGTGCGTGTACCGTTGCGGCGTGATTGTCCCAGGCTTAGCTGATATAATGAATCTGCCATTCCTTCAGCCACGTCAGGCCTGTAATTCCTCTGAATCAAAGAGAGCTTATTATCCCACGTGGCTGAGAGGCCATTTAACACTCTATGCATCTCTTTCCTGTGAATGGTCTCCCTTAGTGATGCTCTTCTGAGAGAAAGGCATACAGAGGTGCTGCATGCGAGAACCCTGACAGGAAGGGGCAGGGTATACAGTGTGTGGCATTTCATCGACTCTGCCATTCAGGGTGCCGCTTGTGTGAGAACGTTCGTTCTCTAGCACAGACTGCACCCTCTCAAAATGGCAGAGTCAGTGAGAAAACTGCATGCAGAAAACCAGCAGGCTTCAAACAGGCTTTCTCTCTGGTATTTAGAGAGTGAGTTAGTCTGAAATGGGGGACAGATTGAAGGAAACTTTAATTATTACATTCTGTCCCATCTTTCCTCAAGGAGGTCAAAAGGGAGTAAATCGTTACCCCCCCCCCCCCGTCCTTCCTTTAACCTAGGCGGAGAGAGAGTGAATGTCCCAGAGTCATTTCGGGAGCTTCATGGCTGAATGGGGATTTGAACCCACGTTTTCCCAGCCCCAGTCCAGCATTCTAAGAGCTACTCCAGCTTTTCTTTTCCATTCAATTCTGCCAAAATAACCAATTCAGCAGTATTGGATAATATGCTTGTTGTCACAAGAGCGAGGGGAAAAAGCATTTCATTGTTGGGGAAGACTGTTTTCATTCATGACTGGCTGCATTCTAAACCATTTGGGTTGTTCAATCTATAGCAGAGATTCTTGCCCAGTTTTGTTCATCTTATTTATTTATGTAAACCATTTTTATCCCCTCCTTCCCCGTTTACATGGGGCCTTCCAGAGGTGCAGAGGGAGAGATGACAGACAGCCCCAGAAAAGAGCTTGTAGGGAAGAAAAGTCTCCCCCAGCATGTGGGGGTCATCCAAAGGGAAGCCCCACCTCCGTACCCAAGGCCCAGCTAGGCTCTCTTTCTCTCTTCTCAAAATCACGTTATCGAATACATTTGCAGTTGCCAAACCTGTTTGTGCTGTAAATGCACAAGGAGCCGAGATTCTGCTGAGCCAGCAGCCTCACTCCTCCAGTAGCATCTCCCAATTCACCAGCCAAGACTTGGCCTCTCGGGGAAGCCCTTCATTGCATTAGGGCCCTGGAGTTGGTTACAGTCCTGTCGCCTCAGGGCATGTGTGAGGTCTTTTAATAAGGAAAGGCACACAGCCTGGGAGAAATGAAACCGATTAGACGAGATATGAAGTGACATTCCCTCGCCCACAGAAGTAACCACTGTCCCATTGTTCCCTTGAAGAGGAGGATGCTGGTTGTTGAGAGGGCTTGTGTGTGTGTGTGTGTGTGTGTGTGTGTGTGTGTCTAGGAATGCTGATTCTGTTCCATGAAAGTTGGGGCCCCTATGCAAATTCTCAGGGTATCCTACTGATAGCATAATTCCTGCCAATACAGAATTCCTACCTATTGTGGTTTGTTGACCACAATAAACTATTTCATAAATCCTACCATCTTGATAGTAACCTGGGGGTTTGCATGGCAATCTAGTCATGCTGTTAGATATAGCAGAGGTAGAAGAGAAAACTGCTGGGGAATTACTTTTCCAGGATACCTGAGTAAACAGCGCCATCCTCCACCAACACCTTCTCCTGGTGTATTAAAGGAGCAGGCCAGAGGTGAGGGGACTGTCCCTTGGGGACCAGGGTGCTGAGCCTCTTCCAGCCTGAGGGCTGAATCCGATCTTGGAAAAGACATCCAGGGCCAAATTCCGTGATGGGTGGGGCTGATGCAGGACCAAAGTGTGAGCATCCTCATTCTGTTGAAGCTCAAAGCTCTTACTGTAAGTAGCCAAGGCTGGGAGAGGCCTTTTAGAGTGGGGATGAGGGAGACATTGTACTTCCTACGGCCAGGGGCAGGGATCTTAGAACCCTCCCCCTAAGTAAACCATTGAGCCTTGAGGGCCTGCCTGGAAGCTTATGATGACAGGGTCCAGCAGAGACTGATTGGAGCCGAGTTGCACAGGCAAAAGCTCCCCACTGAGAAGGCCCCATCCCTCGTCGCCACTGGTTTCAGGGCCTCCCGTGCTGGTCCCAGGCTGTGTGCAGGCTGGTATGGGTGAAGGCGGATCCTCAAGCCAACTTGCCGCAGCCCAGCATGGGGATGAAGGCCCCCCTCAGTGCATTCAGTTGCTCCAGAAATGGTTCCTCAGGCAAAGCGTAAGTGTGTAAGGATCCCATCGTGTCAAAACCATTGGTATGGATTGTCCCCGGATTCTCCAGTGGGGGTCATTGACTGCTGGGCAGGACCTCTTCTCCCAGCCATGCATGTCTCCCAACAGCCTACAGAGCTCCTCTTTGTGGAGTGCCGTCCCAGACTCTGCGGTGGGCCCGGCGTTCTTCCGAGGAACCCTGCAAGTACAACATATGCCCGAGGACACCTTCTTGAAGCCGGAGGTGAGCCACTGATTCTTTCTTCCAAAGGCCCCACAAAAAGATGTAGGCAGAAGGGCTTTCGTGGGTAGGCAGAAGGTCGATCGCAGGCTCTTTGCGGGGCGGAACGCCATCGTATTGTCCTGCTGCAGTCCTGCCCCTTCTTTCTTTCCTAGGGCTGGGAGAAGGGAGTTGTGTTTGTCAACAGACGCAACCTCGGCCGCTACTGGGAGATCGGTCCCCAGGAAACCCTCTATCTCCCAGGAACATGGCTCCAGCAGGGGCCCAATGAGGTGAGTGGTGTACATTGGAATCATGCAGGGTCCTCACCACACCTGAAGCTGGCCTCTCGCCAAAGCACCGGACCAAAGATTTGACACAGCAGGGGTAGGGTGACCTCTGATCCTCCCTCAGCCACTCCCCCATGAATATCCCAGGTGACTCCCCGGAATCATGGGGGTTCCCCACCCCACAACCTGAAACAGAGCTGGGGATGTGGCTGGCTTCTGCTAGCCAAGCAGGCTTGCTTGCAAGCCGGTTCGCCCTGATAGCAGCCCCCAAGTGCCACTTGGGCGCTTTCAGATGCAGCTGTCAAATGGTGCTCCACCGACAGCTGCTTGGCAAGAGCAACGAGGATTTGCCACTCCTGGCAAGCTGCTCTGTAGCCCTTTGGGCTACCCCATATTGGCCAGGTTTGGCCAATGCAGCAACCCCAGGAGTTCCACAGCAAGCCATGGGCTCTTGCCCCCCCCCCCCCATAAGCCTTTGAACAAAACAACAAGCCCTCTGGCCTGTGTCACATGAACTCAGTGACACTCTCCTCCTTTGCATCTGGCAAAATAACCAACAGTTCACGACCCTCGTAATGAACTGTTTTGGCATCATCAGCAGGGGAATTTTAGCAGTTCCTCGATTCCATTCAAGACAAAAAGGCGAAGCCACTTGAAACGGGCCAAGACTGTGGCAGGAGATTTGTGTTTGTATAAGTGGGCCATCCTCCACTCTGCTGAACCCCTGGCATAGGGGCAAGTGATGGAAGCACTGAGCGTTCCTGTCCTGTTGGCCTGAACCCCTGGTTTGTGCACCCGCTTTTATCTGGGGTCCACAATTTGTAAGCATTGTCTGTATCTAAAGGCTGCTCTCATAGGCTCACAGCTGGACTGTGGAATCGGCATGATCACACTCAACTCCTCTCCTCTCATGAGTCTGCAAGGCTAGGAGTGCACATTTAAGAAATTGCAGACTGGTGGAGAAATGGTACAAACTGAACTTAAGTCCGGGGGTGGAGAGAGAAACTAAAACTGATAACATTTCCTCACCCTACACAGACATGAACCACCTCTTAATAATCCCTGTGGGCCATCCCTTCCTCTGTCTGCAGCCACACCCTTGTTTAATTTTAATTTAATTTAATTTAATTTAAATATTTATATCCCGTCCTTTCCGATGAACGGCTCAGGACGGCTTACAGTTGTTGCATGGCATTTGTTGTGTTTGCAAAGTCAAGAAAAAAGAACCATATTTTGACACCTGTGCAAGGCTATTCCCTTTCTTCCCATTTCTTCCCCAGATCATCATCTTTGAAGAGCGGGTTGCCGGCCGATTCATCCGGTCCATGGATTTGCCTTTCCTAGGAAGGATCCAGTTTGTGAGCTGAGCTGGGGCAAAGCTCCCTGGCGACCCCCTTCCGCACAACACGTGGTTCCTTGAGCACTAGTTTGCGCATTAGTCCTGAAATGAATTTGCAGGGTGGGTTCAGAGTTTCGATGCAGGTGAATCCTCTCTTCCTCTAGACCCATGCGAAAGATTTGCCCCTTGCCAATGAATATCCTGGGTTTGGAAAGAGTGAAGGCTCATCTTGTCAGTTAATTTTGGGAGCTGATTCTGAATACCAGAAGTGCTGAAGTAACCAAGATGATTGAGAATTTTTTTTTTCCAATGAGGTTCAACTCTACTGCTTGTTCTGTTTCCTGAGCACAAGATGCTGAGAATCTTGCAAGGTAATTCATGTGCAAGGGCCCTCGGGATCCACTGGATCCAAGAAGCTGATCTCAAATGATTTGACTGTAATTGGACACCACCTTTTTGTGCTCCTGGAGAGGAATGTTATTTTTGGCACCTGCAATATTGTTGAACGTGGGTCCTACTCGGCTTTTGGGGCAATTGAAGTCTTTTTTTACTGTGATGAAAAGGGAATGTCTTATTTTCTTAGGTGCCTGGCTTGGTCATTGGTTTGCCAGGCTAGGTAGGAATGTAATTTCTGCTTAAACCCACAGCTCAGGCCATAGGCTCTTGATGGTTAAATGCAGGCACCCAAAGGGCTGCTGTACCTTTTCTCCGACAAATATCAGCGACAGGCAGAGAAGCCTGTGGAAGCAGGTGGAAGCTGCTCTTGAACAACGCAGAGGCATCTTGTACATTTGGGGCTGTACCTCAGCCTGACCTCCAGGTGCTCAGAACACTCTCGAGAAAGAGGCATTCTGTCGGCATACTATCGCGAGCAGCTAACTGCGTGGATTTTTTTTTAAACTGCCATTGCACTGAGAACTTCGACTCGCCCACTACTTGCAGCTGCTGGAAAGGGTGTCTTTCCTACATGCGAAGCATCTGGTTGACTTTGAAAGCGAAGCGGAAAGTTCTCGCCAGGCCATTTCTGACCAGTGATGAATGTACCGCATGCGGCAGCGCGCACAGAGCCCCAGGAGGAGACCGAGGGACACTGGAGCTCCTTAGGTGCACCCAGGCAAAACGCAACACGCATAGTCCTCACTGCTACCAGGACCTGGGATCCTGTAGTCATCTGTACTCTATGCAGGGGATAGACACCAACTGTTACCCTCTTCATAAAGCTATGGGAAACATCGGAGCTTCTCTGCATATGGCCAAAGAGCAGGGCAATAAAATTCTGGACATTAGCACTTGAAAGGAAATGCAGTGGTGAAAGAAAGGGTCATATTTTTGAACACTGTCCCTGTATGCATTAACTAGGGGAGAAGCCAACTTGACTGTTCTCTCTTTGCTGCATCAAAGGCGCTCCCTACATTGGGAACCATTACACACTGGAAGTGTGGCAGAATGCAGAGTGGTGCGGTCTAGAATTCAGCCTCGGACTGCATCTCCTACAGCTGGGCATCCATCCTTCCTCTGCACATTCCTCAGGTCTGCACATTCTGCATGTGGGGAGGGATCCTCTGTGTGTTGTCGACCAATCTCTCCCCAGTTCCTGGTGCTGTCCAGCAGGACTGAGGGCAGTACTGGCTACCTGGGAGTCAGTCTGAAGGAGGAAATTCTGGGCCTTGCCATCCCCTCCTCCATTTTGAAATAGTGAGGCTGTGAAGATGGTGCGGGTGGCAATGGAGGGAGGCCGTATCTATTCCTGGGCTGGAACACCAGGGCAGTTCCAGCATGAGGGAGGCCGTTTGTAAAAGCAGCTTTTAGTTACTGGAGAGAAAGGGGAAGAATCTGGAAAAGTAAAAGAAACCATCTGCATTCTGCCCGAGCTCTGCTTTTCTTCCCTTTTGAAATCTTCCAAGAACTTGGTGGTTTTGCGTCAAGGTTTTATTCATGAACCCAATGCTAGTGTGAGACCACCAGAAGCTGTGCTAGTGACCTTCTCCCCACCTGCTCAGATAAGCCCTCCTGCCTCTATCCTGTAACTGGCCGTCTCTTGCAGGCTTCCTCTCCCTTTCATGAGAAAATAATTGCCCTTTGCATCCGGGCTCCCCACTATTGCTACAGCCATTATCCAAGGAGACCTTTTGCCACCATCTTAGTGCAGTTCTGCTTCCCTTAGAGAAACCACCTGATGACTAATGCCACAAAAAAGATCGAAGGACTTCTGGCCGTTAAAAACCATATTTAGTTTTATTTAACAAATTAAATACAGTTGAATTAAAACTTGAGAACAGACAGTGCAGCTGTAAAAAACAAAGCAACCCCCCTCCCATCCTCCATTTGGATTGTGGGCTGCTGACCCACAGTTTTTCCACCCCCACCCCCTCCCTGCATGGGCTCTCGGAGCCAATGTGTTCCTGTTGCACTTATGGCAAAGGCCTGGGGGCTTGAAGCCCACTTCCCAACACCTTTGCAGAAAACAAAGCACCTTTGCAGAAAATGGGAAGTATCCTTTTGATGGATTGGTTGCTTTTTCTCCATGACTCACTGCAATCTAGAAGGATTATTGTAAATAAAAGAGGCAGACATGCAAATAGGAGTGGGTGGCCACTGGAAACAACTCTTGCATTGTGAAAATGAAAGATAAACGAGCAAATATATGCCTCTCAGTTCCTCTTTATAAGCTCAATCTGGGCCCCATTTTTGATGGCTCCAGGTGGGTAACAGCCTGCATGAGATGCTCTAGTCTTCCGACACCCATGCTGTCAGATTTGGAATTTTAGTTGAATTCCTCCCACCACCAAAATAAAAGTGAGGACACAGTTTTTTGTAGTTGGAAACAAGAGCCTTACCAGTTTGAAGGCCTGTTTATTTGTGTTTTTTTCCTAGTTGATTGTTTTGATAAATAGTGCCATAAGTGGACAAAAATAAAAATAGTCTTGTTATTGTTATGATTATGATCATTATTTTAAATATCACAATATATATAGAGATCTGTTATTAGTCTGAAGAATAATTTGATTCCACACTGTCTACACATCTTAACTAGTTATGTTAAGGATTAAAAAAATAAGTGCATTTTCCTGTACAGGATTACATTGCTTTCCCTTCAGGTCTCAGATACCGTTGTGCTTTATTTTATTTTATCTTTGAAAAGCCAAGATATAATGGGGTTGCTTCGATGTTTAAAGAAATCCAGAATCTAGAGAGGCAATTTTTAGAAAAAGAAAAGAAAATTTGGACAGGACAGGCAGGATGGGTAGATCCTTTCTTTGGTTTTTGATTTTGCAGAAGTTTAATCCAGGTGATATTCAAAAAAGAATGCCTTGAATCACAAACCACACTTTCCTTTGAACTCTCCCATCCTCCTGCTCTCACCATCCCACTTGTAGGTTTATTCGAACCCAGCACAGAGGCATGCCTTGGATTAGTTTATTTCTCTTATCTTTAGCTGGCAGTTGAAAGTCAGACAAGATATTCGGGGTCTTGAAGGACAGGGATGCATTGAATCATGGCGATAATCTGCCTCCAGCCAGAAGTGCTAAAATACACCTCTAGCACCGGGTCATACGGCAAGGCTATGGCTGAACTGTACCACTTTAGCTGGAAGATCCAGGAATCACTGACTAATTGCTTTTGCAATTAACAATTTTAAAAAAATTCCCAAAGCTTGCCACATAAAGGATAATATATTTAGACAAAAAGGTTTTTGTTTCCTTTGAGCAGGGATTTTGTGTTGCGGCTGGGGAAAAAGGAAACATTCAGGGTAGTTCTTCACTTGTGCAAACCATTCCTTTCTCTGATGTTTGGGCAAGTCAGGAGCATGGTGTGAAGCCTGCTTTCTGTTCGCCAACTAGAACAGAGGCATACAAATACAAATGCATTTTTCGCCTCTCTCGCATGTTGGATCTGTACAACCCTGACCACAATTCATAACTTGTGCCAGTCTTGTTCAACTGGCCCTATATGTTTTCTCATGTTAATATTTAGGCAGGCTGCTAAATTAGAAACAGATTGGATTAGTCTTCAGTGGTCCACCTTCAACATAGACTGCCGTATTAGTGATTAATGTCCTGGGATGAGTTAAAGCACCAGTCATCCCTGCTGGGATTTGGCCCAGTATTCTTCATAGAAGAGCTACACAAAATGATCTTTGTATGGTTGAGTATCATGAGCAGCATTTTTAAGCAGCACCATCTATATTCTGTTCCACAAAATTCCCAGATTTTGAACCAAGGTAACTCAGGTATGCTTCCGAAAGGAAGACAGTCCTTGTATACTGTAGGATATCGCATTATGTTGGTCATTCTCTCCTCCTTCCAGATACATACTTTAATATGCCCATCTATGCAATGATTAAATTCATAGTGAGCTGCTGGCTGCAGCTTTGGACTTTGCCCACTCCCAAACCCTCACTGGTTTTTCAGCAGTCTTGTCAATACCCCAGGAGTCTGCAAAACTATCTGAGAGCAAAGAACATAAATCCAAAGTCGAAGCAATGTGCTTTACTGAACTTTGGCAGGAAGCTCATGATGTAGTGGCGGTTCTGAACCAGTGCTGGGCTCAATAATGGATTACATGAGGGCCAGTAAATTGAGACAGTCCACATCGGGTGGAGGTGCTGTTGGTGGGGGGACTCTTATGCCCGAATGGGTGACAATACACCTGGCCTGGGTGGGGTTGCACTCCCCCAAAGGACAAAGTTCCTAGTAAAGAGGTGCCCCTGGATCCTGAATTGTCACTGGAATCTCAGGTGGATTCAGTGGCCTGGAGCACCTTCTGTCATCTCAGGCTGTTTCACCAACTGTGACCCTGTCTGGGCAGGTGGACAACCTATCAAAAGTCATCCATGCTGTGCTAACCTTTAATGTGGATTATGCTCTGTGTGGGGCTGCCTTTAAGGATGGTCCAGACATGCCAGTTGGTTCAGAATAGGGCAGCAAGGCCGCTGGCAAAGACTAGCCACTATGAACCTATCACACCAGCGCTCTGTCAACATCTGTGATTAACAATTGTAGTCCAGGCCTGATTCAAAGTGTTAACATTAATATTCAAGGCCCTAAATGGCTTGTGGCCAGGCTACCTCCAGGACTGCCTCTTATGCGCCTACTTAGACCCCACAATCATCATCTAAGATCCTTCTCAGCCCCTTCTGAAGAAAACTAAGGGAACAATGGTGGCACCCCCAACTTTGGAATCAGCTCCCCAAAGAGGTTTGCCTAGTACCCCTTCTCTGCTCCTTTCTTGTGGGACCAAAAGACAGTAGTCAGCCAATTTCTGGATCCTTGGCAGTGTTGTTTGGTGGTGCTTATGTGTCTGCAGAGTTCTAGTTTGCATGTCACGCCAAGCCATGGTGTGGTTTGTGGGAATCTGGCTTGTTGCGTTAATGCTTGTTGTGTTCTAACGAATGATGACTGCTTAACCAGCTGTTAACCACAAGCAGAGCATGAGGTTGTGCAATTCTGCCTCTGGCTAAACCATGATTTGTCTAAATGATGGCTTGTCATGAAGACTGGGCTCAGAACTGTGGTTTACCTCTGGATCATTTGCACTGCTGCCCACACTGAAATAGAGGTTCCTGGCAAGAGCAGCCTGAAATCAAAACCATTCCATAAAGTGGCCAATTGGCAGGAGAAAAATAAACCAGAAAAGGGGAAAGGAAGCCGCTCTTGCTTATTTGCAAGACAATCCATGTGTAAAGCAAATAAAACCTATTTAACAAAAAACATGGCTTAGCACAGCCTTCTCCAACCTGTCCTCCTGCAGATATGTTGAACTACATCCCAGAACCCCCACCCACCATGGCATCTGGGAGTTGCAGTCCAGCACATCTAGAACATGCCTGCTTTGGGAAGGCTTTAGCATGAAATGCAGACATAGTCTGTGAGTTTGGTGGTGGCCCAGTAAGCTCGCACATCTTATGACTTGTTTGAGTTCGGCAAGCCTGATCCTTTGGGTGATAGGTGCATCTGGATTGGACCAGCTCAAAATGATTGGCTGAGTGATCCAAACAGTGAGTTTGAAGGCTCAAGTAGGAAAAGCCCTAATACGGGTTTGGTTAAATACGGCACAGGGGGTCACGCCCTGCTCCCCAGTCCCCCCGGAGCTGATGAAAGAGGTATGGATTTCAGGGTTGGAGGTTTTAATGGATATTTACTAGTTCAAAAAATGGCAGTCTTTTCCCCCTTTCTCCCCACTTTCCCCCCCATACCTTTGTGAAACCTTACCATCTTTTACAGTGTAATAAATACATTTTAAAGAGTAAAGGTGCCACTGCCAAAGGCAATGTTCCCCTGTAACTCAAAGGCTGCTTTGTCTAGTGCCCAAAGAAGTAGTTCATGCTTGTTGGGTTGGGTTGGGTTGGGTTGGGTTGGGAGAGGAGGAGGAAAACAAAAATTGGTCGTGGGTCAAAATGGTGACCTTGTCCGTGTTAACGTCCTGTGGAAGCCAGCCTCCTGGTTGAATGTTGGCTTCTGAAAGAGGCTTTCCAGGCAAACTTGCTTCTGTCTGCATTGTCCATATGTTCCACCCACAGCATCCCATGGGTCCTTGCACCTCTGGCCAAAATGTTATGCTGCCAACTCCACAGCTTCTGTGCTTTTTCCCCTCCCGTTGCCTGCCTGCCTTTCTTTCTTTCTTTCTTTCTTTCTTTCTTTCTTTCTTTCTTTCTTTCTTTCTTTCTTTCTTTCTTTCTTTCTTTCTTTCTTTCTTTCTTTCCTGATTTGTTTTCAGAGGATCAGTTGTGTTGTTTTCCTTCTTCACTCAAGAGTCTGCAAGGAGAATCTGAGCAGTTTCTTTTGGTTTGGTGATTCAGCCCAGTTACTCTCAATTTGTTAAAAGGGTCCAGATTTGTGCCTGGAGACTGGATACCTGACTCGAGAACTCCACAAGAGGGAATACACTGCAAATTAAAACACCAACTTCATGTCACATATTTGCTGCATTATGGCAAGATACTTTTCTCCACCTTCTAAGCCTACACAGTCATCATCTCTATTATTGGCAAACTTATGGCCAAGATCTACTTGTGAAACATTACCACTGAAAATGGTTAGCCACACATCTCATTCTGCTCCTATCCTATGTACAAGCACCAAGATGCTGTTTCCCCACCACCAGCAGCCAGGAAATGGGGAGACATGGCACTGTGTCATCATAGAAACAGAAACAGAGCGAGTCAGAAGGGGTCTCCCGGGCCATCTAGTCTGACCCCCGGCTTTAGCTGGCTCTGCTCACCACATGCCTATCATGTGCACGTCCAGCCTATCCTTGATCACCCTCCCCAATGGGGCTCAACCACCTCCTGTGGAAGCCCATTGCATACCCCTGGGGTCCTAACTGTCAGGAAGTACTTCCTGGCATCCCAATTGAACCTTGGTTCCCTGAGTCTGGCTCCATCATGACCCAAGGTAAGCTGTACAAAGCTTAAATGAAGACAAGGAAGACTGAAACACTTGCCCCTACTGAAATGCACAGGTGAATGAAAGCTGTCGGTCTTACACTCATTCTGTAAATAAGACACAAATCCAGAGCGCCATCAGCAAATGTTAGCAGTTGCCCAAACATGTCTGTCAACATTTGCTCAGTTACATCCAGACAGTGGAAACTAAAGATGCCAAGTTACATGGATTCACAAAATGTGTCTGGAATTGCCGGCATACATCAATCTACCATCAGTCACTAAATTCTAGCCATCCAGGGATGGAGTAGGAGTTGGAGGAGGGCATTGTGAAGACACTGGATTCCTTGCCTTCCCCTTTGCCCCCAGTGCAGTCAAATATCCGAAGCTGCCTTAAAGTGAGCCAGGCACTTGCTGCTCCCAGCCCAATATTGTTGACACTGACTGTCAGTGGCTCTCCAGGCTCCTGGCCATGATGGCCACTTTCCTCCCCCTCCCTGGAGAAGCCATGGCTTGAACCTGTGACCATCTGTATGCAAAGCAGCTGAGCTCTGATCCTTCCCTGACGGACTCGGACCTTGCACTGCTCGCACCGCCCACCCACTTTAAAGGATATACGAGGATAAGAAACAATAACCAAAACCCAGTTCCATAACTGTTCCAACATGCATCTTGACATCATGCACAAAACTACGGTTTAGTGGGGGTGGGCAACTTGTATTCATCCAGCAGGCAAGGACCACAGGCCCCATCAGCCTTGGCTGGCATAGCTGTGGTGAAGGAAAAGTAGGAAATGCTGGCCAAAACAGCAAGGCCTCAGCTTGTCCCTCCCAGGTAGGGCGAAATGGGATGAATGGAATGGAGACTTGTGGTCTCCACTTGTGTGGCAAATGGGCCTGTTTTGATTAAGCACAGCTTGCTGTGTCATCTGAATCTGGCAAACTGTGGCTAATAAGTGACTGGTTTCAAACAGGTCAAATTCAGGCTTTTCCACCTCGATGCATTTGATGTTTCGTACCTAGCATTCTCCCTGCAAAGCAATGACAGTATATGGCCCAAGGAACCCACCTTGTGAAGCAGGCGTGTGTGTGTGTGGGTGTGTGGTTTATACCTTATCTTGCACCAAGAATTTTCCAAGTTTTTTCTTTCCCGTTACTTGTTACTTCAAGCTGACAAACCTGTTTATATTTTCTCTGTTTTTGTGGGGTCAGATTTCCACGTTGGGATCTGTGAAACCCTTTTTCCCTTCATTCACCAACACGGGTTTCTCTGTCCTTGTGTGCCAGACAAGAATCTGAATAAGGAAAGAAGTAGAAGTTTTAAATCCATCTACCACCCTGCATTATTAAACTAATACCACAGCTGACCATTTTCCTCACAGACTAACAAGGCCCCTGCAAACCTTGGGGCTGGTTGGTGAAAAGCCTTGCCCCTTCTTCTGAGCCAGTAAGATGGAGAAATGTCACATGCATAGAAAGGACCTATTTTAGGATGCTGCGTTTCGTGGAATTCACCAAAGGACTGGGTTAACTGACCTGTAGCTCCATCAACATTCAAAGTTATACATCCTTTCCTCCCCAGACGGACAATCCATGCACCCTGTATTCTCTTTGGACACATAATTCGTTGTGTGAGCCGCCTGGGAGGCCATTCTGGGAGTTACAGGTAGCATATAAATGTGGATCAATAGATAATAATTTGCTGTGCAGAGAAATGGTTGCAGTCCAGCAAGAGGCCCCGAGGCATTGTCCAGGAGACTCATGAGCTGAGGAGAAGATAAACCTCAGTGACTCATTTCTCAGGTAGGGTTGCCAACAAGCTGGACTGGAATCAACTTATGAGACGTCACCGCGAGTCATGCTTTCTGGCCTGATGGATATCCACCTACCACCCTGTAGTCCTGGATGTGCAGAAGGGAGTTTCGGTGGCCAGGCAGACCGCTTAGGTGACCAGGTGCCCCTCTCACTTGTTTTTGAGTTGCTGACGCACTGGGATCAGCCACACTGCTCTCCTGTGGCAGTTTAACTATGGCCACAACCTGCTGGTCTCTACGTCACATAACCCCTTTCCAAGTACAGGAGTTGTAAGATCCCTTATCTTGATTATTGAACTCGATTGAGGTTAATAGTCAACACCCTACAAGGTCATTTCCTCAAAATCTTTCCTTGAAGTGCCAGGGCTGCAACATTGCCTGTGATGAAGGGAAGCTTGATAGAAGTAAGACACATTTGGAAATAGTCCTCCACTGGCGTTGGTGACTGAAAAATGGACTCTCATTTGTACCGCACTGAAAAGCACGTAGCAACTTGGTATATAGGAGAGAGGAATGTTACATTTTTATACAGGTAAATACCTACCCATCTACCTCTCTGCTTAAGAACTTAAGCCTTGGATCAAGCCAAAGCTACATCTAGTCCAGCCCTCATTACACACGGAGGCAAACCAACTTCTTCTGGTAAGCTGGCTATACCTGTTTGAGGACAGCACATTTTATTTTCTGCCAGTCAGGAATGAGACCTCCCTGGCCCAGTCTGCGGGCCCAGCCGCTTCGTTCATTTCCCTCCCTGCATGGATGTCTGCAGCAAGCTGTACAGGTCTTCGCGAGAGCCTCCGCCAGCCTCTGCTGCAGGCATCGCAACCTTTCGGAGCAACACCATCCTGCTCCTCATCAGCACGTCCTCTTGATTCTCCTCACCTTGACAGGCCTCTTGTCTTGTTGCTATGACAATGGGCTGCATGTTTAATCGATCCTGTTTCATACTCAAAGCTGTGGGCTCATTTTTGCCTGGCTGGAAACAAGAGCAGGTTCTGCTTGCAGAGGACAAAAAGTGGAGCCTTTTCTTATCGCTTGTGGGGCGGAATTTGCGATTCCCAACTTTTGACACCTGGGATGCGGTGTCGCTTGCTCCCCAGTCAAAACGGAATGCATGCTTCACCCTGTGTGTGTAGCAGGGTGCTGAACCCCAGCTTCTGACACACCCAAGATCCAAATCCGCCCCTCTGCAGTTCTCCAGAGAACCAAACTCTCTTCCCCCATGCTCACCCCCTTGACCCCAGCTGTTTCTTAGCCTTTTTATTGATTCCCCCGCACTTCTAAATGGCTGAGCTGCCTCTCCCAAGACTTAGTGGCAGCAGGGAAAACTTTATGCTGGTGTTTTGGGGCACATTTCTTTGGACAGCTTCTCTGCAATGGAATTCCCCCTTTGGGCTGGTACAGGCGTGCATGCCTCCCCAACTCTGCTACCCAGCATGCTGCCTGGGAATGATGGGGGTTGCAGTCCCAAGCATCTGGTAGGCACCATAAGACAGATGTAATCAGCCCTCAAACCTGGGTCTCTCTTAACAAAGCCATCCATCCGTGGACCCTTTGCCCAGTCATGGAGGGCACAGAGTTGGCGACTTGTTTTCTGGGCCAGGGCGATGTTGGGGTGGGGGGGGGGCTTCTCTCACACCTGCCTGCAGGGCCACAGAGAGAGATCCTCTCAAGCCGAAACGAGAGAAGGCCACCTCACAAATATGCCCACTGGCCGAAGAACTGGAAGGAAGCCACACCTTAGTGCAATTGGCGGCTTTCGGCTCAAGGTCATTGAGGGTCACCAGCTCCCGGAGCAGGCTGCTCTCCTGGTAGCCCCCCTTCACCCCACGGAGCTTGAAGTACGCCTGAGGTCGCTGAAGGATAAGCCTGAGATTCACGGCAAAGCCCGCCATGTCGATGGCGAACGGCCGGTGAGGGTCGAAGACGGTCTTCCAGCCATACACCTTCCCGGCTGCGTTCACTTTGGGCGACTCGTAGCGCAAGCCTCCCACGAAGGCCACTGGCCACACCGACACTTTCCTGGTGGTCCTCATCTGAGGGTGAGAGAGAGAGAACCGAAGGTGTAATAAGAAGGCATTTACAAGAACACCCTACGTGTGTCTACCCCATTGATCAGCATATGTGTATATCTAGGATTCTTGTGTACAGGTTTCTGGTCAAATTAGAAATATTTTCATTTCAATAGCAATAGCAACAATGTTATTGCTGTTAATGTGGCATGGGAAAAGTGGTTAAACTTTCCACTGCAGTCCCGACAAAAATCCCGCTCACTTCGCCAAAGAAAGGACGTGCAGATGTTATAAGAGCCAATCCATCCAGTAGGTTTTGCAGCTTTCCGTTTTCCTTCCATTGCCTGCTCATCAGTGGAAATGATTTTTTGCAAATACATTTGTATGAGAAAATGCACAGATACACCCCCAAAAAGCAAATCTCTCCAAAATGTGTGCTTTCCTATTTTGGCCTACGGAGGAAATGTGCTGTGAACAGCTTTTAATTTTTGGATATTTTATGGCTAATTTAAATGGAATGAAAGAAAATTAAAACATAAAACCCAGTCTGCAAGTTTGTAGAATCTGCAGAACCTGGGAAAAACTGATCTGCTGTAGAATCTGTCAGTTGAATTCTTAGAAATTTGAACTAATTTAATTCTGTAAAGGATTTCACTGACATCCCTAATGCAAGTTAATTTGTCAGGAGAGGAAATGTTGATTTCTGGACACTTTTAACCTTGAAAAGTGCCATGCCAAACAACTAATTCTAGCAGCATTTTAATCAGGCACATCCCCAAAGGGAGGAAATAGGGAGAATGATAAGCAGGAAAAGGGAGCAGAAAGCAGTGGCTGCCTTTGGACAATAGGAGGTGATGGTGCTTATCATCTTACTCATTAGAGCTCAAGACTTGCTCCTGAGCCCATAGCACGGAAGAGCATGGAAGGTTTGTCTTGTGAAGAGAATGAAAGGAAAAACCAGATGGGAAAGGTGGTGGGCATTCATTTGGATTCATTTTTATTGCCTTGTGTATTCCACCCCCAACTCCAAAGAGGTGAGGGCCACAAACGCCCTCTTGTTTGTCTTCACAAGAACCCAGTGTGGTCGGTTAGGCTAGCGTCATGTTTCTGGCTCGGGTAATCCATGGCTCAAGGGGAATTTGAACCTGAGCCTCTGGTTTAAGTTGGCCACTGGTTGACCTTCCCAGGTTCTTCCCTGCAAATATGGACCCAAAGCCATCTCCCCAAGCATACTGGGGTGGGAGTAGGAAAGAATGAGAAATCCTCTGGGAGAAGGCTATTTACAGAACAAAAACCATGAGCATAGGAAGAACTCTGCTGGATCAAGTCACAAATCATGAGAACATCAGAAAGGGAGGTCCCTCAAGCTGCATGCCTTCACATAAGAGGGCCCTTCACTGCAAAGGGACCCCATCCTAGAGCCATTTCCGAGAAGCCTTAAACATCCGGAGGCTGCCAGCCATTGCTGATCATGTCAAGAGCTGGCAGTGGTGCGCACTCAGAGCTGAGATGTGACTGGAGCTGCAGACCTTGCAAGAGTAATCTCAGGACCGTTTACAGGCATATTAATACTCACAGGGAGCAAGACAGCTGTGTTCTTATTCCAGCTATGAGAGCTGAAGCACCTTTAAGCTTGGCTACCACAGCAGAAGCAGTTTCCTATGCATAATAAAACCTCCAAACAAGTATTGATAATATCCAGTTTTCAAGCCGCTGCGGGGCAAAGCCCGGAGAATCCACGACATGTCCGGTGGCCCTGAGCAAGCCACCCGGCAAGTACGATTGCATAGCAGGGGCTTTCCTTACCTTAATGGATGCCCCAAGCTTGCAGAGAGTGCACTGTGGGTCTTTGGCAGTATGTTGGATAAAAATGCGGAAGCATGAAGAGAAGAGGCCGGATAGAAATGGGAAGCCCTCTGGGGACACAGCTGAGAATGGATTGCTGCTTCCACCTAGCAGCAGGGAAAGGGGCAGATTGGAAAGCCAGGTACTCTCTTCGCAAGGAGGGTCGGCACAGAAGCCGGTGGAGACTGTGTGCATGTGCAGAGGGAGGCCTGAGTGGCCCAAAAGTGCTAACAAAGTGAAAAAGCATCACCAAAAAGGAGGACACGGATTTATCTATGCAGAGGCACATTGAGAGAGCATTACAGTTTGAACGGCACTAAAATGTCTCTCACCACAGAGTGGATGAACAGGGCCGCTTCCCTGTGAGCCGTTCCTCCAGACTGCCGCCGCCCAGGAACTAACTATCAATGAGCGATTTCAGCACCTTTGCTCCTCGCTTCTCCATCTGGACCATTCCCTTTCATTCTCCCGGATCCTTCAACGGCAGAGCACCCATTCAGACAGACGACCGTCCCCCGACAGCAGCCTTGCCCATCTGGCCTCTACCCTCCGGGCTTCTGGGAGCAAACCCTCGGGCCGAGGAGAAAGGGTCCCCCACTCACCAGCCTTAGCTTGTTTTGACCGCCATTCCTGCCACAACAGATTCTCCTTCCTTTGGACTCTTCTTCCTCCCCTACTTGCCAAGCCTTTAACTTGTTGATTTGCATGGCTGAGATCAAGGCTTGTGTTGTTTCCAGCTTTTTGTACACTGCTGCACTATTCTAGGTGTTTCATAACAGAGCGGGGGTGGCCAGACATGCTCGACAGAAGAGCCCACATACAGCACATGTCAGATGTTTGACAGCTGCAAGTGGGCGCCTGCGGGCCGCAGTGAGCAGCAAGTGGCCTCCTGCAGGCGCCTACCGGCAGTGATCCACGTGCCACGAGAAATAAGAGTCCCATGTGGCTCCCGAGCCTTGGTTTGGCCACCCCTGTATAGAGCAACAAAAAGCGGGAGAGCGGCAAAGGACTCGGTAGGGTTTGTATGCAGAATGCTGGGAAATTCAGATACATCCTGGTAGAAAAGGGTTGCTTATATGTATATGCCTTTGTGTTATAAAAGCAAACCTGAGCCCCTTCCTCAGAAAGTAACAGAATTCCAAGACTGGTTACTGTTTAGCATTGCTGTTCCTTTAAGAGACTGGAACTCCCAGCTTGCCTGAGAGCGGCTATTCTTGTGCTAACAGCAACAGAACTGATAGGTGGCCAGAGAAGGTTTTTTAGCAGCATTGCAATCACCTTAATTTGCATGATCAAACTCACAGCTATAATCCTTCCTGAAGTTAATCTCTTGTAATCAGTGCTGTTGCATTAGGCCTCCTCTACTGATCTCTCACTTTCTTTTTCACTGTGTCCTCATTATTTTGTCATCACCTGCCCGCTGCTGCTACATGTGACTTGGAACCTATAAAATACTCTGTATGTTCTAAAAGATTGTAGAGGCTTTGTACCTTAACCAGGGGGCGCACAGTTGTCTTTAGTGACTGTGGGAACTGTGTGAGTCTCACCAATAAAACTGCTGACGTTCAAGACAATTTAAGTCTTCCCTGAGACTCCATGTGTTCTTTCTACCAACTGAAATCCAGGGACTCTGTCAGGACGGTCCCTGGTTCAGCTGCTGGCATCTCCAGAGAGGTCCAAGACCCCTGCCTGAAAACTTGAAGAGAGCTGCCAGCCCATCACGTATGTGGCTAATCAGGCACAATCTGCTGAGAAATTACGTAGCACATAAGAAGAACCCTGCTGGATCAGACCCAAGGCCAACTTAGTCCGCCGTTTCGTTCTTGCAAAGCCCAAGCAGATGCCTCAACGGGAAGCCCACAAGCAGTTTGTCTCGGGAGATGGATGACCTCTGATATGGGACGTCTCGACCCCCAGCCACTGGGAGGCTGATCTTCTAGGAGTTTGTCCATCACTGCTTATCTCCTTCATGAGGACATGTGTGACAAAGCATGCACGGATGTAGCGGGAGCAGGGAGCTCCAGTTCTCATCAAAATTTCTCAGGAAGGCTGCATTTGGTAGCCAATGTGGCACTCTTTGGGCGGTGTTTTGGCTTGATTTGTTTTTGCACTCCTGTGTACTTGTGGGAGCCACAGATCCTAAGGGTAACACATGTGCAAGAGCGTCAGCTTGGCAAGGGCATCTTAAAGACGGCTTGACTTAACCTGAAAATTCTTATTTTTTGGATGCGGTCATTATTGTCATCCTCATCATATATATTAGACCTGATCCCTGTTTCCTACCTCTAAATCCAGAGTTGGTTCCTGGCCTAGACAAAGCTATCTGTCAGTTCCTTTCTCCATCTCCTTTTTCAATTTTCGCTCTGCCTATTGGTCTTTGCAAATGTTATTTAGCTTGGACTCTGCACTTGGGCAACGGGCAGTGTTTAATTTCCCTGCGTTTAAATTAATTAACACCAAGTCGTCGTGGAAAATGACTTCATTTGTAAATCCTCTGGGAAAGGCGGGTGACATTCCTCTGTTCTGTAAAATCTCCTCTACCCTGCCAGCTATGAATCAGAGTTAATGCCCTTTAACTGCCGTAGTATACAAATGAGCAAGGCTTTCAGGGATGGGCACATTCACCTCCCACGGTATTTCTTTTAACTACAGAATACCAAGCAACATGTGACCCCTACCCCACTCCAACCTTCTCAGGGCCCTCACATGCATCCATCAGCCGAGCTTTTCCTATCAGCTCTGGGGGTAATGGCTCCAACTGCAAGGAATACCCACACTTCCTTACAGAGGACTAGCAGCATGTCCAAGCTACACCCTGACCCAGAGCTAGCCTCAGACATTTTGCTGCACTTGTGCCCCAAGTCAGAGTGGATGGGACCACAGTCAGGAAAGATCCCTGGCAGTAAAACAACAACAAAACGAGAACAGCCATTTACACAGCTATTAGCTATCCTTTCAAATTTGCTGCCTGAAGCAGTCTCTCATGGACTAAGGGCAGGGCCAGCCTCATCATGGCCTGTCATTATTGTTTGTTGCATTGCTACACTGCAGTTCTGAAGCCAATCAAGCAGTTTATGAAAAGCCCGGAAAATTAGAAAAATGATAATCAAATAAAAACAGCAAAATGTTAAAAACAGCCTTAAAACATCATATATACAAACATGTGAAGAAACACATTACAACACCCTTAAAAGACAGGGTTAAGAATCTTGACTGTAGTCCCATGCAGGCAATCTGTGGCCTTCTAGATATTTGCCTACCACTCCCATCATCCTTGCCAACGCAGGCAATACGGAGAGTTGGTGGGTGTCCTAGGCCAAAGCATCTGGAGGGCCCCAAGTGGCACACTCCTGCCTTAAGGGAAAGGGCACACGGAGCAAGCACATCCAAGTCCACCACCCAGGGCTGCCCACATAACAAGGCCATTCTCTCTTGCCCCATCACGCCTGGAACTCCATCACAGAGACCCTCAGCCACATCACGTCCCTGCTTTCCCTTTGACTCCCTCCCATAATTAGATTTGAAGCACTTTGGATCGATAGACCAGTCTAGGAGTAGATCACCTGCTTTGTATGCAAAAGAGCCAGGTTGTCCCTGGAGCTTCCAGTAAAAACACGGATGCTGAGCTCAGGCCTGCAGGCAGGTTTGGCCTGCCTGGAGCCCCAGTCTGGCCCTGCAAATACCTGCCCCAGGTCTTCGAGTGCCCTTGGGAAAGGCGCCCTCAGAGCCCCCTTCTCACCCCCAAAGCCAACTGCTGCCTTGCTCTTCCCCCTCGTTTTCAGCATGGGGACCAAGTGCTCCTGGGCAGGCAGAAAGCCCCCATGGGCAAGAAGGCAGAGGTGCCCATTGCTGTCCCTCTCACCGCCACCACGGAGTCACAGAGTGAATAACAGGTTGCAATGGCAAAGGGGAAAAGCAACTGCAGGGGGTGGGGGTCTTGCCAGTGGCCCCCCTGCCGCTATGTGGGCCCTTGGCAGGGGTTCCACCATGCCTACCCTGGATACAGGTTCAGCACATTTCCCCAATGGGCAAGCCCCCCAGTCCAGTCCACCAGGAACTCAGTATGCTCAGAAGCCGCGGTCCGTTGAATTCCAGCTGGGAAATGCAAATATGGGGAAGCCAGCACAAGATCTGTTCTTCCCAACATCCTGGAGGAAGGCGTGAGCGGCTTTCTGGGTACACAAAGAGGAACACTCCTGGGAGCAGGTGAAGACACCGCCATGTTTCGTTGCCAGTTCAGCACAACAACAACGAAGCAACTCGGTGCCCTGTACCACCACTGGTGCCCAACTGGTAGCAACCAGTTCCTATGACACACATTTTGTAATCTTCTACACAGTTCTAGGTCATGACATGGCAGCTTCTAGAAGCTACACTCAAAACCTGCAAGTGTGCCAAAAAGACAGCAGAAACCAGGACCAGCACGTTGGTGTAAGAAGTGATGCACTTTTGGCTGGCACAGGAGATAGAGCGCCATTAGCGGAAGCCTCTGAGCTTGCCCGGATATTCCCTCACTTTTCCTCCATTCTGCAGTGCCAGCTGTGTTGGCGGAGTGGCCACCAAATCTTTGCGACAAAGGAACCAGCTCTCGGGACCGCCAAGAGCGGGCCACCCTGCGGCCACTTACCTCCTCAAAGAGTTCCAGGCTGTACGTGTTATCGTCATCCGCAAAGTATACAATCCCTGGCTGGCTGTTGTTTTTATTAAAGGTTTCCCTCAGCCACCGCAGGGCCAGGTTCCGTTGCATGGTTCCCCGGGGAATCCTTGGGTCCCTCATGTCCCCCCTCAGCTTGTAGTTGCGCGGGGTCTCCACGTTGAGGTGGGTGTAGTTCAGTCCCGTGTCCCGCAAGAGCCTGGTGACCAAAGGGGTCCTCCTCTGGGAATCCTCCACCAGGATCCAGTGCAAGTTTGGAACATGTAAAAAAGTGTTGGCCAGACGGGTCAGCTCCGCCTTCTGGACCGGCCGGCTGTAGGTGGGCGTGACGACGTGGATGGTGGGCAAGGCGTCTGACCACGGGGGCGGGCGGGTGTAGACATACTCTGTCCTAACCACCTCCACGATGTCTCGGTCCGAGAGGCAGTACTCCTTGGAGTCTGAGCTTTGGGAGAAGTCACGCCGGGCGTCTCCACCATCCTCTGCAGCAGCACATGGGAAAGACAAGGACAGAGACGCCGTGACTGGCCATGCTCCCCGAAAGCAACCGAGCTCAACGGCAGCAATGCTTTCCTGCGTCTGGAAAGGGAGCGATGGGGCAGGGAGTCAACAAAGCAAGCCGGGGAGCAGGAACCGTTAGCAGGAGATGGCAGGAAGCATGGACATTGATCCTGGCCTGCATATTTTGCTATCTGCACAGACACAGTCTGAATGCTGCAACCCGGAACGGAACTACTTGACTATTCCCGCTTCCTGCAGATCCCTTCCCCAACCCCCTCCCCACCTTTTGCTTTCCCTGTGTCAAGACTGTAGACCGTGTGGCGCAGGGAACTGTCCTTCTGTGCTCTGGAAAATGCCAACTTCCTTGATGGTGCTGTACAAGCCATCCCAGTCATTGCAATGGTCCATTACCCATTTCCGCAAAATGAAAGTTATTTTGGACACAGGGATTTGTTTTTGTAGCAGTAATCCGTGTGTTATGGGAGAGAGCGGCAGTTGGGAAATACCAGAGCTGAAAGAACAGTGGGCAGGCCAAATGGAATCGGCCCAAGCTGGGCAAAACAGGTGCTAGATTCTCAGGACTGCCGCTGGATTATTTCTGTTAAGCTAGCGGAACACAATGCTCAGCTGCTGTTTCATCAAGAAGGGCTTGAAAAGGAAGTTAATGACATGGACTGGTCCCAGCTCCTAGAACTGGGGTGGACAGAAGGTGGATCTCCAGAAGTTTTGGCGATTAAGTCCAGCTTTCCAACCCAGTGGCAATACTGGTGAGGGTGTCCTGGAGTGAAAGTCCAAAACATCTGGAGATCTGTTAACTCCTGCATTAAAGATCTCTCTTGAGTGTTTTGAAGGAGATAACCATTGGAGCTTGGAGGAGGTAATGCTCCTCCATGGGGAAGAAGAGGCACATTTGAGAGAGAGGAAGTAGAGAAACAAGAGCTGGGTGTTTGGACAATGCATAGCCAAGGGTTTCCAAATGGAGTTAGCTGGATCTGGAAGAGGGCAGCAGAAACTGTTCTTCTGTGATCTGCCTTGCAACATTTAATCTAGAATTTATAGATCAGATCTACCCACAAAGCAGGCTTAAGAGGCATTGTTCAGTCTTGCTTATTGACTGAAAAATGCTGGTCAGGAAAATGGGAAGGGGGTTCCCTGCGTGTAGGACATGCGAGAGAGAGATGTGAAAAAACAGAGTTTGAAAACGTCAGACCATGCTCCCAAAGAAGCCAGCATTGTTGCAGCTCTTCATGCATTCTAGCAAGAAGGACGACATCGTCTATTTAGCATTTTAAGTTCCTTGGACTCAACTACGTTATCCATGAACTAGTGAAGTTGGTGAAATCAATAAGGAGTGAGTGGCATTTGGCTGAAGCCAGAACTGTGGCCATGCCACTGTGCCGGGTGCAGAGCCTGGCCTGGCTTGCTGTTCACCCACCATCCCATGCTGCCTGTGAGTACAATCCACGGCCAACCAGAGCCACCGAGAAAGGCCAAAGCACCGCAGAGAAATCACCTTTAGCTCTTCATTCGCCTCCATCATGGCTGTTGGAGTTCCGACTTTTCCGAAAGCCAGATCCAAGGAACTCTCGGAATTTGCTATACTCAGGAATACGTATGCAAAAAAGTCGTGGTGGGTAGAACTACCAAAGCTCTTGGCCAGGCAAGGTAAAGAGCAGAGGAACCTTTGCTCAGAGGGAGGCCAAATACTTTGCAGGAAGCAGGGATCAGCTTCACACCCTGCCTTCTGCACGTAGGAGGACTGCGTTGCAATCCTACGCATGTTTAAGCAGAGAGAAGCTTCCCGCTCCCACCATGTGCAGGTCCATGGACCAAATGCAGCCCACCTGGGGATCTCGGGTGGCCATACCTTTTCTGCTGGCACTGGAGTGCTTCCTCCACAGCTGATCGGTTGGTCATCTCAAAACCACCAGCTTGGATGGCTTTAAAAGAGGACTGGGGAAATTCCTTGAGGAAGAGAAGACTATCAATGGCGACTAATCCCCCCGCATCAGAGGCAGCATAATCCTGTGCACTAGTTGGGAAGGAGGGTGGCTTTGCACTCATGTACTACCCATGGGTTTCCCATGAGCAGCTGGTTGGCCACTGTGTGAACAGAATACTGGACTGGAAGAGCACAGGCCTGATCCAGCAGGATGGTTTCCTGGCTTCTACATAGCTCCCCCTCCCTGCCACTTCTCAAAATGCTAGCAGGAGTTGCTTTAAGCTAAAACAAGCTTCTCTCTCTCTCTCTCTCTCTCTCCCCCCCTCTCTGTAGTTTTTTGTTCCTGCCTAGCAATCACTGAGAGCTTCTCTAAAACTGGATTTGGCCCTTGGACTGAGAAAGCTTTGACACCCTGAAGTAGAAAAAATGACTGAATGGACAAATAATCAGATCTGGAATATGGTAAGGTTGCTTCTGATGTTAACTTGCATTAACTGCAGTCTATGTTTAGAGGCAGTGAGCGTCCGAGTGTCAGATATTTGGGGCAAGACCCAAGCTGAGGGGCAGCACTGCTGCCCTTCGCCTGAACTCAACTAGTTGGTAGTTGATGCAAAGAGGATTCTGGATCAGATGGGATTTTGACCTCCACTAGAAATCCAGTTCAGAGAGATTACACATCATGAACATGGAACCCACACATACAAAGGCAGGATATTGCTGAATAACAGGAAACATGAGAAGGTTCAGCTTGTACAGCTTGCAAGTGTATCTGGATGGCCAGTGTTTAAGCAGACTATTGGTTAAGATCCGAATGGGACCTGGATCTCAACCAGCAGGCCAACATTGATGTCCAGATAGATTTTACAAATGCATGGGAGATTTCCATAATACTAGCTAAGCTAGATAATAAGAGACTTAATGTACCAGGACAGGATAACTCTGAACAGAGATAGACAAATTGGTCAGTTTTGCTTTCCCCGCATCCATTAGTTCATTTTTAAAAAATCTCAAATTATTTCTGTCCCCTTTGGGTCCAAATCAAAAAGAGCCACATTTTCACCCAACCCCTGCCCTTAAATAGAAAAGTGTCAAACATCCCAAGATGGCTTTGACATCTGAGCTTGCAGGGTACTCTACTGGCCAGTGAAGGGAGTGTATATTCTCATGCTGTGTGAGTTCAGAACTATCAATTTGGGGAAGGCTTCCAGTGCTACTAACCAAAAGGCATTGATCCTCCCTAAAATGTTTTTTTTCCAGTAAGGGGAGCAGATGAAGCTAATGGCAGAAGTGGAGGATCCTTGTCAAATTCTGTGTTTGTGGCTGGGCCATTGCAGGATCGAAAAGAAGCTCCCAAGTCCAAGTGAAGGACCTTCCCTGCCACACCACCCTGGACAGGCGCGGTGTGAGCAGGGGCTGCCCGGTGATGGAATGAGCAGGGTGGCCGTGGGAGGTGAGGATGGTGGTGAACGAGGCGGCACAGCTGGCGTGGCCGGTGGGTTCTCCTCACCCTTGTGCACGGCAAGCACTGGCGCAATGGTGCTTTGGTGCCACACGGTGATGAGCAGCGTCCAGGGAAGAACTATCAGCACGATAGCCAGGATGTCTCGTCGCTTCGGCATCTCCAGGACTGACGGGGCCCACAGCTCCTCATTACCTGACAGCGAAAACCGCAGAGACAGAACAGCAGAGCACACGGAGAAACAGAAATAAATGGGCAAGAAGGGACGAGGGCGCGAGAAGAAAGACAGCGGCAAAGGCGACGCGTCCCCAAGTCTTACCAGCGCTCACAACCCACCCATTGCACAAGCAGGTTTGCGGGGGCAGCTGCTGCCGGGGAGGGGCCAGGCTGCCGCCGGGGAGGGGAGAGGCTTCTCCGGGTGTGTCGCAGGAGGTGCCAGCGAGGCTGTCAGGGTCCCTTTAGGAAGGAAGCCTGCAATGCAAAGCGGAAATGAATAGGCAGAAAGAAGCACGGAGAGAGCGTCAGGTTCAGAGTCGCACCTACACTGCCTGGCAGGCGCGGTGTCTGCCTCCCTTAGCTACCTGGGAATAATCGTACACCTGGAAATAATCATGTTGGTGATTCTGCATTCAGTAGCAGAGGAGGGAATTTGGAATTTGGTGGACAGAAGAAGTGGAAGTACTGCAGGGCGGTGATGGCAGCTAGGCAAGTGCAGTAGCCAAAAAAGGCCAGTGGGCTTGCTGTTGGCTGCTTGGGCCATATGCTCAAAGGATGGGCGTGAACAAGGGTCGCACCATTAAAACAATAGAGAAGGTATGTCAGGCCATGTGCCCCTTAAGTATGAACAAAGGGCACTTGTGGGGTGCACTTCCCATGGGATGGGGATGCAGCTGTGGGAAAGAAGAGTGTTCTTGCCCATGGGTGGAAGCCCTTCTTTCTCTTCTCTGTCCCAAGTTTTGTATAAAACACATTTCCTAGAGTAGAGAAATAAGAAGCGCAGTTGCTACGAACAGAGAGGGGTGTGCCTGGGTCATTGCAGACCCTGGACTTCACAGTCCTCTGGCCAGAGTGGGGGCACTTTAGAGAGACACCCATGTTGCTTCAGATGAGAAGCACGCTGCTCACATTCCTCTTCCGACCGCAGCAGCCTTCCCAGCCTTTGCAAGCTCGTCTCCATTCCCGCCATCTTAGGACGCCAGTAACCAAGCCCTTTGCCCATCCTGCTTTCTGAACGTGGCTTCATGTGGAGCAGCACCAGCTGCTCCCCAGCTGCTCCCCCAGGGCTTCCTGGGCTGTGGGGCCCTGAATGTGGGCCCCCAAGTGGACCCTAAGTGCACCATTGCTCAGAGATCTCCTGTGCACCCACACAAATTGGGTTTTGAGATCCACTGTTGTGGCCACCAAAAGAGTTGGCAGCCAGGGAAATGAAATTCTGGCCGGTTGACCCCTGGAGGTTTAGTCCAACCTCATCCAGGAGCTCGTCCTTGACAAGGGCTGACTGTGCCATTACAGGGAAGACATTAGAATGAATTCTGTTTCTGTGCTCTTTATGCATTCCATTTATACCCGCACTTTCCTCCTCCTCTCCATTTTATCCCACAACAACTCTGTAAGGTAGCATAGGCTGAGCATCAGTGCTTGGTGAGCTTCACAACTAAGTGCAGACTAGAACCCATGTCTCCCAGGCCCAAGGTCAACACTCTAACCACTATACCACACTGCCTCTTGGAAGGTTTCTCTCATTCCGCAAGGATTCTGGCAAATCACGTTTTAAATTAGACAGCCTTTCTGACCTCTGCTTTGCAGGTACAACTGCAAGATTGTTTGCTGGTTCCTGCTCTCACGCAATCTCCTCCACCTCCTTCCATTTCTTCTCCCTGAAGTAGCCAGGGCTGAAGTATATTAAGCTGCCATACAGGCTTAACTCCTGATTCTAACAGGAACACGCACAAGATTTAAACAGGCCATATTTTATTGGGGAGTTATCTTGGCACGCGGCGTACATCACTTAGACGGCAACGCACGGGGCGGACAGTTTGCAAACATGGAAAAGCCGTTAAGCTCCCTCACCTGGGAATGGGGAACGCAGGAGATGCTCACGGACTGCTCAAAGCATGGCATTGGTGCATTGCAGGCAGGCAAGAGGTGGAGGCCACATCGTCCAGCGGTTGGGGGACACTTAGCTTTGATTTCCGGGGACCAACAGCAGAGCACAAGGGCACCGCTCTGCAGACCTGCGATTCACCAGCCATTTCAGCACAATCCGCTAGTGACAATCCCAGTTTATCTGGGACGAGGCTTTTGCGGTGCTGCAGAGCATAAGGGCACGATCTGATGGCTGCCAACAGTTCCCAGAAGGCCATTGGCCCCTTTGGAATGCCGGGTCCGAGATCCGAGGATCAGCCCCCACAGCAGTAACTGTGCTGTCCCACAGGAAGAGCCTGGGGCAACAGAACCATGCCAAGTCCAACTGCCCACGCATTCTCCTTCCCTTTTACTCCCCTGCGCCAAATCAAGAGCACCGAAAACAGAGGCCTAGAAAAAACGCAGGGCATAAGCTGCAGCAGTGACAGATTGCTGGGGCCGAACCCCTCATTCTGCTCTTAGAGGCTCATAAGCCTCCACGTCTGGGCACTTACGAGCATCCGCTGTTGGGCTGTTAGGACTGAGTTCTAAGAAGCACAGAGCATTGCCATATAATCTGGCCCAAAGCCAGCTTGCTCAGCACTGCCCACCCCAGTGGAAGCAGGTATTCCCCTGGTCAGTGGGGCATTTGCTTCATTCTGGAGTCTAGCTTGCCGGTCCATGGAGCGGTCCATGGTCCCAAACTGCCAAAGCTCAGACGAAAACCTATAGTGTGCCACTGACTTTGGAGCCAGCAGCCTCCACCGGCCAGCGTTGCCTGGCAGCCATGCTCCAGGATTGCAGATGGGTGCTGGTGCTTTCGCTGGTGCCATTGCTCGTGCCAGTCTCAGTGTGTGCTTCTTTTCCCGCCCAGCCTGATGATGCCAAGATTGAACATGGGACCTTCCATGTGCATCCCATCTCCTGTACTATTCAGCATGGGACCCTTGGACCATCCCACTCGGTGGAACTTGCATGTGAAGGCTGAGAGTTTAAAGCTCACCCGTGTTCTCCGAATTGCCTCAAGCCACGCAACTGCATTGCAGCTCCAGCCCTCCATTTGCAAGACAGACTGGCCCACCTTAGAAGGGCACAAGATGGATTTTCAAGGCAAAGAAGAGAAGCGCCTGATCGCTCAGAAAAGGCTGGCTAAATTATGCGTGTTGCCAGTACAGTCAGCCCATGACTTGGTTCACTCATGGACCAACGGATCAATCTCATCATCACCCAGACGCTGGGAGATGCAGATGAGCGCTGACCACCCACACATGGGAGATGGCGTGGAAGCTGTGAGCCACGCTCAAGAGAGATGCTCATGCTCAGGCGAGGGAAGCTGCAGCCGTCAGTGATTGGCCTCATTCACCATGGTGAGGATGAACAAATTGACCTGCTTTGATTTTGTTCCATTTCTCATTTTCCCAACCTCAAGCTGGGTTCACCCCAAACTCTGTGATCCATTATTTTTTTAACTTTGTGTTAAAAATGGGTGCATTTGATGTGTACGTTTGCCTGGTATATACATTGCAAGCGAAGTTCCTAATATGCCTAATTTCTGAGCACAGTTTTCACAGATATGTGTGCTTTTGTATGTGCACGTTTCCCAAGATACTCATTGTTTAATGCACTTATTATTTAATGGAAAATTCCATTGCCAAATTCAGAGAAGTATGGATTTCGGAGGATAATGGAGTTTGGGTTTGCATAGTAATTCCAAATCTCAAGATGAAGGAAGTCTGGCCAAAGGTAAGGGGTAAATGGAATTGTGATTCCTGGAGGGTCCCCGTTCCTATTTTAGAGCTTATTTCCCTGCATCCTACCCTTCTAGAGTAGGCGGCCACTAGAATCTATATGACAAGGGAAGGCAAGGGAAGGGAAGGGAATATGTAGGCAAGGGAGGAGAGATTTCGCTTCCCATTCTGTGCAGAAGAGAAGCAGGGAGGAAGGCCTTGCTGTTTCTGCCTGGCCTCATACAGTATTGATTTCCTTTAATTGGGTCCAGAATGTTTAACTGCTCCCCAGTCAATTGTCTGCCACTCCAACTTTTTTTTATTTTCAGGGGGGCGGGGAGGTTCAATGCGTCTGTTTCACTGTGGGTGTCTCATTTGTTATCGTGTCTCCTTAGCAGCAAAATGACAGACCTAGGGAGTCGGTGGGGTGGAATGAGGAGCAATGGGCCCTGTCGCTTGGCATCTTAAATTTAAATGCTTTGGCAGGAAAGGGTGCTGTCCTTGTCCGCTTGATTCAAAGCCTTGCCGAAATTGCAGGTGGGGGTTATTTTACATGGCCGGGGTTTTCTGGCAGGTGGAGGCTGCACGTGCCGGCATGGAGGTGGTCAGGAGCCTCCGGGACAGAAGCAGAAATGCGCAGGACTGGCTGCAGTGACACAGGGTAACACTACAACTTGAACTTGGAGATGTTCATTTAGGGAGGGAAAGGAATTAAAAGGCAGGATGGGCAGGAACACCTGTACTGATGTGAAACCTGGGCTCAGATCCCTCCTTGCCGCAGCTTCAGCAGTCTGTGGTGCACAGCTTAGCAGTCCCTGTGTAGAGACAAATAACTCGATGGCCTCACTCATCCATACTTTGGTAAGTTCAGAACTAGAGCTCTACCCAAAGTTGAACACCGGGCTGCCCTTGAAGACTGCATGGAAACAGCTGTTAGCTCAAAATGCTGCAGTCAGGCTGTTGGCAGGACCAGGCGATGCTTAAAGAACGGCACCTGCTCCTCGATTTTCCTCCAGGCATGATTCAAGCAGTGCTAGTGCCTGTCTTTCAAGCCCTAAATAGCTTGGGGCCTGGGGAAGATAAAGGATCACCTTCCCTGGATGGACCTCCCTATGCACCCGGCTTGTCTTTGAAGGCTCTTATCTGGCTGCCGTCACCACCTAAGGTCAGGCAGATAGTGGGTGGGTGATGTCTTCTCAGTGGTGCCAGAAAGCTGTCCCCGGTGACACTTGTCTAGCTCTGATTCTTACATCCTTCAGGGTGAGCTTGTCATTTCTCCCAGATTTTAAATGCTCAGGTTTATTGTATCATTTTTGCACCCTGACGCTGCTTTTGTTTTATTGATTTGACTTTGCATTTTGTCATCTTATTGCTAAGCCATCCTGGAAGTATTTATGTTGAAGGGCAGCATAGAA